GAGTATTCGGTACGGATCTCCCCCTGGCCGGGTGATGCCTGGCAATTGTTCCATTCCTTCCATTCTAATTGTAATCGCCATTCAAGGGTCCCTATCTCTGGCCAAATAGATTGTCTTGTTCAATCCATCTCCGTGTTTCAAACTCTCATGGACAATGTTTCTGTCCCTTACCAAAGTGGTCTGGACAATTTCCTTCCGGCTCTTTCCCCCCTTCTAGCAGCACGGGGAACCTTCTTCGCACTCCCCTAAATTATCCCCCCTCTGGGACGCGCCAACTGGGACGTCCTCTGGTCGGGCCTTTTCCGGGCTATCAGCGTCCGCCATTCTCCTTCAATTTCTCCCTAACGAACGAACTAAGTCCTAGCACCGACTCATTTTGGAAGCTTCCGAGAGGTTCCTGCTTGACGGTTCCCATCCGGGAGAGCTTCAACGCGTCCTTAGCCCTCTAGCTTCGAAGGTGGGCTTGGGGATCCGCCCCGAGTGGGTAACTAAACTGGGAAAGGATCCCATATTAATCCCGTCACCTTCGACCGAACAGGCGCTGCGGTCCTGTCCGTAGCGTCCCTCACGAGCTGCTGCAAGCCCGGCATCGTTTCTCCTTGGCCGACTGGAAGCTCTGCTCATGTTCTGGTCATTATCCTCGTCACTTTGGTGAGGGGATCATCAATAAAAAAAAGAGAATGAAATAAAATCATCTACAAAGATGAGACATTCAGGAATCCTTCCTTTTGACACCATCGGTGACAACGTTACTCCACATCCAAGTTCACTCGGTGGCTCGTGTGATACAGACGGGGTCTGGGAATTCTATCTATCTGTTCTTGTCCATCGGAAATGAACAGGAACAAACCCCCTGATGAGCATCGATATCGATCTTTTTTTGTCGATTTTTCTTTCGGGACCCGATTCCAGGCAGACACCGAGAATCTGTCCCAGTACAATTATTATTAGCAGCAAGACACATCGAGGTGAGCGTTACTGACGAAATTCGACTATTATGGCCCGATATTATTAGTATCACTTTTATTATATTACCGTGCTATTTATTTGACACGCAAAAGTTTCTAGAACCCCGTTCCTTTGCTCCGTTGACCGTCCGATATACGACTAGTCAGTCGTACTCCGGACTACGGCGAATCTGGAAGACTGCCTCCGTCCTCCCCCTTTTTCCCACCATCCCGAGTATGTAATCCGCGAAGGGGCAAGGGGAGTGATCCATCAACTTTCCTCCTTCCGACAAATCATGCCTCCGAAATAATTCACCTGGGATCCGCCGAAAATCCCCAATTCTAGCTTCGCTATGGGGAAGGCCAAGTACTGGCGGTTTGGAATTTCACACCCAAGCTAGAACCCACTAGACCGTCGCCAGAACCTATTAGATGGAGATGTCACATTTTGCTCCTGAGAAAGGTGGTCCCTGGGTTTTCGCACGTCTGTACGGAAGTGGGCAGGTATTTTTTTTTTCTGACTCTGGGCCCTGCGAGGTGCGCATCGATGGGTTGTATCAGCTGCACCTGTCATCTGTCAGCCGGCGCGACAGGATTTCCGCGTCGGCTAATATTTAATATCGACATACACGCCTCTCGACCTACATATATTTGTCGCAAATCGATTTTTTTTTCTGTCGCGTCGGTATTTCACCCAGCTAACCTGTCGCTAGTGCTAGACTCGCTCGCTACTCCGTTCTCGCTCCAAGGCACCCACTCGCTGCCTTACGGAGTACACCAGCTGATCCTGTGGCGTGGCCGGGGGACTTCTTGGGCGATCCCGACAGGAACTAACCTCCCAAGCGCTTCTATAGAACATTCTTAGTCCGTTCCCACCAGCAAATAGCTAACTAATTCCTTTACGCCGGTAAATGAGATGGAGCCTGGAAGACACCAAGAGCAGACTAAGTGTGCTCTACGCTCCATGCTCCATGACACTAACTGTTCGGGAAAGTCCTTTGGATTAAATTGCTCGGTGAGGGGATAAAAATCAGGGGAGGAAATACCGTATGTGGGAGAGGACGAAAGCCAGCAAACGAAGCGAAGTTGAGGGGGGGTAAAGCAGACGTGGGGGAGAAAACAAAAATCCCTCTTAGGTATGACTATGAGGGATCTCAGGAGTACACTGATTTCATGCTTTGCGTCTTTGGGCAAGAGTCTGAGTGGTCGAACTCGGTAACTGGTCTGACCTAGTCTTACGGACAGCCAACCTGCCAGTGGCCTGCCCAGTGCCCACCATACTCCGTACGGCGTACATGATGCAGCAAGGCGAACCCACTTCTTTTAGGGGTGTCGAAAATGACAAATCTGATTATCCAAAGTTGGTTGGTTACTATACTTATCTAACCCGCGGAGGTCAGTCGGGCGATTCTCGCACCTTTTTTACGGAGCAAAGTTGCAACTTGCAACATGGCCTTTTTGCTTTTGTTTTTTTTGCCAGGCTTGGCTTGGCATAGGTAACCTCGCCTTGCCCGGATGATGACGATTGCCAAAATCCCATAACCAACAACGCTGATCAGAGGCGAATCATCCTTAGTGCAGTGCAATAATCTGAGGGGCAAAAGGGATTCTTTGAGCTCCCCCTAATGATGTAACAAAGTTGGAACAGAAAGGTACAACCATAATGCCCAACTTCAATTTCTATGGATTGAGTGTTATTTTTGTCTTCGATTCAGGAAATGATTGCCTGTGATGATGCTGGATGGTGACAATCCTGCCTACATACACCGGACACATCTAAGACATTTATCTTGCCCTTATTTTTTTTTTCTGCTTTCTGTGCGTCATAATCAATCATCGTCCTCTTTCGTTAACTGATTTTCTGTATGATACTTCTTGTCTTTCCCTACATATTTGCGTAGTTATGTATCTGCGTCAAGAGCAAGGAAATAAATCTTTGACACTAAGAGACAGTCAGACGGACAGACAGACAAGCAGGAGATAGAACGAACAGACAATGACCTAACTAATTTCTCAAGATCAGGTCGGGTCATGTCAAGTCCAGGATAATCAAATCAAATCAAATCAAATACAAGTCCTCTAATTCTGCCCCTTCGGTTGGGTAAGACCAAGACCAAGACTGAGATGTAATCTGTAATATGCAGGCCGCATGCATACCATGCATGCAGCCTAAGCCACAGAATCCACTAAATGCCACAGGTACCCTTGTATTGGCGACGGGGCTAAAGGCCCGGAAGCCACTGACGCTAATACTGTACCTAGGTATCATTGTATATTTAATTGATCAGAATTGCCTGTCCGATACTCACATGGATATCTGTAGGGTAGGGACTGCGGTTCGGTCAGTTGATTAAGAGTGGTTTAAGGAGGTCATGTGGTCATGATTAGCTATTTACCTGCTTCGTGTGTACTCTGTAGAGTGCGGTACGATGCGTTGATTCTGGGCTTGTTATAATCTCGTTAGATATAAAGAAACATACACAGTACCTATATTATCTTGCATGTGTATGTTTAGTGTGTACGGATACCTAACTATTCCGTGTTTTTTTTGGGAGTATTCCTTGAACCCGAAACCTTTTTGATTGACCTCATCCTGGATTTATGCAGGTATGCAAGGGATTCATTTCATTGCATCTTTCTGACTTGCTGTTCGCTCTGAAGGTGAAGACGTGCAGTGTTAGACATCAGATTAATGCTCCTGAGTTTGGTCGAGACTTGGGAGACCTGACGGGAGGTGGTTTGGGGGGGGGGGGGGGGGGGGGTCTCTTATTTTTATTTTCTCTCTTTCTTCTCCGTATTACTCCGTACAGTACGATTATTATTGTTGTTTTCTTCCTCTCGTTTCTTGCTTTCTTGAAGTCTTGCATGTGGTATACGGAGATACTTGTTTAGACCTTTCATTGTCTATGGAAGATGGTCTACGATAGCTAAGTGCAGGATGAAGAGATACAGAGAACCAAGGTAGAGATGCTCTGGAAATTCTGACTGTGTTCGTGCTCTGTATTCTTTGTCCGCGTGTCTGTCTGTCCGCCGGGGTGTGTTTCGCATGTAAGGGGCGTTGATGATGGGGCTAGACAGGTGGTGTTGCTCGGTTGTCAGACTGTGTGGATTTGATGGCTGACGGCTGATGGCGTTGATTATAATATATTGCAGTTTGTGTGTGCTAGGATATCAGGATATTTGATGTATGGTGTAGTCTGCGAATCCTTTTGGCTTGAATGTGTGTTTGGTTTGGGTTTGAGGCGCTGGTTACCTGAGGGACTAGGTAGTATTATTTAGGACAGGTGCTGGAGATCAAGGTGTAGGATCTCTGCTTTCGATGGATTGATCAAGCGGTGAAAGGTGGTTTGGTTGTTTCATTTGAGTCTGTTAAATGACGTCGCGTGTGGCCTTTGCCTCACGTGCAGCGTAGATATGTATTGCTTTTGTTGGATGAGTTGTTGTAGTCTTCTTGGGATGTCGAGCTGCTATTAACTAAATAAAGATATGGAACTCACTTCAGCACATGTCTCTCGACCCTTAGTCCATAAATATCACACTTTTGAGATTATCAGGCCCTGTCCCCTTCATGTCCGTTGCAGGAGACACCCTGTGATGAATTTCAGACTCCGGCTTCGCAGACTTCACGAGGACGCTTCTCTCATAGATCTTACCCTTATCATCCCAATAAAGGATCAGGGGTATGTAAGAGCACTCGAACTCTATCGCCAGGGTCAGTCAGTTTCTAGCGACAGGCCTTCACAATGTTTCTAACCGACAATGCATCGGATTCACTTCAAATTAATAACTTATCGTTTTGGGAATATGTCAACGGATAAAAAAGTGCATTACCCTTATCTATGCTCCCCAGGTCCTCCGACGGAATGAACTTCCGTCAGTCATAATGACACCCTCATGCGGTCAAACAAGAGGTAACCTAAACCTTCGAACCCTCAACCTCTTCTCTCACTAACCAACCATCTCCCAAGCCACATCTACCATACCTTAGCAACTCCAAAATCTACAACGTCCTTATCCACCACCAAGCCCCTCCATCCTCTGGCCTTACCCAACATGTCTCCCCAAGCCCCAAAAAAGACCGACACTGGTCAAAAACATCATACGCACACCAAAGCACGTCCCGACTGGAAACGGTCCCATTATGAGTACAGGTACCATGCCAATGCTCTGCTGAAGGAAGTGAACGCCTTAATGGTCACTGCGGTCCAGAATCAACCGGAACTGCGTTCTATAGCTAGACATGCGCGAAAGCTGCAGTCGATGGATACCAGTACCCTGCTGACCTCATACTGCGACGTTTGTGAGTTGAAGAGACTCACAAGAAGCCAGGGCAATGGCAAGAAGGACTCTTACACTCAAAGCCGCATCGACTCGATAAACAGGCGCAAGGAGCTGATGGACGTGTATAACAACATAGTGGACGATTTTGAGGGCTTGAGAGCTGCTCTGATTGAGCGTTATCCGGATGTGGATTGTGATTCTAGACCTAGGATTCCGCGGAAGCGGCTGAAGATGTGTGAGGCTTGTGCGTTGAAGGGCTGGGATGGAGTTGATGCTTGAGGCTTGAGGCTTGATGCTGGATATTTGATATTGGTTTCGCTCGTTTGGAGTGGGTTGCAGTGACTGGGTAGGGGGCTTCGGGATCAGATGACGATTGATGTGGATGGGGTTTGTCGTTGGAACGGAGAGGCTTGGTCTATTTGCGAGCAGATTCTGATGATCTTGAATTCTTTTGGCGTTGAGCGGTCGATCTCGGATTTCTTGATTGGATTGGGTTGATGGCGTCGGTTCATGGACCTCGAATGCTTAAAAAATCGGTTGAGTCTAGGTAGATCTTGATTTATTTTTCATTTCTTGTGCCTTTACTTGATGAGATTTCTGTATACTCTAGTAGGATACAGTAGATCAGGTACTGTTGGGCCGATATCAAAGGTCTTGGATTGTGTTCAAGTCCCGGTGTCAACTATCTGGTCCTTGTTTTTCGGGTTGATATGAAGAGGATCTCATATCATGTGTAAGTGTACAGTCTTTTGTGATCTGCCCCTAGTCTTTCTCCTGGTCTTCTTCTTCTCTCTTCTCTTTTCCAACAATAGATGATACTATACTATCATTCGAGAAATTCCCTTCCTTGGACGTAGAGCTTTAGTTATTTTTTTAGACACGATAGCCTGAGTTTTACTTTAGAACCTGTTGCAAGAATCAATTCAATAAAAGGTACCATTCATATATAACCCGGGTATATAAAGGAGTGAAATAAACGTAAACATAAACAGGAAAGATAAACCACTTTCTCGGTCTTCTCAGAACCAGCCACAGCGTCAGTCAGTCTTCGAACCTCAGTAGGTATTCAACCCTTATCTCATGGGCCCATCCATCTCCACACCTCATGTTCTTTATACTACTCCGTGAATGTTGGAAGAAATCACAGCATAGCAACAAATCCCAACCCGATGATAGCAGCCAAAGAAGCAGCCTGGGGCGCGGAGGATCCCGGCGCCGCGTTGTCGGTCGTTTGTGCGCTGTCGGCGCTGTTGCTGTCATCATTCGAGGATCCGCTGCCTCCGCTGCCGCCGTTGGTCGAGGTGGCGCTGGTGCTGGAATCTGTGGCGCTGACGGTGGTCGAGCCGGTAGAGCCAGAGCGAGAGCTAGAACCGGTGGCAGATGCGGTGTTGCTCAGGGCTGAAGTAGCGGCTGCGGCGTTGTACGATGTGGTTGAGAAGGAGCAGGAGCGGAGGATGTCGTATGCGTCTGGAGATGTTAGTCAAGTTGCTTTACTTCTCACTCCGCCCTAGTACAATGGGAGGGAGAAGGAGGGTTGTTACCATTGTGATGCGGGTCGCGGTCATCATCATCATCGTCGTCATCGTCATCGAACAGGTCGTGCTCCTCGTCGTAGTGACGGTCGCGGTTGGTGTTGTTCCTGTCGGCCCGGTAGTCGGCGATGCAGGCCTCGCAGAGCGGAACCAGTGACGGCGCCTGGTTCCAGTCGCAGATGCAATCCATCTCGGCGCGGTCGCGGTCGTGCATGCCGTCGCATCGGTGCGCGGTGCCGACTACAGGTCCGCAGACGTCCCAGCAGCGATTAGGGACGTCGTCGCGGTCGAGTTCCGCGGCGACGGCGACCTTGCCGGCCAGCATGAGGCCCGAGAGAGCGAGTAGTTGAGTGGCACGCATGGTGATGGCTGTTCAAATGGTGGAGACTAAGATCAAGTGAAGATGCTGTTTGCGATGGAAGTTTGAGTCGATGATGAGTGGAAGTGAAAGGGATCCAGTCCGAATTTATATTTCTGCGCCTGTCGTGTGCCGATGTTTCTATCTTTGCGCTGGCGTCCTGCCATCCAATAGCGAACGCCATTCCCCGTTAATCGCCGACAGACATGCTGTGACTGCTGTCCCAGTCAAGCTCTAAGCCTCTCCCAAGAGAATTTGAATTGCATCTGCCAAGTCTTCCAGTGCTATTGAACCTTGGGCAGAGCCGATCGAACACCAATCCGCGCCGGGGGAACGACGTTGCCTAGGGAGTCTCCAAGAAAACGAAAACAAATCCCAGAAATCATGATGATCAAGTCGCGTTTATCGCTACCGAATTTGTCTGCGGGGAGCTGCAGTTCTTTTGGTTCGCCATTCCTGATTCACCGCCACGATGGACCCTGGGGATTCTGGGGGGTGGATCCGGACGGCACGGATTATTTGCTCGTGGCTGGTACACTATTGTCGGGAAGGGTTTGTTTCATGATGTTCTCTTGTGCTATTGATCTGGTTCCTGGCATGCGGTGTCGAACTGGCTTCGCGTTGAGACGTCGACTGAGGATCTTTCGATAGGCGTAGTCCTCCCTTGCGCGACTGACGTTTTTTCCGAGGATCGCCGCTGATAGTAAACGCCATTCCGGGAGGGGGACTATCGAGGGTCAACAAAAAAGAAAGGTAAGAAGAAAAAGAAATAAACACATTCACAGAGCATCTCGCTTCTTAGTCAATTGATCCTCCATTCCCTGCTGTGCAGTCAAAGGAAACAGGCAATAGCAATTGTTCCTCCAAGACCCCAAATGCCGAGTCTTGCACAGCCTCCCGCTATATATAGGATTCCTCGCGCAAGTTCTGTCAACAACGCCGTCACTGCGACCAGTCAAGCTGGAGATAAATATGCTGCCTGCGCTGCTATCCCCGTCCGGGATTATCCCATGCAGACTTCGGGGTTCTTCACGACGTGATATTTTCGAATCAGGCAAGGGACCCTGGTCTCTTTTCCCATTGCGGCCTGACTGCAGGAGTCGGAGGACTATGACTTACTCGATCGAGTTGTCGGATGCAGATCTCGAATCTCCGGTCCATCGAAGGAAAGCGTTATCAAAACGCGATGGCTAAGCGAACTTGGTCTCTGGTAGGTTCTTAGGTCATCATGAAGTCAACTGCCTTGATGGATGCACTGATTGGGCCCTGCAGAACCCCTCCATCTCCGCCAACCGCGCCTAAAAATATCGTGCATCGTGCATCGCGGAACAATTAAGTCGTTCTGTCAGTCTACAGCATTTCATGTCAGAAGACCGACATCATGGCTCGAAGCGTCGCGAGTAAGATGTCCTGGGAAAAGTACGTGCTTCGTCCCGTCCAGGGTGCACCGCCCGTGGTGCTGCCGACCTTCATTTACGGCACCGCGTGGAAAAAAGATCACACGACGGAATTGGTGTATCAGGCCTTGCAGTCTGGATTCCGCGCGGTGGATACCGCTGCCCAACCGAAGCATTATCGTGAGGACTTGGTCGGAGAAGGCATCCGCAGGGCGAACCGCGACGGCACCGTCCGACGAGAAGACCTCCATGTAAGTGCGGAGGAGACCTAATTTTAGAACCGTAGTCCGCAGACATATCAGTCGCTAACAGTATGGGCAGATCCAAACCAAATTTACGTCAGTTCATGGACAGAGCCCGGACAACATGCCGTATGATCCGAATGACTCGGTGACGCAGCAAGTCCATGCCTCCGTCCGGTCTTCTTTCCGACATCTTCGTCCGTCCGAGGAGGCAGAGAGCGCCGATGAGGCGTATATCGACATGCTCATTCTTCACTCGCCTTTGTCGACGATGGAGCAGACCCTAGAGGCGTGGTCGGCTTTTGAGACCTACGTGCCCCATCGCATCCGGAATCTAGGCATCTCCAATTGCACGCTGCCTGTCCTGAAGGAGCTCTCCTCACTGGTCTCGGTGCAGCCGGCGGTGGTGCAGAATCGCTTCTACGGGGGCACGCAGTTCGACGTGCCGCTGCGGTCGTTCTGCCGGGCAAACCAGATCATCTATCAGAGCTTCTGGACCCTGTCTGCAAATCCGGAGTTATTGCGTTCTGAGGTCGTCCAGCTGCTGGCCAGCCGCACGGGCATCGGACCAGCCGCCGCTCTGTATAGTCTGGTGCTGAGTCTGGGGAAGACGACGGTGCTCAACGGGACGACGAAGAGAGCTCACATGGAGGCGGATCTGGCTGCTCTGCGGACGGTCGAGGCGTTTGCGGAGGAACACCCCGAGATGTGGCAGCGGATGGTAGAGGACTTTCAAGGGCTCACTGGGGACCATGTAGAGATGGAGTAACTGTGTGTGTATGTATCTTGTCCACAAGACTGGACGATGGACAGGACCAACTAGGTAGCTGTGTATAGTCTGTGAAAGAGGGATGACTGTGATCTGCTACACTCTCTTCTCTCTATCTACTATCCTGTAATTCCTTTAGAGTCTGTTCTACTCTATACTCCTCTACACTCAGCACGTGATTCTGATATCTGGATGAGTCAGCCTTTACAGCCAATCAGCATACAGAATGGCCATTGACCTCATCGTTCTTTTGCCAAGCATCGCGTCTCTCTCTCTCTTTTCTTTCTCACGGCTTCTTCGTTGCTATTCTTTTTTTTTTCTGGATTGCGGCATCCTCACTCAACCAGTCTCTCTGATCTCCCCCTTTCCATCAGCCACACTTCTTCCTGTCAAACGTTGACCCCTTCCCTTCTTTTCCCCTGACCGGAAATACTACAAAAAAAAGGGACCCTCTCCATTTTTAATCCTGTCCTGGTCCCCGCTAGCGGCTTGTTAGCCAGGTGCTCACTGCTCACTACTCTCTGCTGGCACTCGTCTTCCCAAGCTTCGACATCGCTGAGCTGCAATTGTCCTCTGCATCGACGGCTTTCGCTTCCCTCGAAAGTCTCCGTTCCCATCGCGGGTTTCGCAATCGATCGTCGCGTTTTTCGCTCGTTATCATTCGCCCATAGCGCCCGAGCGCCGCCTGGTCGCGTCTCTTTTATCAGCGAAAGGTTGGAAAATCTAGCACCGACGGCGCAACCCTTCGGCCACCAACCCGCGATCATCAAACCCCTTGGTTCGAGTCTGTCTCAGTGGTCCTGGCCTCGAGAATTGTCTCGCTGCCCTCTCGTTCCCACTTTCTGATCGCCTGTGTCACCGTCGCCCGGTTCCCCGCCATACGCCCGCTCTTGGCCTGGCGTTTGTGATCGCTGCCGACAAGAGGCTCCGCGTCGGTCGGACTAGGGCTCGCTCGAACGCTGAGACTTCTCTCGACCCAGCTATCCTCTCTCGACCCGTCCGGAACTCATTTCGCCGACCATGAGTCCTCAAGGCATAAATCGCAAAAGACCGGCCCCCGGCACCTCGCCCGCCGTGCACCCGCAATTGGGCCCGATCAATTACCCTTCCAACTCCGGCTCGCAGCTCTCGAACGATCAGTTTCTGCAATGGGGTCAGAATCCTGCCTCGAACGTCGTGAACCCCTCCTATCCCGACACGAACCCCTACAACGCCGCCGCCTATTCCTCAAACCAAGACGCCCCCGCCTCGACAGCGACTGCATCTAATCAACTCGCTCGAAGACAGCCCCAGCCTCAGCCTCCGAACCAGAACCAACAGCTAGTGAGCCGAAATCGCGGTTATGAACAATCACCGACCTCGGTTCCGGAGTCGGGTAACAACACGGGAGAGTCTGGCGGATGGGGAGAGAGCCTCGACGAGCTTTATCAGCGGGCGTTGGTCGCGAAGAGAGATGCGCAGGCGAAGCGAAAGCAGATTCCTCCATTCGTGCAGAAATTGAGCAGGTATGTTGACCACGGTAGATGCATGACTGCGGACACCATAGCTGACGACGAAACAGTTTCCTCGACGAGTCCAAGAATACCGACTTGATTCGATGGTCTGACGACGGGAATTCCTTCATCGTGATGGACGAAGACGAGTTTGCCAAGACTTTGATCCCTGAACTCTTCAAGCATAACAACTACGCCTCCTTCGTTCGCCAACTGAACATGTACGGATTCCATAAAAAGGTCGGGCTTTCGGACAACTCGATGCGCGCCAGTGAGCGCAAAAATAAGAGTCCTAGCGAATACGCGAATCCGTACTTTAAACGCGGGCATCCCGATCTGCTGTGGCTGATTCAAAAGCCAAAAAATGCCACGGGCCAGGGGCCGAAGTCTGGAAAGCAAACGGTACGGGTCAAGACGGAGGAGCCTGATGACAATGACAATGAGGATTACGAGGACGGCGCCGGGCTACCGCGAGACGACCGCGCGCGAAACCGGCAGCTGTCCTTAATCACCGGGGGGGAACCGATGCCAAAGGACCAATTCGCCGGGGTGTATCGAGAGTTGCAGGCCATTCGCCAGCAACAGCAGGTGATCTCCAACACGATAAGTAAACTACGGAGAGAGCACGAGCAGCTCTACGCGCAGGCAGCCAACTTCCAAGAACAGCATACGCGCCACGAGAACTCCATCAATGCCATTCTCACCTTCTTGGCGACAGTCTACAACCGCAGTCTTCAAGGAGGGGAGGGACCGCAGAACATCGCCAACTCTTTTGCCGGAGCCATCTCCTCGCAAGACCAAGGTAATGTGGTCGACATGGGCGACAACTACGCGCTCAGCACGTTGGGCACGTCCAACATGGGAAGCCCCGGCGGGCAACGATCGATGAAGAAACAGCCTTTACTCCTGAAAGCTCCTCCGGCGTCGGAATCGCAAAGCCGCGCGTCCACTCTTTCGCCGTCCGTGGCTAGCTACGATCGCCCCCAGCCGCGAGGTCATATGCGGCAACCGAGCGCGCAGCGTGGCCATGTCGAGGAGGTCTTCGACAACAGTCCTCGCCAGGAGGAGGCGCAACCGCACCTGCCCCCGGCGCCGGCGGCGCAGAACCAGCAATATCCCCAGCGGGACATCATGTCCGTTATCCAAAATACCAACGCACGCAACGGGGTCCCGACGAATTTCTCCGACTTTCCCAACGTGCTGTCCTCGCTTGAAAACTCCGGCGGCAACGTCCCCCTTACTCCCAACCAGCGCGCCGACATGCTCCGGCTCATGGCCAACGAATCCAACACCGGCAACGCCAACGTGCCAGTGCCCCATAATAACGCTTTAATGACACCCACCCCGCCTCCTATGCCCCATAACTACTCGAATCGTCTTGCCAGCACTCGCGCGGAGATTGACAACCTCGTCAAGATGCAGGCGGAGCAGGATCGGTCCGTTCAGAACCTCACAAACCTGCTCCAGCCGCTCAGTCCGACGGGGGCTATCCCCGGGATTGGGCCAGACGGCAGCGTCGCCCCTCCGCCATTGGACCTGGACACGATATTCAGCAATGACTACTTCACCGACGTGGCAGAACTGGAACACAACAAGAACAGCCTCGACTTTGGCAACGCGTCCACCTCAATGCCCGCCCCCGTAGACCCTCCCACTACAACGGCCGCCGACGACAGCGTCATCAAAGACGGTAGTGACTTGTTTGACTTTGATCATATCCCCGGAGATGGAGACCTCTTCGAGGGCCAAGCGCAGCCGCCACAGCAGCAAACACCCGCTTACTACAACGGGTTCGACAGCACCTACGGCGGCGGCGTTGCTCCCGACTCGCATCTCGGCGTCGGCAACGACTCCGGCCGCATCGTCGAGACCTTGACGGACAGCGAAGCTACCAGTCCCGCCAACACCATCGACGATGGGCAGTGGAACGGCGACGGAAAGGGCAATCCTGGAAGCGCGAAGCGGCGTCGGAAGGCTTGATCTTTCTTGACCTCCTTTCTCTTCTTCCTCACATTCTTCTTCTTCTACTTCTTCTACTACTTCGCTATCTTCTTCTCTTCCATGATATCTTACCACTCACTATTCATTGACGAGGTTGGTTGGGGGTTGTTGTTTGTTGAAACTATATTTTCATTTTATAGGTTTAGGCTTGAAGCGTTCCTCTGATCTGAGTTTTGTTTAGTCTGGGAGTTTAAAGGAATAAAAATCTTTTTCTTTGATGTTCACTTGATTCTTGCTTCGGGCTGAACTCGTCCTTGCTAGGGATTTGTCGTCATTTAATCTCTGCCTTTTAATCTGCCCTAGCCTTTTCCCTCTTCCTCTCCCTCTCCCTCTCCCTCTCCCTCAGTTGTCTTTTTGTCCTGGTCCGAGTTCTAAGTCTTGCTTGGCCCAGACCGTGTAGTGTGTAATGGAAGAAGAGAGAGCATCGATATGCTTGGTCGTGGCCTGCGAAGATCTTCTGATAGTTATTTCATCGCCGTATGTATGCTATTTCTTGTTTGCGCAGATTATATCGCGACTTCGTACTGTCGAGTCAATTGACCTGATGGTTTGTTACCCGATGTCCTCTTCCCCTGTGCCTATTTTTTTTTATTTTGGGATAGATAGTCTTATTTTAGGATGATTGATTTTGTATCCTACTTGCATATGTAAAACATACATGCTGTATCATGGTCCGGGCTCCTAAAACGCTGTGCATATTCGAACGAAAGCTACTAAGCAAGTACGCTCGTATGTATATACCCACAACTTCCATTCCACCCATCTTCCCTATCCCCTTCTATACTACCAACAAGCCAACAAGAAGTTTGGCTCAATCACTTCCCCCTCCCCTGATCCCACTCCAAATTCCCCGCCTGCTCGCGCTTCCTCTCCCGTTCCCGATCCCGCTGAAGCCCCTTCTTCCGACCTCCCGTGGAGAACTCCTTCTCGCGCTCTCGCGGGTCAATCACCATCAGGGAGTCTGCGTCGTCCGGGTGCTCGCGCTTCCAGTTCAGGTCTTTGCCGAGCATGTCTTTTCCGAAGCGGAGTTCGTGCGTTAACCATCCTTTGTCGTCGTCTGCGCTTGCGCCGCCGGTGGGACCAGCGTCTTCACCGCCGACGGCAGCTTCGGTGTCCCATGATTGGCAGGATTGGCAGTTTGCGATGAAATGCAGGTCGCAGAGTTGGGCTTCTTCGTCGTCTGCGTTTTCGGTGGTGTTGGTGTCGGGGGCGAAGGAGTGTTTGGCGTGCGAGGATGAGGGTTGAGGAGCGGTGGAGTCTGCGTTTTCCAGCTTAGCTTTGAATGCGTTGAAGATTTTCAGCGTCTCGGCTTCTGCGGAACTGCTGAATCCTGTCAGGCCGTTGGCGTTGCTGCGAGCATTGTTGCCGGCACCGCGTTTGCGGCCGCGGATCGCCGTCTCCGGGATCATGGCCTCCAGGGCGGATTTCTTGCGTCCACTGTCTGATGGCCCTGTGTGGACGTTGCGGCGCATAGAGGCTTTGAGGTCCTCGATGGCGGCATTGGTGCGGGATAGTTTGGACGGCTTCTCTTTCTCCGCGTCGGAGGGGGATTCGGATCTGGTTCGCGAGGGCGGGGATTCCGGGTCCGGTAGAGGGAGTTGAGAGGCTGGCTCGGGCGTCTTGACTCGCTCTTTGCGCTCTTTCTCGGGGGATGGGGATCGCGGTCGTTTGCGCGTCTGCGTTGTTGGTTTCGTAGACGCTGCTTTCAAGGGCTCATCGGTGGTCGTCGGGGGGTTCGTGTCCGTGACCAGAGCAGCGTTATATTTGGGCTTTGCAGGTCGCACCGGCATATCCACGTCTCCCTCGTCATCACCAAAGCTCAGCAACGTCTTCCCACCCTTCGGGGCCTTCTTCTTCTTCTTCGGCGCGGGCTTCTCATCCGTCTTCGTCGCCGTCGCCGTCGCCGTCGCCGTGATCTGCCGCGTCTTGATCTTCCCCTCCAACGGACCCAACTCCCCAACCTCGCAAGACGTCACTTTAACCGGATACACCGGCCGATCCGTGCCCTCGACTCTCTCGGCCTCCGCAATCTTCACCACATTATAGATGCTGTCGCCCTCGATGCGCCCGAACATCGTACACTGGCCGTTCAACTCGCGCTCCGTATTCGCCAACGTGATGAAGAACTGGCTCCCGTACGTCCCATCCTCGCTCTTCGCCATCCCCACCAGTCCGCGCCGATTGAACCGCAACCGACTGTGTAGCTCATCGCGCAGCACAACCTTCTCGTTCGGATCGCGCGCGTCCGGGTCGTATTCGAATTCGCGGTCTTCGTAGATCGATGTCCCGCCTGACCCTGTGCCTGTGGGGTCGCCGCCCTGGATGATGAAGTCGGGTTCGATGCGGTGGAAGATTGTCCCCGCGTAGTAGTTGTCTTTGCAGTGTTGGAGGAAGTTTCTGCATGTTAGTGGGGTTTGGTTCGCGAAGAGGGCGATGTGGAGGGGACCGAAGGTTGTGTTTAGGGTCGCTGAGGCGGTCGCTGGGGGTTCGGTGGTGTAATGCGATGACATTTTGGAGGATTTGGGGGATTATGGGATTGGTTTGGAGGTTGGAATGATTTCGTTGGGGCCGACGCGTGAGGAAGGTCGAATTGGATTTTCGTAGGTGTCGTTGTGGAGGATGGTGGAGATCTGTAGTGGAATTTGAAAATAGCAGTCGCCGGTGCCTTAATGTATATTCATTATTCAAAGGAGGAGAGTTGTCTGATTCAATTGTGGTCGTGTCGGAGAGGAGGAGGTGGAAAGACGGAGGAGTTGAAGAGTGAAGCTGGTCGGGGAAACTTTTTGCTGGGGTCACGTCATGTCGCTGGCCCGAAGGAGCGGAGCGTCTCTAACCGATTTCTTATACTATCATTTGCCTCTAAGAAGGATATTTGAACAATATGAACAATCTACATTGACTACAGAGCTCTTCTGGTTTTGGACCAATTGTCTTTAGATTTAATGGACCCCTGAACTTGGTTACTTATATTATAAGGTGGTAGTAGTAGTAGTAGTACTCATTAACGTCCAGCGGAAGGGCAGGCGTAGCCTGCCTCCCTAGACCCTCCCTTGGAACATGGGGAACGTGCTAAGCTAAGAGTTCTATATACAGAGAGAGCTATATAACTGTTTCCAAGAGTATAGCCACGTGGCTATGGGCTCTGAGGACCACCGAAATTTGTTACCGAGTGGCAACCAAGTAGTGCATTTGGATTCCTAGCTTGATCATAAGGTCGACCCCGCGAGTCTTCCTCATCAAATATATCAGTACCCAGACTCCAATCCGCCGGTGATACTGAGTTCCACGGCCCATCAGTCGTGATATCTGATTCAAGTGAGGATCCAAGTGATGGTATGGATGCTTCATTACGATGCCGCTTAATCCTTGCTCCTAGTATTGCGTCGTCATCCTCACCGTACTGGTCGTCAGGTTTGCGTTTCCTCGGGCTAGAGCTTCGAGACTTCGCACGAAGAGGCATTAAGCAGCACTGCTCCGCACTCCAAGTCTTCGCAGTCGATGTTATGTTGCTTCCAGCCTCGAGTGATTCTTCAAGGGCAACTGCAAGCCGACGGGGTACCCCTGCTTGAAGGAACGTGGGGATATATTGGAAGAGGGTCCACGCGAAACGCGCAAAGAGATATTCAGGAGCAATACCAGATATGGGCTGGAGGCTCACGTTATGGTAAAGAGCGGCAAGCTCATAAGGCTCTGGAGAGTTGAACAAGTGGACCACATAGTTCGTGGACAGGTCTGGGGGGAGTTCTGAGTTGTTGACGGGCGCACGCGCGGGTTTAGGTATAAATGCGAATCGCTTGACATCAAACGACGAGTGTATATCTGAGCGCAAAAGAAGAACATTGCGAGGATTGTCTACCGGATCACAGCCGGAGCGTGAAAGCCTGCAATATCGGCTCATCATATTTCTTTGGAACCAGATGCCCTGGTTCTTAGGGATAACGTGGGCACACTCTGTCCCTTCCACGTGGTTTGTCAGGCGGCAACAAACATCGCGGGAAAGAACCACCTCTGCTAAAGTGCTCTGTCTAGGAGTTGGATGGGCGGATGCGCGAGGTATATCAACCTTCCAGCCAGCTGGAAGTTTGTTGTGGGGAAAACACCAGTCCTCAAAGCTCGGTACAATGGGATATGGGTCTAGGAATGGTCAGCTAATAGTAATGGCTTGATCCGTCTAGATAATCTCCTCACGTGAACCTTCGCCTGGCACATGGAAGTAGTAGTCTCTTTGTCTTAGGATACCGTCCCGCGGTGTCGTTACTCTCTGAAGCCCCTCACGGTCTTCAGTCAACCATCCGTCGAACTCGTTGTTTGCGAGTATCCCACACGCTCACAGTGCTACACGATGGTATATGCCCCCATCTGGATGGTCAAGTCCCGGGATTATAAGGAGAATATCGTACGGACTTGGATAGCCGGGATGGTGAAAGCAGATATCATATTCTGGATCGAACACGAAGGGGGAGGCAGTATGAGTGGTCGGGGTGTCAAAAGCAGGCCGCCGAAGCGCGGTTCCATCTTCGGTAGAAGATATGATTGTCATCCAAGGCAGTGACTAGTGACTAGTGACTAATGACTAGTGACTGCTGTATACAGAAGACGGAGAAGTAGAAAGTGACTCCACCTTCCCAAGGAAATCCGGGTCACGCTGTTCCTCGCATAACTACGGGAGCTGACGTAATCTAGCAATTTATGCAGGATATGTACATACATAATTTGGGAATATCACAACCCTCTTTCGCCTCCGGTATAGTTTAGGTCTACCTGTGAGTGCCAATCCTACAGAAGGACATAGAGTGACCTCATAATCCAGTTCCAAAATACGTACAAGCACAGTATTATCTCAGGAGCCTTCAATCTTTGGCATGATCCACATTATAGAATCGATAAATTATTCCAAACTGTTCGCACAACTCGTCAACTACGTCAAATCCCATATACATCATGAAAACATTGATCCATATCCGGACAACTATACGGAAATCAGCCAGAATTGATAAGAGAAAAGGAACAAACTTACTAAACTGGATCCTGCCCAAAGATGATATGCCACATATACTCCATCACCCTCCCACTGATATCATCCGGTAGATTCGTATCCATGAGCCACCGATGATAGCGCACATAGCTGCCAAGCGGACGCTTCAACACCTGGTCTCTCGACACCGCGAACTGCGCACAGCACGGCGACGCGACGATCTCCGGAACATCGGTGCTATTGAAGAGTCCCTGCCACGCATCGGCGAACGCAATCTCCGATAACCGCGACTCGTCCCTGGGCTCGCGAAATGGGCGGATTTCATCCGGACAGCCAGGACTGAGGTTACAGCGTAAGTTGGCGTAGCCGTTCTGTTGGACGAATTCTGTCTGTAGCAGCTGGATGGTGTTCACGTTGCTGTGTTCTTCAAACTCCGTGTGCCATGCTTCGGGCCAGCCGTCGCGGTGGCTGTGGAGGAATACGATTGTGGATGGGAGGTTGTGGTAGTGGTCGATGATGTAGCGTAAGTATACATTGGCTTCTTTGCCTTTGTTCTTGGTTACTCGCAGCGGTGCTGTGGGGTCGTCGACTGTGTAGATTGCCCGGCGCCATCTGGATGTTGCCGATGTTAGATTGATGATCTGTTCGTCGTAAGGAGGTGAAAGAGATCTAAGTGCTCACTCAGGCAGTTCATTTGCAATCCAGCCCGTCTGCTCGTGTTTCATTTTTCCAACCACAATGATCCGATCCATTTCCATGATATCCGCGCTCGCCACCTCGTCGATTTTAATTTGCAACGAGCCAATTCCGTCTCCGCGCGACGGCGCAAGATCAGATATTGAAGGACGTCTATGACCAGTGGAGGAGGCATGCCATCGTGTGACAGTCCCTTTAGCACGCGCTTGACTCGGCCCACGACTGGATAGATAGTCCTGCCACCGAATCTGGATTGTTCTCACCTCGCTGATGATCCATAACATCGTCAGAAGAACGCAAGTTGCGGCCCCAAAACGCTCAATTGGCCGCATTGTGTACAGACAGTAAATCACACCAAGCTGAGATCGAAAGTCAGCAACGCATCAAGGCCCTGGGACCCTCTTGCGTTGTAGCTCCTCGGCCGCGCAACAAGGGGCGCGGTTTTGTTATATGGAACTGGCCAGCCATTTCTGTCACGCTGACTGAATGATTGCCTCATGAATGAAACGGTCCCTTCTAGAACGATGGCCACAGTGGATGTGGTTCCTGTCTCGCTCTTCTGGTTCCGAGGAACCGTGGAGCGTGGTGATGTCACGCTGATAGGAACACGAAGCTGATACGGGCCGCATTCCCCATGGTGGAACCCGAGAGCAACTCGTTCCATGGTTCGTCGAACCTCTTACTGTCATCGATATTTCGATATTGAAGTGGAATGAATCGATCTTAAGAGTGACCTTCGTCACTCTTGGCAGCTGAGGCTGTTGTTCCTATTTCATTGCTATTGTATAGAATTTCGATGGAAATCAAGTTAGATCATTTAGGCCCAACTTAGCGTCGCTTTATGTTTAATAAGCGGCCTAGAAAAAATAGGATAAACAGAAATATATCTGGTTTGAGTGATCTCAAAATGATCTAAGATTGCTTTAGAAGTAAGTCAAGAAAAGTATACTACATGGCTTACTCCGTAGTCCGTACTGAAAACTCGCCGGTGTCCCAAAGGCCTCGGAAATGCCTACTCAGGACGATAACCGCGAGGCCTACACGCAACGCACAGAGATTCAATGGAATGATGACCGAGGCTCAGTGTTGATGATCATAACAAAGCCGACTAGGCACACGTATAAGGAAAAGAAATCAAAAAGTCTCAACAACATGTCTCGAGCCAGAAGTTCAGAATCTGCAGCTGGGATATAACATATTAACTTTTACTGATAATGTTGTACAGGGAATAACACATCCGAAAACAAACAACTCATGAAATCAAAGGAGACAAAATAATAACATCACACTAGGTGACCAGATCTCCATGTATGCGTTTTGGGGTCTCCGGACTCGATTGGCCCTCACCTATTTGGCTGGAGAATAGTTAGTATATGCGAAATTCATAAAAGAGGTAAGATGCGTATATACTTCTCCACACAGCTCACGAAATATCCCATGTCAAAATATTTCTCTTCTTCGAAATCCAGCTGGCTTGGCCCCTCTGCCGTAAAGACGATTGAGACATCGAAGTCTATTCAGACAACTCGACTTGGACGACCCGGTACAATCAATAGATTTTTTGGATGGGATTCGTTATGAATAACACCAGCATTATGAATCTCTGCCAGAGCTTGCTTCAAGACATCAAAATGATGCATCGTAAACTTCTCGATATTGGAAGCTATTGGCCCAGGAAGATACTCGAGAAGGATCGCACACGGTCGGTTTTCATCTAGTTTGAATGCATCGAGATTCGGGTTGAAGATACTAGGATCTAGATCTTCTAGGATACCATAGAAGCGAGGGACAAACCCTTGACTGCATACACCTTGTGCATCTAAAAGTAGAATATGCCCGAGATTCGCAGCGATATCGACAAAGATCTCGACCATCATGCGAGTAACCTGGGTCTTTTTCCATATGAAACTATAGGCGATGAGCTTTGCTATTAATGAGGGCATAGAGAGTCGAACCACTTTAAGGCAATAGGGAAGTCCTTTGTAGGATATATGGAAGATTTCAGAAGATTCAGTTATATGAAGCTTCTGCACAAACACCACATCAGAGGGTTCCAACTTTGAGATCAAAGAGGTCTGAGCATTTTCCATAGTCCTGGAAAAAAGGGGAAGTAGAGTATAGGACGAGGTCCTTTAGTATAAGGAGAAAACTTTGTATTAGAGAGTTACGAGTTCAGTAGAGCGAGGTCTTGCTCTATAGTAGGTAGTTAGTAGCCTTAGTTCATTATCAAGGGGCTAGCTGCAATACCAAGTATCTTGCCAATAGCCGGCACCGGACATTTGGTCGATCCGTGAGCACTATATATTATGCGCATAATTCAGCCCTTACTGACGTATGTAGAATTTGGGAAAGCAACTATAAAAAGCCTGAATATTCCCTAGATAATTGTGGATATAAGTATTTTTTGTTATGCCGGAAATTATTATCAAACTACACGTAGTTCTTATCTACTCTATTGTGAGCCTCATGCAACAATCCCCGAGTCAATCCAAGGTGTAGCTGGCCTTTCAACATGAAGTCATCCAGTCTGAGTTTATTATTTATAGGTATTGACCTGGTTTCATCTTCTTGCCTTTCTTATCTCCTACCATAAAAAAGCAGAGTTGAAGAGGTCAATCTCGAGGAAGATCAGTAGTTTAAAACCTTCAATCCAAGACTTTCCTGTAATGAAGCTCAAGCATACGACAGCCGGCTAGCAATTTGTGGACAAGCAATGTATTTTAAATGCCAAAGGATGGTGTGGGCCAAAAAGTAAAAAATCGAATTCTTATACAGCAGCCTGCGTTCTATTCTCCAGAGGAAATTCACGGTTCTTCGGTCGCCTAAACAAACGAAGAGGAGAATACCCAGTATACTCAAACTGCGGTAACAAAGCATTGCAGAGGAATCGATCCGTCGAACGCAATTGACCTGTCTGAAGCATCCGATTTGCTAGGCCGCACAGAAAGATGAAAGAGAACACGTAGCCGAGCCAATACAGCACCAGTAGCGTGATCTGGATAAACGGTCTACTGGCAAAGGGCCATCCCACGAGCATAAAGAGGTTCAAGGGAACCAAATGGAGGTATGGACGCTCGAACAGTGATAGGACGAGCGAGGGGTAGAAAAGAATGACACCTGCTACCGTGACTGTGATGCGGCGGAGGACGATCATGGTGTAGACGAGGAAGGGGACAGCTAGCGCAATGAGGATGAGTATTATGCGGACTTCGTGGAAGTATAGAAGCGAGTGACGGTGTCCCATCTCGTATAGCGTTCGTGCGATCTCGCTGTCGCTGGGGAGGAAGTCGTAATCATCGTAGAAGAAGAAATTCACTAGCGAGGGCTGATGGGATGGAATTGTCTTTTCATAGAGCTTTGTTGTCGCCTGGGCAATTGAATTCGGCTGTGACCATTTCTTTTCTGCCTCTTCTGACCAGCGACTGTGATGGCAAATGGTGGGAGTGCTCATCAGCCACGGTCCGAAATCCGTGTTTTTGTTGCCAATGAGAGCCATTGCCAGGAGAGATCTCGAGCGATAAAAGCTGTAGCCTTCGCGGTACCACAGGGGCGTCACTTGAGTGTTCGGGAATATGCGTAGTAGCTCATTCCAGATATCAATGAAATAGGTCTCATCCCTCGCCGCCTCGTCCGAGGCGCCCGGATGTCTTCCGAGGGGCTTACTTAACATGACCCTCGCCCATTGCTTGGCTTGCCTGAATTGATGCCAGGGAACAGGCGATTGTGATGTGTGGTAGAGAATGGGAAGATACAGGATATTGAAGGGTAATACGACCGCAGGCGACAGTAGATGTGCACCGGACTTCCACAGGCAATTCATATAAAGATCAAACGGGTATTGACAGAGATGTGCCCTTCTGAATTGATGAAACACTGAAAGAGTCTCATCAGATCTCAGCTGTTGCTGTTCGCAAATTAGCTGGAAGATACGTAGCCCGTTTCCTTCTTTAAAGAGACGCTGCGGAAGTAAGGACGGACTGATTTGCTTCATCGCGCCGTCTTCACCTGAGTAGAGCCCATTCTTGGAGAAAAGAAACCGCAGCGTGGCTCTATTGATCAATGCGGGCGAGAGAATGTAATCGAAGACAGTTGAGTAAGGAGTTATTTCCTCATCGATCTTAGCCCCATTGTCAAGGAGGAATCGCACTAAAAAGTGGTATCCGTGATCGAAAGCATGCAGCAATGGTGGGATGAAAAGATAGTATGAGTTGAACCAGGGACTAAAAGGAGTGACCACCGTCCAGCTGAACAAGCTTTGCAGTGGACCGGAGTAGTGGTAATCCAAGCCAGCTTCGAGAAGCGCATTCATAAACCAGCTATCTTTCGAATACATAGCCACCAATGAATAACAATTCAGCGAGTGAGATGGATAGTCGCTGGAAGATGAGCTTTCCACTAGTCGCTCAACATCTGCATTAAACTCATGCAGTATATCGAGGAAGGCCTGTCTCAGACCCATAATGATAGTCAGGTGAAGCAGGGACCGGCCATCTTTGTAGAAGATCTTGTCAATTGGCCTTACCATTGGCTGGAGCCGTATCTTTCTTCTCGTGTCAAGAGCTGTCGATGCCCCGCGCTTGCAGGTGCAAGTTACGCGGTCCCTGTCACGGATACGAGACGCTAGTTTGGTGTTCGTGTATGTCCGGAGGAAGAGACGAGTAAAGTTGGAACTGTGGATCTGTAGGGCAAACAACAGCGTGTCCTCGTAGCAGCAAAGCGCCTTGGAGGAACTCCAGATTATCGAGTCCATCGTGCTACGGAGCCGTTCATGCCAACTTGGCCCATGGCAGCATATCCTCCACCAGATATCAGGGGTCCTCCATCCATCTCTTCGAGTGGACTGCCATCCTTGGGCGACGGCATCCATAAACCCCTTTTGGAGGCCGCCCATTTCGAAGGTTGTGTCTTCGACAGGAACAGAGTACCACTCGTCGTCGAGATTACCAGGATCGTTCGTCGGCCTCTGTCCTCTTGCATACTTAATTAGTGCCTCCCTAGTATCGGGGAATGAGAGAGTAGACGCCCAGCGAATCATCTGCCGTACGAGGTTGCCATCTCGCGGCTCACTGGGGGGCGCAAGCAAAAGAAACTCCTGAAGGAGAACAGTACGACCCCGTCCGGCCAAGCGCTGGATCGCCTTCCCGGGAAGAACGGGAAGAGGGTCAAGCTCCACCATAGAGAGGGTATGGTCATCCTCGGGACTGCTTGCCGCGACGGCTTCAGGAAGACGATGGGGGTCCGTCTCTATCTCCCAGTCGATTCCACGTTCCACCAGCTCATGCAAGATGATACTCCCTTTGTCATCGGTAAACCGCCACAGATGGTGCAAGCAACTTTCATTTCGCGTGTTCACTATATTGACATCTGCCCCGGCCTGCATCAGACACAGCGCGGCTTCCAGATTGCCCACACTGCATGCAGTGATCAAGGGGGTATCCCCATAATCATTCTGGGCATTTATCTCACGAACTACATCCTCGTAGTCAAGAATATGGCGGAGATGATCTTCCAAATTGCAATACGCGGCCCAATGTAGAACCGTGTCTCGGACTTGGTTGGTTATCATCCTTTCCTTCCATTGCGTTCCGGGGATCTCATCAATCAGCTGTCGGAAATGCGACACATCAAGGACGGTTAATGGCGAGCAAAAGCGATACGACGCACGTCGGTACAAAACCCACTCTTTGCCCTTTCGATAAACGCCGCCGTCGGTGTATTCCTGGAATGCAACTTCATATCCAGCGACAGCAGCCTCGGCGACCCATTCGACCGGCACTCGAAGCTCCGGCAGCAGGACTCTCTGTCCATTCACCCCTTTGGCAAATGTCTTTAGAAGGCGCCTGATGTAGGCTCGAGCGGTAGTTTCACCCTGCTCCGCTGCTTTGTGAATCATCAAAAGAGCTGCTTTGTAATCTGAATTCTTCGGATCCCCCAGTCCGGCTATGTTGCATATTCCTAGCTCATAGAGAGCTCGGGGTCTCCTGACATCGTTCGGGTCATGAGAAATCCTATAGAGAGCTTCCATCATTTGATCGTGAACGGGACCTCGGGCGCGCTGGAACAATTGGTAATTGATCACTATCTTTTGAGGCAATTGGTTGGGCAGGGGACTCGGCGGGATCGAGTTCACCAGGCCCATAATGGCGGCCAATTCCTCACTGTCGAGAGCATCCTGTCCCGTGCGCAATATTAAAAGGATTTCCTGCTGGATGCTGTCCAGGCGGCGAGACTCGGGGACTAGAGAAAGAGAAGCGCGGAAGATGTTCCGGAGGAACGGCCACCTGCCCTCATTGGCATCCTGCTGTAGATACCGCCGCAGCTCTCCCAGAATCGATGCAAGATAGGGGTCGTAAGACGAGGCACCTTGCAACGTACCGCCGGATGGGATGGATGCGGGAATTTCCGCATCTCTCACGAGGACTCGCCACAAGGTTGCGCCCAGAGAATAGATGTCGGCCGGTCGAAAGTCGACGATCGTTTCGCGGCGAACAATTTCTGGTGCCCTGTAATTTGGGGACCCAACCAGCCGCCTGCACGGAACATTCTTGCTCACCCAGGAGTGACTGAAATCTGCAATCTTCGCTGTGAAGGTGCTGTCTGGGCCCGTTGAAGCGTGGCATAGAAGAATATTGGCCGGTTTGATATCTCCGTGAATGATGCCGCACGCATGGATTGCCGAAAGACCGTTAGTAATGTCCAACGAGATGCGAATTCTGGTTTGAAAGGGAATGTCGGTGGAACTCTTTAGCAGGTTGTCCAAGGATTGGTCGGCAACCTCGAGAACAAGCTGTGGTTGCACTGCGGGCGTCCTGACGAAAAGGTCGAAATACCACGAAATGCCCATTAGCGTGATTATGTTTGGGTGCCAGTAGAGCGGTCGGTGGGAAAGAATGCGAGCTTCCATGAGAAATCCTGCGACATCTTCGGGCAGCATGCACTGCCCTGAGGCGTCAAACAGCGTCTTGGGCTTTTTGAAGACGACCGGCGTGCATTTGGTGTCATACTGGCCGATCCGCGTCTGGGAGGGAACCTTTTGTTGAATCTCTCGCTTGTATGCAACGAAGACTGAGCCCTGTCCCAGGAGAGACTGTTCTCTCTCCCGTGGATTGCCGTCTACATCGTCAAAGTTGAGGTATCGCCCGCGACTGTAGATGGTGGAGATGGTGGTTACTGCGGAGATAAAGTCCAGTGGAGAAGACGACTCGTCTTCGCCGTGGGACTCAGAAGGAATGTTCGACAGTCGAGACGCCATCGATAGGACTGGTGAACATGTACGGCATCAGGTAGATGTCCTCATATCGAAGTTTATTTCCCCTATGCAGACAGAATCAAGCCGTCTGACCCTCGCGGAGCCTGCTTCTGTTAATATAGGCCCACGTAGCCTTTGGCGCGTGAGGCTAAGAAAGCGCAAAGCCCGCTTGGCTACCTATAATTAGAGCCCAACCCAAGCCACCGCATGTGGCGGAGTCCATGGCAAACAGGAAGAAGATGGCAAGAAAAGATAAGAAGAAGGGACTTTCATGTGCCGGAAAAATAGGTACTCGGGAAGAGCAGACGATTCCATCACCATGGAGCCTGCTGGACTGGCTATCGGAGTGATCGGTCTGACCAGCCTCTTCGATTCATGCTTGAAGCTATACGAGCACGTCAGCAACGCCAAGCGCTACCCGGAAGATTGCAAGCGACAAGTGCTCTTCTTGGACTTGGAGAAGTCGCGATTTGATCTTATCCGGATCGAGATTCTGCAAGGGGCATCAAACACCTTTGACGATGGAGCTAACCTCTCTGCTGCGACGAACTTACAGAGCGAATACCTCGGTCGAATACTAAGCAGCGTTCAGGGAGTCTTAACGGAGGCGCAAGCGATCGTCGAGAAGTATCACAATCAAAAACCCGACCCCAAACGGAAGCTGAGAAACTTCATCTCCTCCAAACTACATACAAGTCAACTGTCGTGGATCGCCGACGACAAGAATCGGTTGAAAGAATTGATCGAAAGCCTGCGACAGCTGAACGGCTATATAGAACAGATTCTTCCGGAAACCTCTCGCCAGCGGCTTCAACTCGGATTCGGGGCAGCGGTGGTCCTGTCGGCGGACATTAACCGACTGCGAGAGATCCAGAAGGAAGGGTACGAAGACTTAGAACAGAGCGCGGCTGTCCGAATAGCGAAGCTGTCAATAAACTCTGCGCCAGTTGTCTCTCCTCCCTCAAGCCAGGATCTTCGGATCCACAACCCATGCATCCAGCAACGAAGGCCTCTCGAAGGCAGTTTCGGTGTATACAGCTCAGCTCTCTATGAGACTGGTTCCTCGGGACAGCCAAACAGGCGGGGCGTTCTGCTCGAGCGTAGAGAGGCGTTTGCCACGGTGGATTCCATCGAGGCAGCCGAAAGACGTCTCAACCATCTAGTCGGAGCCGTGCAGTCCATGCAACTACCTTCAACAAAACAGTCTCAGGCTAATAGCACCGTTGCGTCGAATCCCGTGGGCTTCGGTGTGCCTCGGTGTCTGGGATGGATAGCCCCAGAAAGCTCTGAGCTAGACGTGATCGAGTTGGTTTACGAATACCCACAGGATACAACGCAACGTCCTGTTTCCCTTCACATGCTCCTCCAACGCCTGCAATCAAGCGATCGTCCCTCTCTCGGCGCCCGATTCAAGCTGGCGCTCCGCTTGGCTCACTACTACGCCAGTTTCATATCCGTCGGGTATTTCCACAAAGGCTTGCACAGTCACAACGTCTTCTTCTTCAATGACACGCTTGATCCGTACATAGTTGGTTGCGCAGAGTCCCGGCCGGAGATCATTTCCCAGCATTCATCCCCCCTCTCTGACGCGATCGAGGATCGGGAACTGTATGTGCCCTGGGAGACGGTTATGGCGATGGAGGAAACCGATCCTTCGAAGCGGACACGATGGACCGCGGCCACAGACATCTACGGCTTGGGGGTGATGCTCGTAGAGATTGGGAGATGGAGCTGCGCGAGCGAGGCCTGGAATGCGGCAAGCTTGTATGACTTCCATCGGACTATTCTCCCTTGCTTGGTCGACGAACTCGGGTACCAGATGGGAGACATTTATCGGACTGTGGTACGGGCATGTCTCACCGCGGGTGAATTTGGGGCTGCAAGCGAACTTGGAGTGTGGCAGAGCTATGCAGACAAAGTTCTCAAGCCCTTGGAATCTTGTCGGGCTTAGACTTTATCGTAGGCAAATGAATTGGCAGAGCTGACCCTTTTATCACAAGAGCAACTGCACCGTGTCAGCCTTGTGAACGCCGGTCGGACTGAGCATTGATAGATCCCAATAGGCTTGTTATCAGTGTTCTTCAGCATTGTATTCAAAAGCTTTCTCATTGGAACTCACATCCATATCCAAACACTGGCATGATTTGATCGCAGTCTCTAGGGCTTTGTGGTAATAACGGGCAAATATATATGATGTCATGTCGTCGAGATGCGGCTTGAGTGACAGGCTTCAGTCCTAGCTTGAGCTTTCGAGTGCAATTTTTCCTGTAATATTCACGTTCCACTCCAGGACTCAATCTCAAAATAAATAGGTAAGATGGTTCCTATCAGCCCTTATCAACGACGTTATCAAACTAAGTGGTCCGTCCTCGGGTAGTGGATGCCGTCACCGGACTGGACCCGATCCGACGACTTTCCCTCTAACATCTTCTTCAGCAATCGATACGAATCGAACTGAACATTCAGTCTGAATTCCAGCATTCGAAAGATATGGCACACGACGAAATTGTCGTTCTCGGGTACCTCCCCATCAGCAACTGACCACATCTATTGTATCTGACTCATCCCACTTCCAGTGCGGGTATCATCGGCTTAAGCGTCGCTCTGGAATTATCCAAACGTGGATACGGTCAATATGTCACGGTAGTAGCGGAGCATCTTCCAGGCGACAAAACTACTCATTACACATCGCCTTGGTACGTGGGCCCTCGTCGCCTTCGCTTCGAAAGATCAATTGAGTGTTTCCCATGTATGCTATGGACATGCAACTGACGTTTCTGGTAGGGCCGGCGGAAACTTCTCTGGTATCTCGGGCAGCGATAAAAATGCCTTGCATTGGGATCGATTGGGTTATTTGACCATGATGGACTTGGTGGATAGAGGTGCCGAAGAGGCGAAGTATTTGTTGAAGACGGCGTCAACGGAGTATTGGGATGAGATGCCCTCGAGGGATAAGATTCAGAGTATCGTGGAGTATCTGCGAGATGTATGTTATTTTTCTCCTGCGGCGCATCTTCTTCGTGATGGAAAAAAAAGGGGAATAAGAAAGCTAATCCTCCTCCAGCCCGTCCAAATCCCCAAAAATGAACTCCCACCCGGAGTCTCCTTCGGCATCCGATTCACCACCCTCACGATCAACGCACCGGCCCATTGTCAGCATCTCCAGGATATCTTGTCCAAACCGCAATCCGGGGGCGTGCGCTTTACGCGCCGCAAAATCGCATCCCTGGCCGATGCATTCCTCTCGCCAGCCACGAAAATCGTCTTCAATTGTATCGGCAACGCGGCGGCCTCGTTTCCCGGCGTTATGGACTCCAAATGCTACCCGACCCGTGGACAGATTGTCCTAGTCAAGGCGCCCTCAGTCACGCAGAATATCATGCGTCATGGCAAGGATTATGAGACGTATGTCATTCCGCGGCCGCTCTCCGATAGCACGGTCGTTCTGGGCGGGTACCTGCAGAAAGGCAACTGGGATAGTCAGGTCAAGTCGCATGAGACGGAGTCGATTCTGAAGAGGACTGGGGAGTTACTGCCTGTGTTGAATAATGGGGAGACGCAGATCCTGGGAGAGGCGGTGGGGTTTCGGCCGTCGAGGGAAGGCGGAGCAAGAGTGGAATTGGAGCAGATGGAGGATGGGGGGAAGATCGTGGTGCATAATTATGGGGCTGGAGGGACGGGGTTCCAGGCTGGATTGGGGATGGCGAAAGATGCGGTGGATTTGGCTGATGAGAAGTTGAGAGATATTAAGGAGAAGAGTCGACTGTGAATATGTCATTGCCTATAGTTCGGTTCAAAGGTAATCAATACTTGTGATTGTATTCACAATGTTGCGGCCTTTGTAGTTGTATGAAGAAAGCGATCTGAGTCGACAAGTACGATTTAGGGGCATATGAAACGAAAGAACCTAAAACGAATACAAGAAGCCCTTCTTTGAATGCTACATAGGAGCAATTGAATATTCCTAATAATTTTGTAGCCAATTCCCCTTTACTACAGAATCCAAAAACATGATCAAACCCAATTACACCTATAAAAAGATCTCATTTTGTTTCGTAAATTAAGCATTCACTTTAACGTATCTTCATCTTCAAATCAAGATCTTCCACCATCTCATCATTGATCAGTCGATTACCATTCTTAAACACTGGCCTTCTTATTCTCCGTCACTGACTCAACTGGTACCTCAGCAGTTCCCTTCTTCTGCTTCTTCGCAATGCGGAATCCTCCCACCGCCAGGATCAAGGCCTCCAGGCCCAGAATAACAGCCAGGGTCACCATAGCTCCAATGACACCAGCAACAGGCCGAGAAACACCGCCGTCATCCTTTGACGAGGCACTCGCCGAGCCCGAACCAGAGTCTGAGCCCGATCCGGAGCCAGACGAGGAGCACTTGCTATCCGCATTGCCGCAGACATCACACCACTCGGCATCGGACGTGATGGCGATCTTCTTGGTCTGCTCGACGAACTTGTCCCACGGGATCATGGCGTTGGATTGTCCGTACAGAGCGTACTCAGACGGCGTGCTGCCGTCCGTGACCGTGCCGTTGTGGAAGATGAAGCGCACGCTGATCTCCGACGTCGAGGGGAAGTCGGTGCCCGGGGCGTTTGTCACGAGTTCCCAGGCCATCGAGGACGCGTAGTCTGGAACTCCCGTGAAGTTGACGTTCACGGAGGGAAGCTGCGCCAGGCCGAAGTAGGAGAGGAAGGTGCCGTAGGAGCCGAATTGGATGTTGAGTTTCTTCTTCTCGGCCTTCGTGGCGACGGTCTCGTTGAGGGCTGAGAGCATCTCGCCGGCGAGTTGAGAGCCTGCGACGGCCCGCGCCGTGTCGGTGGAGTTGTAGGCGAGGTTGTATTGCTCGACGTTGGCGAGTTGGAAGAGGCGGCGGAGTTGGCTGTCTGAGGGCGTGTTGGAGGTGTTGTGGATGGAGGCGACGTTGAGGTAGTCGAAGATGGTGTACGCGTTCTTGAAGCTCATTTCCGAGTCCGAGAAGGCACCGGAGAGCATGGAGGAGAGGGACTTGTAGAAGGAGGCGCTGGAGTCAAGGATCCCGTTGTACAGCTCCGAGCTGTAGTAGTTGTTGCTGCTGACTTTGGCATTCTCGCAGCCGGTGGCGTCCTGCAGCCAGGTGTTGTCCTCGCTGTCAGTGCCCTGGGAGACGAGGGACAGGGGGATGAGCTGGTAGCCGTTCAAGGGCGTCTCAATGGTGGTGCCGTTGCTGAGGGTTTGGTTGGAAGATGAGCCTGCGGGAGGGTAGACTCCCTGCATGAATCCAAGAGCAGAGCTCTGGAGCACGTTGTCAGAGGGCGCAGAAGTGTCGATCTGGCTGAGCTGGACGATGCTGTCGCTGATGCCCTCGATGTGAGTTGACGAGTCGGAATCGATGTATCGGTCATGGTAGTAACTGCCGGTCTGATAGACCTGGCTGTATCCCAAGTCGGTGAGTTTGGTGTTTCCCAGAACTTTGGGAGTGCGGTCACCGTGACGAGCAAAGATATAGGCTCCGAGGACCCGTTCAGCCGAAGCGAAGGGAGCAAAAGGCGTGGCCAGGAGGGCCAGCACTAGGCCCGACTGTTGCGAAGAAGACCGCATCGTATAGGTTAGAAGACACCAAGGACACCAGCAGATCGAGGATTGGCTCTTCCTAAGGAAGACAGATGGATGGATGAAAGAGGTTAAATGCGACAGCGGAACAGCCGCGGAGAAAGGAAAGGTCGGGTGTTATCATCATGATTCCTGACTCACGGCGGGGTCCGCAGATAGAGGAATGCGACTACCGGCCTCGTTCGGAGTGAGGGGACATTTCCGCGGTCGGACCCAGCCTGCAGAAGCTTGCTTTTGGTGCATGAGATGTCCCGGACCACGCCTGAATTGAGTTACCCAACTGGCGATACCAACCAGGGCCATGCGGGGAACCACCCAGTGACATGGAAGGATTTGTCCGAGGAGAAAAGGATGGGCAGGAGGAATAAATTCATTAGCTAATTGCATCCTATCAGCTACGAGTACGATAACCTGCATGCTGCCATTGGATTAGTGCCGGTGGAAGGCAGTCTAGCCTCCCGATCTTGGCAGCGAATTAGTTGATCTAACGCTCTTGGCGGCCATCGGTGAGGTCCGCTAATTCGGTTAAAGGGCGTCGGAGAATAACTCAGTCGGGGCCGAGTCCAGCCCTGTAGAGTCGGCATTAATGATGGTGGAAGTTGGGTTACATGGGTGTGTACTACTACTACCCAAGAGCAAGAGGTATATACCTCCAGGACAGGGGCAGTAGATAAGATGAGATGAGATCGCATCGGATAAGATCAGATAACGAGGAGCAAAAGCTCTAGAGAAAAGTCAAGGTTCCAATCTGATTGCTTTGTGTTTTCTTCTTCTGCGACGATCCGCAATTCCCATCGGTGGAAAAATATATTCAGGCGTTGATCAATAATGTCAGGTCGAAAATGTCAGGCCACCCCACCTGCGTTGTACCCTGGGACTCGAGGCCTAGGACCATGGGCTGCACACCCCCACTCTTGGTATAAATTGCACATATGATCTCGGTGATACTTGCCGAAATGAAAATGGTCGCAGAGTGTAGTATCTGAACGTGCCATGGTGGTGAACATAAATGATATGTTCTAAATTCATGGACTGGATCCCCCTACGCCCCCCAAAAACAGTGACTGATTTTCAATAATAAGCAAACAAGATTACCTTAAGATAATCCTGTACACCGTAGTGACTTTTTACTTCACATATGCGGAGAATATTACTCATTTCTTGGTACGACAAGGCAGGATGACCACTAGCCTACTACCACCCGGAATTGGCCGAGAAGACCGCGGCCTAGAAGGTTGTAGAGGCGTTTTGACTTGAATTTCTTACCAGAACAAATCTGCGGTTAAGAATCTCTAAACCATGAGACTTTCTCCGATCTTACCGATCTCATCAGTGAACTGTGAATGGCAACCGGAGCCACAAAAGCTTGGCCTAACATAAAGAAAAGCCAAGGATAGTGGGGTATATGGGCTCGGAGATCAGATCGAACGAAGAGTTGAAATGGCTGGTCTGTGGTCAATGCCTGCACCATCGACAATTGCTGGCGGTTGCAAGCTCGACGCTCAATGGCACCCTTGAATAGCTCTTGTCCGGTTGGAAGCCTTATATAAAGTAAATGATTCATCTTACTCCGTAGTGAGGGAAGCTTTTATACAACTAACAAGGGCAATCCCGGTTTCCGCGAATAAGTGCTCTTTTTATTTATCAAATAGTTCCTTAGCGACTTGTTAAGGAAGTGAAGGAAGTAGCAGGGTCAAAAAGCAGAGGCAAAAAAGAAAATTGAATTCCGGTGCGGGGAATCGAACCCCGATCTCCTGTGTGAAAGACAGGTATGATAGCCGTTACACTACACCGGATGCGGAAGACACAACCACTAAGCTAACTCGCTAGTGATATATTGTGGGCCGCAAATCTTGCATACAACAGGGTGTAGCACATCGTATGGCCCAGATGCTTGATGCTTGTCCAGATGCGCAGAAGTATACCCCGTAGATAGGTATTCTGCTATAAGGCCGTTGAATACGATGGTCCCTTCCCTGTACTGGAAAGATGTCTTGCATGTCCCGTTAATTTACATTAGGACCCCGGAGCAGTATGATACACAATGGATGTTAGTCGTTCTAAGCAAGCGGCATGTTTTTGCCCTGCCCTTTGCATAGCTAGATTGTTTTAACCAGTATGCCCGTACAATTTTTCAATGCATCTGGACATATTACTATCTCTTCCTTGTGTATTGTCAGAAATTCGATATACTCAACTACGCCGTGGTCACTCATTAGATACATTATAGAGTGCACATGAAAATGTGTTACGGGTCCTGGAACGCATCGTCGAGCGTCAGCTCATGGATTGAAACCTCTCTATTTCAGTCGGATCAAGCCTCTGGCTTATAATATCAAATAGTGCTTCGCTTATCTCATTCACCTCCGGTGTAGTGTAACGGCTATCATACCTGTCTTTCACACAGGAGATCGGGGTTCGATTCCCCGCACCGGAAGATTTCTTTTTTGCCCACTTTTTTTTTCTAGTTTCATTGCACAATGCAACAAGCAAAAAGCGCTCTATGGCCGGATGAAAGATTCCATAATATGGTGCCTAGGCTGGTGAGAAGCCTCGAGTCGACTCATCCTATAGAAACTTTTGGGTACAATGAATGCTACGGAGCGTGTTTTGGTAGGTAAAGACATCATGGCTATTCAACTTTCTGGAAGGGTATTCGAATCTATTACTTTTGCTATCCTCGACAAAAACTTGAAAGAAAGGTCAGAAGAAAGGTCAGACAGAGACACTCTTATCGCCCATCAACTCGCACCCGTTTCTTACAACTCCGACTAAACCGCCTGTTTGCATGCTTTCGGAACCGCCGCTGGCAAGGCGCCACTCGATTTCAGCAAGACCCTCTAACCAGGTAATTGTCGTCTGTGCAGGAACCTCCAGCCGCTGCAGTTGATCACCTAAAGCCGCGAGGATGTCGGCCAAGGCAAGTCCCTTGTTAGACTTGAGCGTATTGACCGTATTGAGACACGAAGTGACGTCGCTAGTTGCAAGGAGTGTCGTCAGGATTTCTTGGATGTCAGATGGATGCGGGGCGGCAATGCAGTCGTAAATCGTCTCGTTCGTAATCAGCTCCGGTTCGGGGCGCGGTTGATCTTTGGGTGCGTTCTTCATGGGGAGGGGTATGCCTATAGGGTGTTAGCATTGTAGCAAAGGGAAGAAGAGCCTCGGAGCATACTGCTTGCGTGGCAGGCTTGGAGCACGTTCAATGCGCGACGCATGTCACCCTTGCTCAACGTGACCAGACTGTCGACCGCTTCTGGTTGAATGTTTACTTGTTCCTTCTCTACCACCAGATCGACCAATGACCTGATATCTTGCTCCTTCAACGGACTGAAACGGAATCGAGTGCATCGGGACAGAAGCGCCGGGGAGAGTTTGTGCGTATAGTTTGCAATGATACAAAATCGTGTGTTGGCGGTGTACTTCTCCATAATCCGACGGAGCGCCATCTGGGCAGTGGAGGTCATCGCGTCGGCTTCATCAAGAACGATCAGTTTATACGAGGCGAGAGACGATTCGTTGGATGTCGACTTGGGTGCCATGGAGAAGATCTGTTTCGTGCCTATGCAGCGTCTAGTTAGCCTGGGGTCTAGTAAACAAAGGTTTGACTTGGGTAGACGAACTAGCAAAGGTTTTGATTTGCTCTCTGACCACGTCAATGCCTCGATCATCACTAGCATTGAGTTCAAGTACCATTTGGCGCATGTTCTTCTCCCCGTATATCCGCCTTGCGAGCGCGAGAATTGTGGATGTTTTACCGGTACCGGGAGGTCCGTATAGAAGGAGATGTGGGAGTCGCTGCTCGGGGTTAGCGACGACTCTTATCCAAAGTATTCGTCGAGGATGTATTTCCATACGTTGGCTTCGACAAATTTGTCGATCGTGGCTAGGATGTCCTGGTGTCCGGAGACATCGTCCAGTGATACGGGACGATACTTCTCTACCCTGGATCAGGTCAGTCAATCCCAAACACCAACATAGATCATGAGATAAAATTCATGTGCTTACCATGGGAGGTTATCTAGAGCTTCCACCGGCAAGTCGGCCGCAGTCCTCTTCGCTTTCCCAGCGGTGCTATCGGAGCTGAACTGCAGAGCGCCCTTGGAAGGGGCATCCACGTCCATTTCGTCCTCGTAATCAGACATTTCCTGGGTTCTTCGCGAAAGCAAAAATCACACGACGGTCACTATAATTGAATCCAGTAGTAACCAGGTATTAAGGGTAGCTTTCAGTTCGACAGGGGACTGGGGGGGAAGCAGACGCGTCGGAGGCCGCCCGCGCGTTAAGAGGTTCGGCGCCGGAAAATCCTGGGCTCGGTCAGCCCTACCGGTGATGACATGCAACTCCCGCCGTCTGGCAGCACTGCCTCCCCTGCGCTTCCCTCCAACAATCCCCTTTAGACCGGCTCTAGGAGGATTATTTGACCCATTGGAACTACACAACATGCCTGTATGTGCTATCGCACAGTAATACTGATGATCTTCCAGTGTCTGACTCCAATCTAGGCATACCACTCTATCTTCCTCGAGGACCGCGATGTCCCCGTAATCGGTACGACCAGAGCTCTCCCCTCCCCCGGCCTGCGCATCCCCTGACTGAAGCGATATCCCCTTGAACCTCATTCGCGAAATGTATCTACTCGCTTACTGACCTTATACCTCGTCGCAACAGGCAACTTTCCTGTCCTCCCCCTCCGCACCCGCACTCGCGGCCCCGCATACACTCTCCCCCCGCTACCGCCCAATACCTCCGATGCCGATGTTCCCCCAGACCACGAGTCCTACGACTGCGTCGATGAAATCCTGTCTCTATTCCGCGCCAATGTTCTCTTCCGAAACTTCGAGATCAACGGCCCTGCCGACCGGATGCTCATCTACGGAACTTTGTTTATCAGCGAATGTTTGGGGAAGGTCCGGCCGTCGATGTCGAGCCTGGAAGCTAGCAAGGTACTTTATGAACATGAGAGTGGGGTTGGATGGAACATACAGGCTGACTTGGCTTTCTGTTTAGGCCCTGAACAACGTCGCCCTGGATCAGTTCGCTATTCCTGGCGATGCGTCGTTCCCCCTGAACCAAGCCTTCGAGCCGCCCCGGGATCGTCAGGATGCCGAAGGTCTCAGAGCGTATGTCCCGTCCCAGGCAACACCTATCGTAACTCATGATTACATTCGATCATCTCATGCTCATAATCCTTGCCAGGTACCTCTCCCAAGTCCGACAGGAGATCGCCATTCGCCTACACGCTAGATTATACCCCGGTGGAGTCGGTCCTTCGAAGGTAAACACCGTCCCGTATGTGGATAGCTTTGACTTGTGCTAACAAGTATACAGTGGTGGCTTAGCTTCGCCAAGAGAAAGTTCATGGGCAAGAGCTTCTAGGTTGAGACATTTCTTTTTGTTTGGTCACCATTCAGATTCAGCGTACAGTTCAACTTATGAAAACCTTCAAACCTACTCCTTATATCTGGCTTCGATACAATTGGTACTTTTACTGTGATATATTCGTATGTGTTGTATTCTAGATGGGGAGGGCAATACATCCATTTTGATGTAAAGGCTGTTGTTGCCTCCAGGCAACGACGTTCCCGCTAGCAGTATTCGGGATCGTGTTTATATATATGTACCTATACGTACCCATTTCTACAACAGTGTGGATCCCCTATTCTTGGTCATACTGCTATAGTAAAGATACTCAGGAGGCTTGCTTAGTACATATTTCAAATGTCCTTATGTGAGCTACACCTGTTCTTTGTTGTATATACCGAGGGGGTTCAATAATCAAGCCCCTCAGGATTACACAGGTCCTCATATTATCATACAAAACAAACCGAGTAGAAAGCTAACAGATATCTGCAAGTCTTTGTGTAACGATATTAAGACCAAGCGACTATTTAAGGCAACCATAGGACGAAAACGATTTCTAATAAAGCTATAAAGGCAGGTTTATTCCCCACCTCCAATAATAGAGTCACTATCGAAGAACTTGCCTTGTGGTGGATAGCTCTAGCGTGACGTGTTTTATTGAGGCGATCCTACCCTGACTATTTAGAGCTGCTCAATGGGCGAAAAGCGGCGAGAGGTGAGTACGAATTGCTGAGCTGGGTAGTAAATCAAGGGAGTATGTTACGCTTCTCCCAGGAGCTCAAATGCTTGGTTTGTAATTTCCTCATGTTATTCATGAAAACGTAATGATATATGATGTACTTTTGGTCATAATTGATAAGAATGCACTCTATTCTACAAGGATGGAGGTATGCATGAAGTTTGTTCCCAAAGTCCAGATCATTTGGGATCAACATCCATACCGCTGGCACTGTCGGCCGTGGCGGTAGGCGTCTCGGTGGTGATTTTCCTCTTCTTGCGACTTAAGTTTCCGGCCGCGTGAACGGCTGCTTGAGTGGGAACCACTCGCACGGCATGGAATACATAGCCCTCGGCACCACCGCGTCCGGACATTAGCGGATGCGTGCGGCCCGGTAGGACCTGCCAGTGGCGTACTCGGGAGGTCTCAAGTGTCGGCGCCAATAGAAGCGAGGGATCGAGGAAGAATTCTTCAAGGAGTTCGGGGAACTCGGTGACCTGGGGCTCTGGGTTGCCATCCGCCGTCTGGTCATTAGATTGTTGCTGCTGCTGCTGCTGCTGCTGCTGCTGCTTTTCTCTCAAATCCTGTCTCTTATTGAGGAAGGCCGTCTTTCTCGGCGTAGAGTAGAGATCCATGAGCTGGGTGAGAGGCTCGATTGTCGGCGAGTAGACCGCGACCTGAGCTGAGCCGGCTAAGAGGGGAACAGCGTGTTTCAACAAGCTGTCGGGATCGGAGAGACTGGCAACGACCAGTCCGTCGTATCCACCAGCCCGAACTTCGTCCACAACCTTCTGAACTCGCATCCATCGATTTCGCTTTCGGTAGTAAGTATTGCGTTTGTTGGGCTTGAGCGTGGCCAATTCGGAGTCTGGAACGACAGGAGGCTCCTGGGAGTATAGGCTGTCGGCACTCGGGTCTATTAACTGTAGCCAAGACACGGTTTTCAGGTGCGTATAGAGAGGGTGCGTCGGATCGGGATTGTCTTGCTCGTATCCAAAATGCTTGAGAAGAGAAAGGTTGGCTTGCATGTTTGCATGGACAAGCGTAATTGTGTTGTCCCGCGCAGATATGTGGGCTCGGCGATTCGGACGCTTAGGAACAGTGGTGTTTGCAGAAGATTGAGCTTCCTCGGTGGCTTCTGTATCCTCCTCCGTCTTGGGCGCAAGTGGCTCATTGGCCGACGTCTGCTCCTCTTCGTCCTCTCCATCATGGGGGTAGAGGATGCCCATCCGCTCGGCCATGGCAGCAACCACCAAGCCACCCGTGTCATCAATAACGAGATAGCGTCCATTGGGTTTCGTGGAGGTGAGAGCCTCGTCTAGAGAAGAATCCGATCCGTAGTGTACGTTTCCCCAACAACCTAAAAGACCGAGCAATTCGTCGCGCAGTTCCAACGTCTTCGAGGCGTCTTTCTCATGCAGTATATAGTTTGTCAGAAGACTGACGTCCAAGGGTAGCACGGTGAAGCGCTTCATGTACTTCTTTCGCTTGCGCAGGGTGTATTTGGCGAGCGAGAACGCGGTTTTCTGGTCCAGAGCCGAATGCGATTCTAGCAGTTTGGCGATAATCTCCCGTCCCGCACCACCGGACTCTTTCTTCAAGGCTTCGATCTCCTCCACCGTCATGCTTTGGGCCGAGTTGTCGTCTAGGGTTTCGCGATTGGTGCGCACGGGGAGTTGATCCATGTTCATTTCGGCCTCGTCGTCGTCGCCCTCCGCGTCCCCAAAACCTTCGCCTTCGGTAATGAGTGATTCGGCATGGATTTCGGCCGCTGAGATTATGCGCAGAGTGCAGTTGTCGGTTTCGCCCGGAGCGCTCACGATCTCGAAGGTCAGGTAGAAGGGTCGGCCGATGATTTGGTTGGAAGGAAAGCTGCCATATTTTCCCAGAAAGATCATACTATAGGAAGGATAGCGTTAGCGGGACGGATATTCGAGAGCGACAGTCTTCCATCAGGCGAAGCAGGCACATACGTGTTCGGCACGACTTTGACGATTTTGGTCGAATCGGAGGGCAGTCGCAAAGCGACATGCTGATGAGGACGAATGTATGAATGCATGGTGTTGGGGGGTGATTCAGACCCAAAGATCAATATGAAGCCCTCCCAGTAGCCAATGCTAACCACAAACGAAGAATGGGGCAGAATTCGAGGTCAGGTCCGGTCGCCGTGAAGCATGAAAGACTTCCTTCTTTTTTTGCGATAGCGCACGGACCCTGCGGAGCACGTCGATAAAGATTACCTAATGCCACTTCCGGGACAATGTTGATCCGTTTGCCTTGTCTGTGGCGGTGCTGTGGCTTCCACCGCGGGGGTGACCGTACCATACATAAGTTACCAAATATACACACGTGACACGGCGATACGCGGCCCAGGGCAGGTACGGTACGGTACAGATTGAACCAGGGAAGGGCGGGCCAGACGGCGTGTGGCTGGTCGGCGGGAATTCGCCATCGCCAGAACGGAGGATCCACCGATGATGCTTTATCTCCATCCTTAATTATGTTGACTGGCTGACTCGCTCGCTGGGAACTTGGATGCCTGCTGTCCTTGTTCATCTTTCTTCCTTTCTCCCTCTTTTCCTCTGCATTAGTCCCCCGTTTTTCGTTTTGTTGTTTTTGTCCCCCTTCGGCTATACAGCCACTAGTTCAGAGAGGCTGATCGGGGCAAAGGCATGGCTGGTCGCCTCCTACGCTTGCTTTAACTACACAGTAGCGTGTTTCGCTGGCATAGCCTGACCTCACCGGTTGCAAATCTGCCTGGAGCACCCCCAAGGGAAGTCTCGAACCTCTCGTGCATCGGGCACTCTTACTCATTCGTCCACGACGGTTCAATAACATTGGCTACTGGGGCCTAATCCTCTTCATCCTTTGTATTCTTATTGGCCCTTGCCCCCGGTTCAGTCGTTCCAGGTTGATACTCGCAAGCCCGGTTGCCCCCAAACCGAAATAAATAAATCTGCCTTCCATGGTCTTGCGAAAACGAGCTCCGCCACATCTTTATAGCCTCAGTCAAGGGAATGCTCGTTTCGCACCTCGCGCTACAGCTGCACAAACATCCCCGACCGCGAAATCTACTGCATCTCTATCCCCGAAGCGTCTGACTCGTCCTCGTCGAGCTCAGAGCTCTCCTCAGCCTCAGCGTCTCGACTCGCAGGAATCGATATACTCCCCTGACCTCAACACGTCTCCAGCCTTCGACCTGATGCCACTAGAACAGGCCCAGAAGTCTCCCGTCCGGTCATCCGCCGGTGATGCGCCCAATCCGTGGGCCGACGAATTGGTGGAGAGGCCGGACCAGAGCCGCCAGGAGTATACCAGCCCGGAGCTTCCACCAGGTGGTAATGGCTCGCAGGTAGAGGGGCATACCAATGGGAATGGACCCGATCGTGTTCCCTCTGTTCTAGTTGCGGGCACGGAGAGGAGGACGGGTGCCAACGAATGGCAACAGAACCAAGCGCCTGGCGATGCTTCCGACTGGGAGCATTTAGGAAGTCCCTCCGCTCTACGCTCGAACAACCCATTTTTGAAACCCAAACAACCTGAACAAAATCCGTGGGAGGATCGGAGCTCCCGGCCTCATTCTGAGGACACGGCTTCTTTATCTCAGGATGGCGCCAGTACGCGACTCGGTCAAGGTAGGCTAACTCCTTAAGTCTGGAGCTGGATCGAATGCTAACATTTCACAGACGAGGGTTATATTCCAATGACAGCTCGTCTTTCTCTTTTTGACCAGCCAGCATCCGAGTCTCCGTGGGCCGAAGAGCATTCCAATGCTGCAATGCAGCCGCCAAGCTGGCATCAAAATCAACAATCAACTGCCATATCTCATCAAAACTATACCGGCGAATCTACAAATCAATTCGCGCCCAACCAGTTTCAACAGCCCTATCCGCCTTACCCGCCTTACAACGATGCGCAGGCCCTTCACGCTCCCCGGCCTTCCCAACAGCAACAGCAATATGGGATGTTGGCACCGGATAATCGAATTAACACGCCAGCCACCATCTCCACTGCAACAAGTGGTTCCTCTCATGTTCTCATCGACTTCGATGAAACCCCCCAGTCCCATGCTGATTTGGACCCAAGCAAGAAAGGTCCGAATACCGCGGATCATGAGCAGGAATCCCCGAAACAAGGCTTCGGAGGACCTGGAACTGCCCCGCCCTTGCCAGACCGTGCTAATGTTGCGGGTGCTGTTCGTGGTGCCGTGTCTCAACCCACCACCGAACCGGAATCCAACCGACAACAAGAACAGAAGCTGGAGACATATGCGATAAGACATATTAATTGGACAGATTTTACGGGGAAGCTGCGAGACTCCCCGGTGTTATCTCAAAATAAAAACGGCCCTTGTCCGTTACTTGCACTGGTCAATGCCTTGGTACTTCGCGCAAACCCAGCAACCCAGCCGCCTATCGTTAGAGCGCTCCAAACAAGAGAGCAAATATCTCTAGGGCTTTTGATCGAAGCATTGTTTGACGAACTTACCACATGTTTGGGCCCTGATGATGAACTCCCGGACATCGAGGCACTTAGTCGTTTTTTGACTATGTTGCACACAGGCATGAATGTCAACCCACGCCTGACGTTGGTACGAAAATCGTCGTTGCTGTTTGTCCTTAAAGATTGCTAATTGTGCTTAGGAATCCCAACACTCCGTTGGTACATTTTTGCGGACTGATGACATCAAACTTTATGGCACTTTTGGCGTGCCATTGGTTCATGGTTGGATTGCTGCCCCATTGAGTGATGCTGATGCTGCATTGGCTCGTGTGTCCCCATATCACGAAGACATTCAATTGCTTCATTTTCGTAAACAAGATCTCGAAGACTGTGTCATTCGAGGAGGGTCTCTGTCAGCACAGGAAGAGCAAGAAATGAATGATATCCAGGCTATCCAACAGTTTACCGACATTGACAATGCAACTCAACTGAGCTCATTTGGACTGGGCCATCTAGCGGAGAAGTTACCTCCAGGCTCGTTTTCGATCCTGTTTCGAAACGATCATTTCACAACTCTTTACAAACACCCGCAGTCCAACCAACTATTTACTTTGGTGACGGATGCGGGCTACTCCAACTACGCCGAAGTTGTATGGGAAAGTCTTGTGGACGTCAATGGATCTGGCGCTGGCTTTTTTGCAGGTGACTTCCGACCTGTCGGGCACACTCCTGCCCCTGAAACCTCGGATCCATCTGGCCCAAGAACATCCAGCAACATCCAAGGCTCCTCAGCCCCAAGCGAGCATCCAAACACCACACTCTCTGCTCAAGAACAAGCCGATGCGGACTATGCTTACGCACTATCTCTCCAGTATCAGGAGGAAGAGCGACGAGAAAGCGCCGGGAACAACCGTGACAGCAACCAACAAAGCTCAGGTTCTACTCCTGCTCTCAGCCAATCGCAACGATCGTCTGCAAACATTCGCTCCTCCGGGTTCACTAATGATACTCCTCATACCTCCTATTCAGGAAACCGCTCCTCCCGCCAAAGCCTACCTCCTAGGCGAAACTCGCAGTATCGACCTGAAAGCCACCGCATGACGAATAACGAAGCCGATGACGCACCCCCTCCTACATATGAGCAATCTGCCCATAGCCCGATCTACACGGGCCCTCCAAGCGGCCCGAATGCCTCGGAAAATCTTCACTCAAATCAATATCCTAGAAGTCCACTGGGACGACGACATCCTGGAGGCTCGATCTCGGTAGGGCCGTCAGATCGCATTAGGGAACGGAACAAGGACTGCATTATCATGTGAACATGACCCTTGCTAGATGCTGTCCACGATATTTGCTTATTTCGGTTTGTTAAGTGCACGGATCGATTATGAAGCGACGATATGTATGACTGTTATGTGTAATTATAATAGAGAAACTTCCAATATCATTTTTGCTTCTCTTCTACTACGGAAGTCATGTGATGGCCTGATTGAGAGCGGAGCTCACGCCATCCTCTTCCTTCTTTCTTCTTCCCTTTCCCAATTGTCCACGGCCAGCAGAAGCATCACGGAGCTTCCCCTCACACTAATTCTGCCGAGATGTGGGGATTAATTTCCCTGGATCGCTCAATGCCTGTCGGCGATTGTGTTTGTTCATTAATCTCTCCTTGGCAGGACCTTGGAGTCTGCAGCCAAGCAGCTCTATGTTCAATATGCAGGCGCTGTCCCCGGGAGCTGTGACGCTCCATCGGAGGTTCTGGCATTTGAAGGATCCCTGTTCCTGTAGTCCTTTTATTCGATTGGAGGGAATACTCTCAAACTTCCTACCCCTGCATTCTTCAGTCTGCTCACCGAACCTCTCGAACACCTTGGATTTCCTGGCGCGAGGGGATATCCTACCGGAAGAAGCATCCCATTATCTTATCCTATATCAGTCTCATAGTTCCTAAATCGCACCACCCGGTCCGCCGGTCCGCCGGCTAAGTTGAGCACATGTCCCCCTCAATGCTGTGATTTATCGTTCGGATGATTGCCTTTCATTTATGAAGACCGGCTCAGAAGGTGGAGGCTGTTGTGCAGGGGCTGTCATGAGATATCAGCAGGAACGCACCCCCTCCATTGCGCGAGAACTGCTCACTAGTCAGTCAGCAAGCACCAGTGGCATGTCTCCAATGATGACCCATGCTTCGGAGACATCTCCGTCTAATATGTCTCATCTTGGCCGAGGTACAATTTTAATCAATCTATATGGTCTGCTTTGAACATATAAAGCGGCCGATCAGTGCTGATCTTTCAGGACGTAGCCGTTGATTTGGAACACAATAGTTCGGGTCGTTGTCCCCATACTACCAGAAGCTATGCAAGTACTGCGAGCTGCTGCTCTTGCGGCCCTTTTTGAAAGCACATGGGCGGCCGTCACTTGTGATGGGTCATTCGATGCTATTTCAGCCAAAGACTACGTAGCCAAGCTTCACCCCGGATGGAACTTGGGGAACACCCTTGATGCTATTCCGGACGAGGGATCATGGAATAATGCTCCTGTGAAAGAGTCGGTGTTTGACACTGTCAAGGCTGCTGGCTTCAAGAGTGTGCGACTTCCAGGTGAGATCCACATTCGTATTAGTTGGTGGAGAGTTGCTGACACTAAACAGTAACATGGACGCATCACTTTACTGGAAGCTCTCCTGACTGGACGGTTGACCCGGAGTGGCTGCAGAGAGTAGCTGATGTCGTTGACCAGATCACGTCTCGTGATTTCTACACTCTCGTCAATGTTCACCACGGTAAGATTACCGAGTCATATTGACTCGAATTGTGTGGCTGATTGTGTGATAGATTCGTGGGAATGGGCCGATGTCACCCAGTCCGGTGCCAATATCACCGAGATCGAGGAGAAATTTTACAGGCTGTGGTACCAAATTGGCACAAAGCTGGCTTGCACATCCAGTTTGGTTGCTTTCGAGTCAATCAACGAGCCTCCAGTTGAAACCGAAGCCCATGCGACTGAAATAAACAAGTTGAACAAGATCTTCATCCAGGCTATCGGTGATGCCGGGGGTTTCAATGCGAAGCGTGTCGTCAACCTTGCCGGAGGCAGCTCAGACAGTGTCAAGACATCCCAATGGTTCGAGGCTCCTGCTAACATTCCCAACCCTTACGCCATCCAGTTCCACTACTACAGCCCATGTAAGCCTTATTTCGGTACTCTTTGCACAAGATACAACTGCTCATTCGATTGAAACTCTAGATGACTTTATCTTCGGCGCATGGGGCAAAACAATCTGGGGTTCCGATGCTGAAAAGGACACTCTGACCACCGACTTCGAACTGATTCGCAACAACTTCACCGACGTTCCTTTGGTCCTCGGTGAATATGACGCATCCCCCACGAACACCGAGCCCGCCGCCCGCTGGAAGTATCACAACCAGCTGGCCAAAGCCGCTGCTCAATTTGACATCGCCACCATCCTCTGGGACAATGGATTGGACCACCTGGACCGTGATGCGGCCAGCTGGCGCGATAAAACCTCCATTGACATCCTGACCAAAACAACCGAATCTACCTCCAACAGTCTACCCGACAGCACCGAGGATGCCTCTGCGACCAGTCAATCCTCCTCGGCTTACATCTTCCACAAATCTGGCACCCAAGTCGCTGCCCAGACCTTGCCTTTCATCCTGAACGGTAACACTCTCGAATCGATCAAAGAGTCTGGCGGCAGCACTCTCTCAAAGGGATCCGACTACAGCGTCTCGGGATCCAATGTCGTCTTCTCTGCCACTTACCTCTCCAAGCACTTCTCCTCGTCCACGAACCCGGGTGTCGTTGCTACCCTAACACTCCAGTTCTCCGGCGGCGTCGCCTCCCCTACGATCCAGCTGGTTCAGTGGGACAAACCCACCCTCTCGTCTACCTCCGCCTCTGCGTCCTCGGTTTCCGGCTCGGATCTCTCGATCCCCGTCACCTGGAAAGGTCTTTCCAAATTAGCGACCGTCAAGGCCCTCACGTCAAGCGGAAAGTACCTGTTCGACGACTGGACTCAATACCTGGGTCCCTTGCAACAGGCTAGAACAGTAAGTACATCCCATCCCCCATTTCGTCCGAAACGCAATATATCTTCAAGAATATGGCTAGTCAGTGAGTATCATGCTAACCGAGGCTCTTTCTTACTTCTGCAGACATACTCCGGCCAGTGGAACTGGGATGACAAGAATGTTATTCTTACGTCTGCTGCTATCGATGCCGTTGTGTCGGCTGGTGAGACTACGACGTTCACATTCGAGTTTTTCCCTAGGGTCAATGGAACGGCTAATACGGTTGAGTTCAAATTGACTGTTTAGTTTGTTTTGTATCTATCTTTGATTTAGTTGCGTTCTTGAATAAATATTCCGTTGGTTGTTGTTGTTGTTGTCGCATTGAGAGTTGTAGTAGTTATTGGCCACGATGCTATGTAGTTTCCAATTGGTTTTGACAATATTAGATAGGGCAAAAGCATGGAAATGAAGCAATTTGTCAGTAGGAAAGATAGGTGTTCAAAAATTTACAAATTCGGTAAACAGCCAAATGGCTAGCTCATTATCATATATAAAAATACTATCACATTAACTAATTTGGCCGCTATAATTCACCGCATAACATGACCATAACCCATAAGCTCATACCGCATTCACACCGACGTACTCTACTTCCCTACCCTACCCTACCCTACCCTACTCCACCCATCTCACACCTCTTCGCCCTCAGTTAATACAATATCTTCCTCTCCCAGAGGGGGAGATTCGGGTCATATTTATCCCAAACGATCTTATTCTTCTCATCCAGATGTGCTCCCTCATCGGTGATCGGGATGATAGGATCCGTCTCCAGAATCTCCTGCTGACTGAATCCCCACTTGTCTCGAGGAATCCACAGCGTTGGAGTGCGCGCCGTGATGCACGGCTCGTAGTAGGCGTTGAAGCGCTCTTGTTCCGAGTACGTGATCTCGACGTGGTTGCGACGGACCTTGCGTCGCAGCGCCGCGTAGTCGCGGTACAGGTTCGGGTGGAACCATTTCCAGATGGCGTATAAGCGGTGTTGGCGAGGCGGGTGGGCTAGCGTGTAGGCTTCTTCTTTGGCTTGTTGGGCTTCTTCTTCGGTTTCGAGGGTTCGTGGGAGGAAGGAGTTAAGCGGCGCTAGGGCTTCGTTGAGGGACATGTGTGCGAGGATGGTGAGGAGGGTGAAGAACGCCATTATGATGAGCGGACCGATGGCGCCGCGGATGGCGAAGAGGCCAATCATGCAGATGTCGGCGAGGTAGAGGCCTGTGAGGAGGTGTTGGAGGGCTCGTGGGTAGACGAGTCCTTTGGTGTCGGTTTCCAGGTCGTAAACGAAGAGGAAGTTGTAGCGGTAGGCTTGGTAGACGAGATATAGGCCGATGAAGGCGAAGCCGAGGATTAAGGGGGCGATACAGGAGTAGGTTAGGGCTGGGTGAAGTAGGGTTAGTGGAAGATGGTTTACAGGTAAAAGGTCAAGGGCAGCGAGTACCTATGACGCCCATGTTGGTGAAGACAGGGAAGACGTTGCCCCAGCTGATGCTGCTGAGTGCTGACCATCGCTGGTATAGATGTCGGGGAGAACGATCAAAAAAGGTGGTCATGAATTTGAACACCAAGACCCCGGCAACCTGCACGACTGCCATCGAGCTCATGGTGAGGCCCTGAAGTAGGAAGTACGAGATATAGAAATTGGTTGCTTTAGGCAGGTTTTCAGCAAGAAGGTCTTTGGCTGACAAGGGATCTTGGATGATCTGAGCAGTTGCAGCCGACGCAGCCGAAGTCAAAGTCGTGACCAGGAACACCTGGACCACCTGAAAACAAAAGTGCGCGCTTTGAGTAAACAGTTCTACTCGCGAGGTTGAGGGGACACCGGCACGTCGTGCACAAACTAAAGAGATCGGTCAGCCTGCCCTGCAAAATCATTCAGGGACTGGGTAGATCTTACATCGGCAGATGATAGGAACCAAGGACATCAGCATAACGAGGGCAGCTGATGGCAATAACCCTGCAATCACACCTTTGATCGTGTCCGGGAGCTTATCAATGAAGCTAAGGGGTGGAATCATCTTGGTGAGGTATGTGATGTTGGAAATAGTTCCGACAAGCGCCGATGGGATTGACCAGAAAACAACAAGCGCCGCGATGCCGCCTTTAACTAAAAACTTGCGCACAATGCGCTGCCACCAACTGAGGTTCAGGGCAGACCACACCACTTCCCTGGGAGAGATACCGATGAATCGGGGGGTCATATGCAGGGGTTGGTGATGGGACAGGGTTTGCAATGCAATCTGAGCATCAGATTGCGTATTGAATTCAATGAAAACAGCAGACAGGTGTTTCATTTCTCCGTCTTTATGTTTCTGCTGTAGATTCTCCACTTCTTCTGAGACTTCGACGAGTTGCTTTCGAAGCCAATTGATGGTATCCACTTTCTTGTCAAACAGTTTGGGACGGTGGGTTGGCCTCCGGATCCCATGGTACCAGGAGGGCCCCTCTTCGCAATCATAAACGGCATCAGGAGGAAGGCACCCTTTCTTCACGGCTTTCAGACGCAGCGAGTTAGCCCGTCGAATAAGCCTCGTCTCAGCTTTCTCCAACTTGTATGACAGCTTCTCTCTCTTTCGGACTTTCTTTTCCAACTCCTTGCAGTTAGAAGTAATCCAGATTCGGCGAATGGAATCGCCGAAGACCTGACGCAACGTCTTTTCGTTCTTGTACTCATCAGGAACTGACATGAAAAGCACGGTTCGAGAGGATATACGGTTGACATAGGCAGGCGAGTGCAGGTATGCCTGGCGCAAGTTGGCGTAGAAAATACTTTCACGAGTGACTGTGTAAAATACAAGGGCTGTTATGGAGTGAGCAAGTGTCCATCGTGCTTGCTGTCAACGAAGCCACTTACTGAAGAAGATACATGCCATGGCAGCATGTGCATAATATCGCTTTCCGTCTTTAACATTGCTGAAGCTCAGTGCATCCAACTGAGTATTCCCTGCACCACCCGTTGCATGAATGGGGAGCAATATAGGCCATGTGATCACACATCCCGTAAAGCAGATTGAACACAAAACCCTTAGAAATCGGAGAAAGAGATAACCATCCATAGATGAATGGTGCAGGACGTGAGCATCCGAGAGTTTGAGAAAATGCCCAAACCAGTTGAAAAACCCTGACGGGAGTTCAGGGCTTCGCTCACTACACTATCTGTCAATAAAAGCACCGATCATGCGTAAAGAGTCATTCTTACTGCTTGTGCCAACATGGTAGGTGTGTTCTAGGCGCGTACCAACGGAGCTGGGTCCTTCGACAGATCAAGAACAGGCCAAACCAAAACGCCGCAACCACCAAAGCCGGAACGAGAGTTGTCAGGAAAGCCGAAAGGGACGTCGAGTCTTCCACCCCCAAGTTTTCCATGGCTTCGGAAGTTGTCGAGGAGGCATTGCCTCGGGATGAGCCCACGTTGGGATCATTGCTGGGGTCCTAGATTGGTATCATCAATGGTTTGTCGTTAATGGTGGTCATATCAACTGCTGCTTACAAGGATGTCGGCTCGCTTGAGGATCAGATTGAATAAGGCTGAATTGACCATAGTGAACGCTGGAGAACCAGGCCTCTGGTCTGTATTGTTTGGCGACAGACAATAGTAGGTGGGCACATTGAACTGGGAGCCGCTTGTATTACGGCTACCCCTGGTATGGGCCTTCCCACCATAAAAGACAGGAAGCCTTCATGGCATGCAGCTCAGCCTGTTTAGTAGGTTGGACCTGTCACTGAGAGGGGGTGGTCGGCATCCGGTCCAAGCATGCAGCTAATGGAGGGTGACAGGAGCGGACTACCGGTCGAACCGCGACCCAAAACCCGAGGCTGGAATGCGTTCTGTAATGTGAGCTTGGATTCTCCAATCTAGGTTCTTTGATTGGTCCACCACAATGGACAAACACATTGACAAGACCGCGTTGTGGGTTGTCTGCTCTGTATGACCGCGTGTCAGCTAGGGGCCGGTCCGCCGCGCTGAATTTCTGGTCAAATCTGTTCCTCTCAGATTTCCATTTTCACAGGAACATGCATGGAGATCGGCCTTTAGAGAGGAACCGTCGTGGCTAGTAATCACTAGTGGCCCGTATCGGGCCTGTGGAGACCGCTGATCAATAGTGCATCAAACTCTCTCGGCTAAGAATGTCCTGGGGACCCGTTAGGGAGTAGAGAGCACCCATCACAGTTCTCAACGAGAGATCATCGTTACCAATTGAACATGTTACCAGTGCTGAATGAATCAGCACATTCTGTCCAGTGATTCCTAAGAATTATCTTGTTATATCCACTACCATTCGCTTGATGTATTAGTGGGTGAAAATCGCGCAAAAGCAAGCAAAGAGGACTCAAACTATCAGCCCACGATCTCGATAGCGTCATCCTTTCAGGTCAATGCACGACTTGGGCCTTTCATGTGCCAACAGGGATGGCTTCCACTGCTCGAGGGCTGGCAGACAAGTACTTTGTCCAACCAATCCTAAAGGCTCCCTGACAATCTAGATCCCAGGCATACAACGCACTAATGCAAGGGATATCATCTGTTTTGGGTAAGCCGCTCCCAGGCGGGAGGCAAAAACCGTGTCGCTGTGAAGATCCCGTTTTTTTTTTATCATGATAGGCAACGTACGCTGTGATTCGGGGTCGTTTCCACGAGTAAGGGGCTGGATCAAAGCTGACGGACGCTTTAACGAGCACCGTGGCTGTAGGTAATTACCAGGGAGAGCTCAAGCTCGCCCATGTGTTTACTTATGGAACTGCACATTAGCGAGATCTCCGCCGGAAACGAGGGTATACGGAGTGCTTTCGAACCCGTGCCCAGAGTCCACTAGAAGAGTGATCCAGCTGAAGGATCAGCCTACTCGAAGAGGGGTAGGCATTTGAGTTGCTGCTGAGAGCTCAAAGAAGTAACATCCTGTGCAGAGTGGCGGGTGGGAAATGCACCCAAGGGGGTGGCAGAAAATCGCAGAATGAGAAGCCCTAGCATTCCCATGACATGCTCCCCACTTTTGTACTACTCTCTGTACATAGTCAATAGTGTGCTTTGTCGCAAGTTTCATTCCTCAATGTTATTGTAGACTCGATGTCAGGCCGAACGAACAGATTGAAGCCAAGCAGAAGCAACGTGTAGGTATGTGTCAACACCCCTCCAGGCAAAGCATGACGTGGCTGCCTTTCTCCAAGATTCGGTTCATGCATGTATTCATCAGCCTTTTAGACTCGTCAAGCTGCGGTGAGACAGTCAAGGGTGCGTGGCACCGTGGATCAAGCCAACGTCTACCGTATGTATGTACAGAATAAGCTTATCGAGTGTTGAATTCAGACAGATGTGCTCCGTACTCCGTAGGACTCATCGATCTTCCTTGTTCACCTGAATCAGGTTCAGAACCGATCCTTCATGGGTAGTTGTTGAGCTGAAGGAGTCGCACGAAACGACTTCATAATTTGGTGCCTGGAACAGGGCGGTGAGGCCCGGCAGTATAGCGACTGTGCCTGAGGACGCTTCGCGACGACCAGCCTCTTCTCTACTTTTGCTCACATCACCATGTCCAGATCCACCAGCAACTCGAAGAAAAAGCCCGAGTATCTGTCCAATGACTCGGACACTCCATCTGCACTGTCCTCGTTCGACTCAAAACAGCCATTCCCTCCCCTCGCGCCCGACGATCTTGCCGCAACCACTCCTTCCTACGACGCGCAACACGATTGCTATACCGAAGATGACCCGGACATCATAACATCTCCTCTACATGCGGATTCCGAGGCCGAAGAGGATGAAGCTGATTTTCAGACCCAGTATTCCTTGAACAATCAGTACTTCTCAGACGCATCCACGGATTCGGAGGAACAGTCGCCTGAGGATGGCATTGCGATGCATCACCCGTTTCGACAATCGTCGAGCTCGCTGCATGGCCCTAATGCCTTCGCTCCCCCTTTCTATAATCGGCCTCCAACGCCTCTGCCCCCTTCTCCGTCACTGACCTCATTGTTGCGCCCTCCTTTCTCTACAACCACGTCGCGACCCACCACCCCTGACAGTTCGGACGTGGAAACCCCGAACGATACCGAAGCTGCGGTCGCAAAGTCGGCACGGCGCGCAACGACCGTTCCTCGAGCGAGCCCGAAGGTTCCTACCTATGAATACTATGGATTTGTGTTATATCTTGCGTCGTCACTGGCCTTCTGTAAGCGGATAGTCGAGTTCTACAACCCAGCAGTCGGATAGTTGTTTCTAACGTGCGATTTTAGTGATGTATATCCTTTGGTCCTATCTTCCGTCGCCATTTCTACATCAGCTGGGCATCTATTATTATCCTAATCGATGGTGGTCGTTGGCCTTCCCGTCGTGGCTGGTCATGTCTATCATCTACATCTACGTTGCCCTGGCATCGTACAACACGGGGTACCTGACACTTCCCATGAACAGTGTCGAGAATATTGTTGATGAAGTGGCGAATGTGGCTGTCATAGATGGTAAAGGGCGGCGACGCCCTGGTGGCGCAGCGAAAATGAGACCAGGCGCAACCTCCTTCCAGATCATGGGTCCGCAAAACCGGAAAGTGAATTGGAAAGAAATATGGGGCGAAGGCACTGATGCCGTATTAGATGTTCCCGTTGGAGGTGTATGTGAAGTTCTCTACGGACAGGAGAGGGACGACGATGAAATCTACGATGCAGTATCCGGCGTTGGAACGAACGGTTTGGAACACGACGGATGTTCCTGAACTTCTTGGAACTCGGCCTGATCTCGACTTATATGTTCCTGATGCTACTTAGGGTTTTCTATCGGAGTCTTTAACTCGTGATTTTGAGTTCGACGTTTGCGATCATGGGAGCAAAGACTTGCTTTGCGCCCCCGGAGATAATTGTCCATGAGTCTTGTTAACATCAATCATGGCTCATTTGTCTACTCCTTTACTCCAAATGCTTTCGGTTTCTTGACCAGCAAAGAAACAAACGATGAAAGCAACAGTCATGTTCATACCACCACCATGCAAAGGCTGAACAGTGTGTGAACCTCTAGGAACAAGCTTCAAAACCGAGCATTCACATCTGCTCCATGTTTGATCAATAGCTGCACTAATGGAACGTGTCCATTCTGTACAGCTAAATGGATTGGCGTCAAACCGGCCCCCGAAGGGACGCAAACACTCGCTGCAGCACCATTCCCCAGCAGGATGCTGGTCGATTGCTCGTTTCCTCGAAAAACGGCTAAATGGAGAGGGGTGAAGCCATCGCCGTCCTGCGCCATCACATTCGCCCCGTGTTCCAGCAAAGCAGAGATCATGCCCACGTTATCATGGAGTACCGCTTGATGCAGAAGTGTTCTGCCCGGTACCTCCAATGACTGTTCCGAGAGTGCTCTGGAGTCGATACTATGAGTTGGTGGCTGCTTATGTTAGACCGATTAGGCGAATAGGCAAATGGGTCATTTACATTTTGATATTGGTTTGTATCTTTATGTGGCATCTGACACTCCGGTGAGAGATAGCTCCACTCCCAGTTGAGCGGGTCTAGATCGTCCACTGATAGCAAGGGCCCTTCAGCTTCGAGGAGATGGATCGTTGGCTCTAGATTGACGGAGGATCCGAGATCCGTTTTGGGCTCATTATACTCCTGATTAACAGGCGGCGTGGGCAGTGTCGATGTCGGATGTACGGCGTGCTCAGATCCTTGCTCCGACCCATCCACAGGATTCTTGTCACCGACTTGGTTTTCCCCTCGGAGTCGTTCGTACTCCTGCAACTTCTCTCTCACGGATTTACCTATAGCACAGCGCTCAATTAGCGTGACTAGCTCCGGCAACCGATAAGATAAACAAGGGATCTCACGGTGATTGCGCTGTGCCTGTCGATTGCGCGCCCGTCGCTGATCTTCCTTGGACGAGTGTATCGAGGGCAGATCCGATGGGCTGGATCCCGGAAGATCGGGGAATTTCGTCCTTCGCATGACCATTTTCGCCGCAAACGACTGTGTTTGAGGCTCGCTATGAGAGTTTGCCTTTTGGCCGAGGCTTTATATCGAGCCAAGTTTAGCGAAAGTGGCCGAATTCCAAAAAAACGGAGCAAAGTACAGTCCGACTCATCGTGAGGATCTTCCATTTGCAAACACATTGACCCATGGGGCAAAGAAAAACATGATTCGACATAGACAGGCCTCTTCGTTGAGAGCCCATGGTGTAACACTGCAACGTATGCAGTCTATTCCGTACTTGCCAGTCCCCCGTAAGCACTAACTACCCTACTAATAACAAACGACATCCGGTCTTCAGAACGGACTGGGAGCATTTTCTCAAAAGAGTGTGCTCTGAACGCCACCCTTATTCAATGTAAAACATTCATACTTCGAAACTAAATATAGCTTCATGTCCGTTGATCTAGGCCTATTGACTTAGGGCAATCGAAGACATTTCTTCACGCGGCCGGAAAGTCGGCTTTTAGAGCTAAATGGTCATCATGCACGGATATGTCGGCTCTGAGATTAGGAGGCTTTCTCTCCTTAAGTTGGCTATAGCCTAATTCGGGCTTTTTATTCATGTCAGGAACAATCAAGGCGGACTTGCATCCGCCTTTGACCGAGCTTGAACGAGCGTTCGACATGCGTAGACTTTGGTGTGGGAAGAAGCCACGACTCCATTGGAGAAGTGCCATGACACTAAATGGTATAACTAATGCACTGATACAATCAGACAGGGTCTCAAGCACGCTAAATTTCATTTCGGCAGCAAGCGAAAAATCAGAAGCCCACTCCTCTTCCCAGTCTCCTCACTGCACGGAGTACTCCGTACCATCTAGCCCATCTCTTTCTGGCCTAGATCTCGCTCGCTATGATCGCATTGGTCGCGGCTGTTCCGTTACTGAATTTCCCTCAGTTGAAATGCTTCAACAATCCTCAGCATCACGACAGGGATCGTTTTCGTAAAGTGCGCCACGGCCTTCTCTGACACCCGGCCGGTCCAGTACGCAATCCTTGCATTTAGCGCGCCATCGATTTCGTCAATTTCGAGCACCATTGAGAACTGGAACGAAGGATTATGTTAGTCTCGTCTCGTCTTATTATTCTGCAAGGATCTGCCCACCATGCAGAAACCCCTCCTTCTTCGATGGCACAAACGTGTAAAAGAAAGAAAGTGATAGCGGAAAAGGGAGGGAGGGACTTACATGGAAAGGATCGACCGCCTCTTTAATCACCAATTCGTGTTCTCGACTCTCACTCAGCGTGCCAATGCTGTCGCCATCCTTGCTATTATTGTGTTTGCGGTAATTCACGATGGTGTCATACAGGCTTGGCCCCGCTGTCGATCCCCGAATCTGATGGGCTAGGGACTCGAGATAAGCCTCATCCAAGCTTCTCAACAGACCAGGGATCCCAGTGGTGGCTGAAGGTTCTGAATCAAAGGAGATTCGACATGGGACGAAGTTGAGGAATGGCCCTGCGATCTGGTGCACGTCAGGCAGCTCAATATCTCGACCGCTGAGCACCACGCCGAAGGTAACGTCGTCGGCCGCCAGCCACTCCCGCAGAGCCTGCGCCCACGCCAGCCGGACCACGCTAGCAAGGGATATTTCATGGTTCTGGCAGACTGCGCGTGCTGACGGACTGACCGGCCCCAGTTGCACGTCTGAATACCGAAGCTTTCCGAAGCAATGATCGTCTTGTGTCGAAACAAGACTGGCCGGGGCATTTGCCAACCGAGCGGCCCAGAATGCCTCTGCAAGCCTCCTGCGTGAGGGGTCGACTGCATATGCAATTAGATCCTGGTACGAACAGCCCCCTGATGGGACAAGAGTATTTTTGAGGGCAGTGCGAAAATCCTCGAAAACTAACTCCATCGTCGGGAAGTCGACCAGGGCGTGACTGATTTCGAGAAGTAACAACTCCACTGATCCTGCGTCCTGCTCGTAAATGGTGAGTCGGTGATGAGCCTCACGCTCCTCCCATGGCGAAATTGGCAGATCGAGGCGGATATCTTCTCCTGCCGGATGGGGAAGGTTGGAAATGAGCGGCTCAAGCCTCTCAAGGACCACTTGCAGCGGATCTCCGTCGGAGCAAATGCCAAGAAAGACCGTTCGGAGGATCGCGTGGCGACGCACAGTCGACTTCCAAGCGTCGGCTACTCCGTTGGGTGAGATTCCAGCGTTTGATGGCAGCCTAAGCACGAATCGGGGGCTATATAAGGCAGGAAATTTCGACTGGCGACTCAACATCACTTGTTGTGTTGGCAGCAGGGGATAGATTCCTTGAACTCCACCTTCTCCAACTGCCTTGATTATTTCGTCCAGATCATGATACGTGAGAGAAGCCAGCGGAAAGTCACTAAGAGAGTGCACGGACTGCGCTTGCTGCTCCAGGGCGTGGTTCATTTCCAGCAGGACCTTCCTGTATTGATGGACGAATCCTTGGATACGACCCTGATGAGACATCTCTCGATTGTGCAGGCTGCTGATGGCAATCTGGCCCTCGTGGATTTGCACTGCAACCTCAATGAGAGCCAATCGGGGTACGTCGTCCGCCATATCCGCCAGGTCACCGTTGTGTTGTGGTACGAAGTGAAACAATCCATCGGGCTTTTCGAGTTGCTGAAAGATGCCCTCGTAATTAAAAAGAATTTCTGGCGTTATTATCGCGCGCCCTCGGTCGTGCCGAACCATACCTGTCGACTGGGTAGTTTGGTTGCCAGTATCCTGGAGCCAGTGACGGTTATCCTTCACCCGACGCAGCACATCGACCATAGACTTCCCTGCAATACCCGGAACTGAAATTTGAGAGAGGCTAGTAAACCATCCAACAGTCTCCGTGATATCTAGGTCGGAACCAGCTGGCTGTCTGCCATGGCTTTCGTTGAAAATAGATGGTTCTGCACGGTCAGGAAAGATTTCGTGAAAGGCGATCAACAATGCCGAGAGGAAGACATCTTGGGGCTCGGCTCCTAAAACATCGGCGGATCGGCCAAGAAGGCTCGTCGATATGTGGGCGTCGACCTTCGCTTCCAGGCGTTCTACCGATCCGTAGTGGTTTGTCTTGCCTGACATACCCCAGAAGTCGTGATCGGACGATGGGATGTTCAAAGTAGACGCCGGATTGGAAGACGCATTGGATAACTGCCATCTTGCTTGCTCTAGGCACCATTGCTGGAAGGTGACCGAGAACGGCCGAGACAGAGCTTTCGATTCGAGCAGGGCTTCTAAATCCCGAAGAATAATTCTCCAAGACACCAAATCGACGACGAGGTGATGCGCGGCAAGGAATAGGAGAGAGTCACCACTCTGGAGATCAAAACGCTCTGCTACTATTGTCGGACCACGAACAACGTCAAGCTTTGCTCTTGCGGATGCGGTTCTCCCTGGTACTTCGGCAGCGGGAACGGCAGTCTTGTGGTCTGCAAGTTTGTATGATCCTCGAGCGTCTGTCGTGATGCGCTGTGTCCAATGTCCGTTGGCTCCCCGGGAGAATCGAGCCCGCAACATAGAGTGTCGTTCGACAACTGCAATAAGGGCGCGTTCAAGGGCGACTGGAGAAACATCTTGCCGTAAACGTAGTAGAAAACTCTGAGTGAAGACAGGAATCTCGTCTGTCGGAACGGCATCCATCCACAGCTGCTGTATCGGAGACAGAGAGAAGGCTGTCTCAATTGGTTCCGACTCTTGCACTGCTGGCGCCGATGTAAGAAGGTCCTTCTTTTGAAGCCGTTGCGCGATTTTGGAGACGGTCTTGTATTTGAGCACGTCGGTAACACTGATTATCAGTCCTTGGGAACGGCATTGAGAGACTAGTTGCATCGCGGAAACGCTGTCACCTCCAATCCGGAAGAAGGAGGTCTCGCCATGAATGCTGTCTCGAGGGACTTGCAAAAGGCTCGCTAAGATATTTCGGAGCACCTCTCCCATTGGAGTCAAGGCGGCCTTAGAGATCGATTGATCCTCGCCCTCGCTTATCTTTGAAGCCAACGTATAGTCTTCTGCTGTGATCTCTTCGACGTTCTGGATGAGAAACTTGGTATTTGTTTTGGCCGCCGCCGTAAGCGGAATATTCTCGATCGCAATCCAATCATCCGGAACCATATAGGAGGGGAGCTCGCCCAATAGCTTCTCTCGGATTGAGGAAACCACTTTGGATGCAATCTTCTGCAGATCCGTGGGTATCAACCTGAAGGCGTCATCGGTGGCTGGCTGGCTTGCTCTCAGGGTGAAGATCCCAACCAGCCGCTTAGAGTACGGTCCACGACGAGGTTGAATCACCGCGCTTCGAGTGATATCTGGATGCACGACACAGGACTCAATCTCTTCCAGCTCGACCCGCTGTCCTCGGACTTTAACCTGAAGGTCCTTGCGTCCAAAGTAGTACAGAGTGCCATCTTCGTTCCAGCGAACCAAGTCCCCTGTCTTGTACATCCGTGTTGAGTCGGTCGATAGATCCTGAATAGTCTTTCGCCACTGAGGAGTTGAGATGAAAGCCCCCGCTGTCTTGATCGCATCGTTGAGATACCCGCGCGCCTCAATGGGTCCCTCGACAAGCATCTCACCAACAGTACCGATGGGAACTAGTTCGTTGGAATCATCAGGATCGACGACCCACAAGGCGCATCCACTTGGGTACCCGATCACGCCCACATCGTCCTCGCTCCCGACTTCGTTGACGGCACAGACGATGGAGCACTCGGTAGGACCATACGCATTGAAAAGCCGGACCTTTCCATCCCATGTCGCGATCACCGATCGGGTAATAGCCTCTCCACCCAAAACGAGGGTTTGAATCGATGGCGCGCTCTCCGGAGATAACATTTGGGCGACGGAGGGAGTGAGAAACACCCATGTTGGCCCGTAGTGCTGAATAGTCTGGCTAATCGAATCCATGCATTCATCGAGAGATGGCGTGCAGACGGTCGCCCCATTCACGAGTGCACTCAGAAGCTCGAGAAGCGAAGCATCAAATGAATAAGAGGCAAACTGAAGTGATCTCACATTTTCATGGATTTGCAAGCGGCGGGAGTAGTTGAGAATGCTAGTACATATTGCCTGATGCTCAATAAGCACTCCTTTTGGCTGGCCTGTGGAGCCGGATGTGAAAATGCAGTATGCCAAATTTGCCTCCGTCGCTGACGTAGAAGTAATGGAGTCGGCAGCAGGCTGAGGGAGCGCGGCAATGGTATCAGCATCAATTGCGAGATGGTTTATGTTATCCCACAAAGCCTGATATTGAGGAGAGGTGATTAACATGCGAGGCTTGATCTGGTCGACAATACCTGCAAGACGCTCAGGAGGATGTCGAGAATCCAGAGGCACAAACGCAGCTCCAGCTTTGAGGACGGCCAGCATGCACACAATGGCATATGACGATTTCTCCAAACATAGTGGGATGAGATCATCATTCTGAATGCCCAATACTTTCAGGTATGCAGCCAGCCGATCGCTGGCATTCCATAGATCCTGGTAGGTATACGATCCATCCCATCCCACAAGGGCTTCTTTGTCAGGGTTCTCAATGACGCGCTGTTTGATGAGTCCATGGAGGGTCACCTTTGCTGCCTTTGGGATTGGTGCGTTCCACTGCGATAATTGCCGCACCTCTTCTGGACTCACGGGCGATATTTCCCGTAATTTCCGGTCTGGGCTGGTGGTGTACAATTGGTTCACAACATGCTCCCATTGCTTCAGAATGCGTTCCACCTGTTTCTCGCCGATTAGAGCAGAATCAAAGTGTGCCCTGACTTCCGATAATCCGTCTTCATCCAACTGAGCCTCAACAGTCAGTCCGTACCCTGTGATGGTCTCATGGGAGAATGTCAGATTATTCATGCTGAACAGTCCGTCGTCATTTTTTGGAGTAAGAGACGGCTGGACAACAAACAAAGTCTGGAAATCACAAGCACGTTGCGTAGCTGCAGTCAATTTCCTGAGGTTTTGAAGCCCGATTGTCTCAAATTCCATCATATGCGCTAGGTGGGTCTGGAGCTCTCTCAAGAACAAACCGACGGGCTTTCCGCGATCTATTTTTGCTCTAAAAGGGACGGTACTCAGAGTAGGACCAGGAATCTCGTCAATAGAAGGTAGGGAGCCGTACCGACCACTCAATGTGACGCCGAAAGCCACGTCGGTGGATTCCACATAACGAGCAAAGACGATCGCCCACGCTGCTTGAAGTATTACCGAATGAGATACTTCCACCGAGGCCCTATCTCGAGTCGAAGGGTGAAGCGCGATCGTTCGATCCGCAATTGGATGGTATTCCGGATTGCTCTTTAGTGGAAAGGTCTGTGATGAGAAACCATCGAGAGATTCACGCCAAAAGGTAGCAAGGTCCCGAGAGTCATCGGTCAGTGACTGGATGTAGCTGCTGAAGAGAGGCCTCTGAGGATGGGATCCTGATTCATAGACATGTTGCACATCTCCTAGTACTAGAGACATTGAGTGACCGTCATAAAGCGAATGATGAATGGTCCACACAAACCAGTTCCCAATCCCTTTGGGATCTGGAATGAGGGCAAACCGCGTGAGCTCACGCCCAAATGCAACAGGAATTAATCGGTCATTCTGCATATACTGCTCCAGATTGAAACTCTGCAGCCATTCAATTTCTTCACCAAGAACGACTTGGTAAAATGATCGAGAGTTGGAAATAATGCGTGTTCGCAGAACCGGTGTTGATCGAAAAACGCTATCCCATGCCTTCTGGAACCGCTCGACATCGGTCTCAACGGGGAGATGGTACACATATTGTGCGTTGTATGCCTCATGGTTGTGTACGGTGAGTGACAGCAATGCCTCTTGTGTCGAAGTGCAAGGGTAGATATCATGAATTGCATCCGCTTTCACTGAGCATTGTTGTGCTGCATTTTCCAAAAGCCCAGGGAGAGCACTCGGCTCGATGAGACCAAACGGGATCAGATCCACTGTTGCTTGTGACTTGCTCGTCGGTCGTACCTTGGATGCCATATCCAGTATGCTGGGACTCTGGAAAATATCCGCGACGCTAATCTGTAGCCGACTTTCTTGGAGTCGTTTTGCCAGTTTGATTGCGGCCAACGAATTGCCCCAACGGAAGAAACTGTCATCCACACGAATGGAATGTTGCGGAATGGAGAGGACTTGACTCCAAGCTAGCTGGATGAGCTCCTCTGTTTCCGTCAGGAGCCTGTCCTCCTTTACTTGCCCAGATGAATGATTCCCTAGTACATCTGCCGCTAACATGCGAAGGATAGCGCGGTCCAACTTCCCAGAGCTTGATAAAGGGATGTGGGAAAGGTAAATGATATCGGATGGAAGCATATAACGAGGAAGAAGGGATGTCAGACGGGCCTTCAGATCTTTTATGGCGGCGACATGCTCAAAGGTATCGAGAGCATGCAGAGGACCATGGTCCCTCTCATCCTCGTCAGCAACGAAAGCCACCAAAGCTTGATCGTTGGGCATGTTAGGTCGGGATATAACGTCCACAACAGCAATTGTCGATTGCTTGCTGCTGGTTATTGCTCTTTCTATTTCCCCGAGCTCAATGCGTTGGCCGTAGATCTTCACCTGGCGATCGATTCGGCCCAAATACTCCACCGTGCCATCAACACAGTAACGAACGAGATCGCCAGTTCGATAGAGTCGATTATCATCTTGCCATCCGACGACATTTTTGAACCATTCTGGTGGATCTATAAACGCCTTTGCGGTCTTCTCGTCGTCGTTGAGATAACCTTGCGCCAGTATCGGCCCACAAAGAAGAAGCTCGCCAGGAGCCCCTATGGGCATCAATCGATTCGGATCGGTTGGGTAAGTGACGAACGAAAGGCCTCCTACAGGTCTTCCAATGTTGGCAGATGAATGAACCTCCAGGTCGATGTTTCCACTCATTGAGAAAATGCTGCATTCTGTAGGCCCGTATGCGTTGATGAGTCGACGGCCAGGCGCCGTCCATTGCTCGACACATGCAGTTGGAACAGCCTCCCCACCGAGGGCGAGGGTTTTTAGCCCCGGGACGTCTTTGGATGATAGAATTTGCGCGAACGATGGCGTGAAAAATGCCCAGTTGACATCCATCTGGTTGATGCAGCCAACGGTGTCATGTAAATGATCTGTTGCTCTGGGAACGCACACGCAGCCTCCATGATACAGCGTACCTAGGCACTCGGTCAGGGAAACATCGAAGGTGTAAGAGGTGCCTTGCAAAACACGCGAAGTTGCACCCAAGCCGAAATATGTGCCATGAGCACGAAGACTCGCATTTAAAGCCCGATGGCCGACCACCACCCCTTTGGGTTTGCCTGTACTACCAGAGGTAAAAAGACAGTAGGCGACGTCTGTAGGAGCTGGTCGATAATTCGTGGCATCCCCTGTGATTTCCTGCTTCCATAGATCGCTGTCAGCCCGTACGATGCTCAGTACTGTGGAAGACTCCGATAAACAGCTGTTAGTGTCAGCTAGGGTGGGCGATGTTAGCAGCAAACGTGCTTTAGTCTGCTGCAAAATCTCGGCCAATCTCAGTGGTGGACAAGATGGATCGATAGGAACAAAGGCAGCACCAGCCTTATGGATCCCAAGCATTGCAATGATCGCCCATGCCGACTTTTCGAAACAAATAGGAACATATTCCCCGCGTTGTACTCCATGGATGGAAACTAGGTTGCTAGCCAATGCGTTGGAAAGACGAGTTAGTTCGCCGTACGAAATTCTTTCATCCCACGCGTCTATAGCTGGAGAAGCTTTTGGCCATGTTTCTATGGTTTCGTAAGGGCACTTGTCATCGCCTCGAACGACAGCAGTCGCAGCGGTCCACTCTTCAATATGCTGAAGGGTATTGGGCCCCACAAGACTCAACTCATTGAAGGTCGAAGAAGGATACTCTCTGATGGTCCGAAGAAGGCGTCGAAATGTGTCCGCAATATAATCTGCCAAATGAGACAAGCTTTGGCCCTGGCGAAAACTGAGGAAAATACGGCATTCGTCATGGGAGACCACCGCGGTTATTAGGATATTCCGCTGCTCGTCGTCAGTGCACTTTCCAAATCCATAAAAACGCTTTTGCATACCTCCTGCGGCGTTGAGTCCACCAATAGTCTAGCATAGGCCTCTGTGACCATTGTCCCTTTCGGTGCTCCCCATATCTGGATCAGGCTATCCTGTCCAAATTCCTGTTTGTAGTTGTCTTCCGGATCTTCCGCTGATGGTGAAGACGTGATTTTGTCGAAAGGTCGGTCTTCAGGTATAAGGATAGAACGATTTTGTGGAATAAAGACTTCTTCGTATCCATTCTTTTCGGTGTTCTCAAAAGAAGATGAGATGAGGCACTGGTAGCCAAACTTCACCTCGTCGTGGCCACTATACACCCGCAACAGAGTTCCCCAGGCGAGCTGTAGCAAGGCGGGCAAGGCAATACCATTCCCAGGCTCTATATCAGCACCATCCTCTTCCTTTGCAATTTGAACGGGTATAACCCTCCATATGGCTTGTGGAGAGGCGTTGAGTGAGTTTGTGTCGGGCATGATGTCGATATTGGTTTATAGAGAAGGACGGCAGATGTTCTACCCAGCTCTGGGTTCGCGGGCCACTCCATTTTTGTACCTGCTGGATATTTCTCATAGTTGTTTGATTACTGTATGTCAATGTTAGTCTTTGGGATCGGTACTTTGGAAAATTGGTGGTATCCATCTTGTTATAAAGGGCTGACTGTGCAGCGTTGTTTGAACTCCGAAAAGTACTCCGAAGATCGCAAGGAGCGGAATCCGAAGTATTGACCCATCATGCTGGAAGGTTAGTTTTGAAATTCGTCAACTCTTCAGCAAATTGTTCATCCTACTGTTCTGATCGGGGGTATTCATTTCGGAGTTCATCTATGGCAGGAGTTCAAGCGGATACCAACACCGATCGATGCTCGCTCGATAGAGCCTTTCCGTCAACATACACCACCACATCATGAAGTGAAAGAACATTCGAAAGTTCACCAAGCTCTATCGGGTTGAACCCACGTATTAGAAAGGATAGTATCCGATGGATGGATGTGATGAGTCGATGAAATATGCTGAAGAATATTGAAGAATTGAAGACATCGGGCATATCTGAAGTTGCTCAAAACTCAGTGAAGCTGACTAATCTAGAAGACATGATATCAAGATGTCTCATAAAAAAGCTCAAGCCAAATGCATTTTATGGTAAAGACGTTGACATTGTATTCGTAGAAAATGATAATTCACATGTTTTTAGGGATTGTGCTCAACACCGAGCAGGTATTTTCTCCACCATCTTTCTTGAGTTGTAACGCTGTGTCTCAATGCCTGCCCTGCCCAGTAGCTATGCCCTTCTCCCTCTACGAGCAAAAGCTCTGATACTTTGTCGTGTTGTTTCAAAGCTTCATGCATAATTATAGATTGCTCCGGTACTACTACTCGGTCCTCTGTTCCCTGCAGTAGAAGTATCGGTGCGTCAATGCAGTCCACATGAGCCACAGGGCTTCGGTCATGATGCACAAGTTCGTGCTCTTCGTCGGGATCAGAAAGCTTCACCGGGAGCAATTGTTCTGCATAACCGCTTTCAAACTTGTGAGTCGACTCGGCGAATCGCTTTGTGTCTGAAATCCCGAACACCGAAACTCCGGCGGCCCATAGACGAGGAAAGTCGCAGACAGTTTTTAGTACAAGGTAGCCTCCCGCGCTCGGTCCCACGATACCAATTCTTTTGGGATTGATCAAGTTCAGCGTGGCCAGGTAGCTAGCTGCACTAGCTGCATCAGCAGAGTCTCTTACTCCCCAATGCCCGTCCAAAAGTCGTCGATAATTTCGTCCATAACCGGTGGAACCGGCGTAATTTAGAAGCAGGATCACGTAGCCACGGCTGGTCCAGTATTGTTGCTGCAAAGAGAATCCTGGATTAAAATGATTCGTTGGTCCGCCATGTGCCCACACTAGAAGAGGTGGCTTTTCATCCAGGGGCGCCTTGTATGCTGGGTTGCGAGGGAGAAGGAGGAATCCGTGGACGAGCCCACTCTGATCTGGCCCGTAGGTACGAGGAAACGATATTGACTGGGACTCAGATATAAGGCCAGCTGGCAAGTTCATAGTCGGCAAAGATTGAACCTGCTTCCAGTGAAAGCCTTCTTGCTCAATGCTCACTAAGAACACGGACGTTGGAGCCGAAGGTGTGCTTCCGACCAAAACGAATTGGTGGTCGTTCACACGGCGGACTCCATCAGGAATGACATGCACCAGAGGCAGTTCTATCCGTTTGGCAGTCTTTGACTCGAGATCAATCAGAACCACTTGGCTCACGGCGTGTTTTGTAGTTGCGCATACCATCACATCTTTTCCAAGAAATTGATAGGAACAGCTGACAACACTCGTTAGCAAATGCCCATTACCAGAAGCTATTCATCATTCCTGAAAACTCACCTGCCCAGACTGAACTCGGCGTTCCCGAGATCGCAATCTTCTAGCCCACGAATGTCAATAGGAGAAGGCTGGTGGTGTGCAGAGTCAACTGCCCACAGTTGCCAGAATCCAGAAATGTCATCGAGATAATACAGTGTACCATCACTGCTCCATCGAGGCTGACTTATTCCTCTGGTTCCCGGCTCTCCCGCAATCCGTGTCTTTTGGGTTATTTTGTCGCCGTCAAAGCTCGCCTTGTATAGCACACCCCCCGTAAAAGGCATGCGAGGATAATTCCAGGATAGCCAACTGATATGGTGCCCATCAGGAGAGAATCGCATCTGTGAGTAGAAATCTTCTGATTCATCTAGACTGATCACCCTCTTCTCACGTGTATCAATCAGAGCCAAGGAATGTTTGGGGTGGTCCAATTTCGGCCTCTTTTGGTTCTCTTGAATGGCAATCACCAAATGAGAGGAGCTCGGATGAACGTCGAAATCCGCGAAGCGTAAGTGCGGATCTTCTATGATTCTCCAAACTGTTGAAGTACGCGGGTCGAGCACACAAACGGCATCACTCGGGCCATCAGAAAATATTATGTTGCCATCTTTCTTGCTTACGGCGAATGCACCACCGCCATACTCGTAGACTCGCGTTCCAACACTGTACGGAACAGGGAGGATTTCTGGCGAGTCGGTTGATCCGGTTCTGCCTATGGATACGATCTTCGTCCTATCATCGGGATCACTGCGTAGACCATACACACTCCCGCTTGTCTCCTGAATTGAGATTGCGAGTTAGTGCTCATCGGAATGAGAACGGGTTCAACAGACAGACACACATCAACTCGAACGCTACCCAAAGAGCTCTCTCGACATATGGAATCCAAAGTCACTGGGCTTTCCCATAATCCATGTCGCAAAGTTGCCGGGGCCATATCCAATGTGTTTCGGGGTTTGTGCTGCATGAGGCAGGATAATCTAATTCAGAAAGGTAGGTTGAGCACAAGTCAAAGGCGTCAAATTAATCCGGATCTTCATATGAAGAGTCAGCGTAAGCAAAGCAAAGCTAGCGCGAGATGACCCTAGGAGCGTAGCAGCAAGGAATCTCAGTGGTCGGAATTAACGCCGATCTGGACCAACCTGAAATGACTGTGCATTGGCCAACAGTCACTTCATACGTTCGTTTGCGAAATGTCCAAATGGAAAATAATCTCTGAGAATCAAACAATGTATAGTAACATTCTTGCACAATTGCCCAACCGTCGTTCCTTCCATTCGTGTCCACAAGATGATCGAACTTGATATCTCGAAAGAAAGCCGAGAGACATGCCACGAAGTTGGCGCTTCCGGTGTCTCATGCTCTTCACCCGATGTCGGTATATCAGATCACTGGAACAAGCCATTTTGTCCAAACTGACTGAATCTCTCAGTATCCCCTACTGATCATTACGTCTGCAGTGAATGGTCGCATTGTGAAAACGCCATTGACTCAAATTGCAGGAGCGGATTCACCGGTTGATTACAAGTTATTCCTGAAGCGCGAAGAGCAGCAGGTCAGCTTCAGCGCCCATGTTCGAGGTGCCTATAATCGAATGAGCCAAGTCCCGCCAGAAGAGCGTTGGCGAGGAATTGTTTTTTCGGCCGTTGGCTATGGTATGTCTGTGCGGTTGTGATTCCCCAAAGACTCGCAATATTAATTCTCGTTTTCGCTGCATAGAAAAGTATGCAATGGCGATTGCTTGGGCATCGCGACTGCTGCAGATGCAAGTTACAATCACTGTCTCACAAGCTATGAGCGCCCACGAGATAAAAGAGCTTCGCTCCTTGGGATGCGCTGTCGTCCAAACATTCCATAAGATGAACGGCAGCCAGATAGATGCTACTCCTTTATCAGTTCAAAACGAAGTACCCCATGTCGAGCCTCTAGCCGATCCTTATTACCTTGCCGGCATAGGGACCGTGGGGTTAGAGATCCTGCAGCAAACCAAAGAGGGTCCTCCTCTTGAGGCTGTCTTCTGCAGCCTCCAGGACAGGGCTACTCTGGAGGCAATCGGAATATATTTGAATCGCTTTGCGCCCCAAGTGAAAGTCATCGGGGTAGGCCTACGACAAAGCTCGGAGCCATGCGATCAGGGACCCTTCAAGCCTTTACCCGCCATCCTGCGAGAGATCACAGCGACCAGCCATTTCATAGAGGCATTGAGCAATACAGTGTTAGTTGACACTAGTGACGTGCTGAAGGCGATCTCCGACGTGTTTGGGGAGACGCGTGTGGTTGTGGATTTGGACAGTGCTTTGGCGGTCGCTGGCATGAGACAATACGCGACGAAGAATGGCATCCTGAACGGAATCACGAGGTCCTTAGTTGCCGTTACTTCGAGCGTAGACGTGGCATTTGATAGTTTTATGGATTCCATCAGAGTCGGGTAGAGAAGACCAGACTACGAAGTAGTTGAGACGCGAACCCGAAAAGAAGGGAGTAAACAATGAATACACTAAACCTGAATGGGAAAGGACCATGGCGAAAGTGAACTCCGAATTCCGAACTACTCTAGAGTCAAGAAGAGAAACAGGTCTACACTCTACGCACGAACCTTCAGACGATATCCGAGTCAATGATAAGATGAATTCTGTTTCTTATCTACTCCTCAATAACACACTCAAATCCCTTTCTCACTCGCTCAGCTGCCTCTAAAACACCGGTACGACCCTCATATGAGTAAACAGCAAACCCCGAGAGCCAGGGCGTGGTGCTTAGTTTAGGATCAGCCACCCAATCCCCCTTTTTGAAATTCATCGGACTCTCAAATACTCGGTTAGATAGCTCTGGGCTTCTCTGATGGAAGTCCTGCCACGGGTCTTCGGATATAATCGTTCCCGACCTATCTGCTTGGATGGCACTAATGACCACATGAGGTCTTGACTTGAACGGAATCGAAAGTGCTCGGATCCGCGCTTCGTCTTGCAAAGCAAGCAGTAGTTGTAGCGCAAACATGTCCACGCCGTTGGTGAAGGCGCTGGCGCTAGCATCGACATACCCGGGTGGTCGAGCATTGACTTCAACTAGGAACACGCCGGGGTCCTTCAAAGGAGCAGTCATTTTCGGACGGAGGTCAAGACCACCAGAAGCTTCGTCTAGTCGATACTCATAGGTGGAATTGCGCATCCGTGCTTCAACGTGGAAAATCCCAGATTCGTAGCCCAGCCGTCGGATGGACTCGTACAACGACTGGCGCAATTGCAGCTTCTCGGCTTCGGGTAAAGCAGTGGGAAACACCAATTGTGTTTCTTTGAAATCTGCATTCACGTCTCCTGTGCCGCTATCCGCTGTGCATGGGAAATTGTCCACAACTTCGAAGAATAAGATCTCGCCGCGCCAAAGCACGAAGTTCGCGTCCACTTCGGGCCCGTCGCAATACTCCTCAACGAGGACGTTGGTTTGCCACTTGGATTGGTTGGAAGCATCACTTCGTGAGTAAGCTGTGTGTCTCGAGACAACTTCAACTGCCGCTCTAAGCGACTCTGTAGTTGTAGCCTTCATAACGTTCAGACTATGCCATCCATTGCAAGGCTTCACGATCCAAGGCGCTGGCGGAAGACCTTCTCCGCCGCTTGCTAGGAACTTGTTAAGCTCCTCAGGGCCCGAGAGAAGAAGACATGCGTCTGATCCTTGTGTTCGACGAGTTTCGTATTTATCCACCGATTTAGCAAAAGCCGTCGATGGGGACGTAGGGAGCCCTAGTATCTCCGCAGCCCGAGCCACTGGTATCAGGAGGAATTCTGTGACGGTCGCGACGCCATCTATGGGGCGAGGATAATTGCGGATCGCCTCAGATATGCGTTTCGGTAGGTCTGGATCTACTTTCATATTCACTTCTATGAAAGCCTCTCGGAGGTTTGAATGGGTGGAATTCTCATCTTGTAGCCAGTGACCAGCGGAATCCACGACAACCACATCGATTCCAAGAGCGCGTGCAGCCTGAAAAAGTCTCGCACATAGATGGTACGGGCGCACTTCTCCGACGAGCGCGATCCGTCGACGAGAGATAGGAGTGGATGAGAGCCATGGAAATGCCAGCCTATCTTGCAGTTCGTGTTGCGTTTGCTGGTTGACGGTGAATTTGCTTCCTTCTGCCAGAACGATACCGCCCACGGCTGATGTTAAAGAACAGGTGAATTGATGTATCGTCGAGGTTCCTTTTGAGGTCGGCGGTCGTACTAGTTGCCCAGGCTGAACGAATCCGATAGTTTGATGCACGCCTTGGGATCCCCGGAGACGCTCCTCCACAAAGTCACTGCGGATGATATACCCTTCCTGTTGAGGAACCACCAGAATCACGGAAGTTCTAGTCTCCGATGTCTTATTGGTGTTTAGCAAATGATGCAACCAGGTAAATAACGATTCATTATCTGTCGATGCCACATCAGCAGACTCTCCGGAGTTCAGATCAACGGCCAACAGGCCTGAGCTCTCTTTAAGCGACTGTCGTATCCGTTCCGGTATTTCATCCTGGGTGGTTTTCAGGACAATATGGACCAATATAGCTCTTGCTCCTTCGTCAAGGTTCGAACTTTCAAGAGTTTTCCAATCAAAATAGAATCGATCTGGGTAAGCATGTCAGCAATGCCGTCAGGTAGCGCCACTGGTTGGAACTCACTGGTCGACGCTGGGTCGATAAGAATGTAGGGACTCGCCATGGTGCCAAGCTGCTTTGCATTCCAAGAACGGATAATGAGGAGGCTTCTATATATGAATTTTTCTTGGTCTGTCACTCTTGGCTCAGACGATGTCATCCCTCACGATCTAGAACCCTCCGACGTCAGCCTTGAGCACCGAACTCCGTTCGAACTCCGAACCACTTGCCCAATTATTATTGGGCTCGAATTCACCGCAAGATAAGAGATCAAACATTATGGTTAACTGAAAGTCGGCTTAGCTCTTAAATATTCTTTGCTTCTCTTCCGTCCTCGTTCTCTGATCCGTCTATCCAGAATCCCACGCATATCGCGACACCATGAACGAGCTCGACGCAGCAAAAGCCGAGTCGCAATCGGTTCCATTAAGCTCGAACCCCACGCCAGATGGGGAAATTGCGACAGAAAACGAAATTCGAGACCTAGAGCATGTGGCGGACTCGCTTCCTCTCCGAGTGTGGGTAGCAGCGTTTATAGGCATGGCGGAGCGGTTCGCATACTACGGAACCCAGAGTGTTTTCCGTATGTTCCTGGAAAACTCACGCAAATGGAACAAAGCTGACCCAATTCTCTGCATAGAAAACTATCTCCAGAACGAACCCTCGGATTTAATTCCTGGAGCGCTTGGCCTCGGGAAATCGCGTGCTACCACAGTCAATCTCGCATTTACCGTACTCGTCAACATCTTACCCTTGCCATGCTCGATTTTGGTAGATGGATGGCTAGGGCGATATCGGTCTCTACAAATATTTACAGTGTGCGCTCTTTCGGCTCCAAGTTTATTTCTTAGGTTCGCTAATACACCTGCAGAATCTACATGCTTGGCTCTGCAGTCTTATTAGCGACTTCATTTCCGTGGATGATGCGCGACGGCATAGCAATAGCTGGATTTATCCCCGGGGCAATTTTGATCGCGATTGGCCTTGGAGGAGTACAGGCCTCATTACAGCCTTTTATTGGTAAGTGTTGTTCTTCAATGTCTCGATCATTATCTAATGGCACGCAGCGGATCAATATACCGAGCATGAGATGCGCATCAAAACCACGAAAACCGGCAAGCGCGTAGTTGTTGATCGCGAGTTGACTATCCAGTACATTTATAACCTCTATTACTGGTAAGAGGCCCTATTATCTCTTCGTGTGAATATGCACTCATTTTCTTAGGATGGTCAATGCCGGGTCCCTAGGCAGTATTGCCACGACCATGATGGAGAAATACATCGGCTTCTGGTCGGCCTATCTGCTTGACCTGTGTTCGGTCGTTTTATGTGTCATACTGGTGCAGGTTGCAGGACGGATATTCGGTAAGCGAAGCTATCTCATTTGTATTTACTTTCGGGTCACATTGATTAACACAAACCAGTACACCCACCGGCGCAAGGATCTATTCTACCCAAAGCCTTTCGCTGCCTATGGTACGGAGCTAAAGACGGATTTGACCTGGACGCTTCTTTGCCCGAAAATCAAGAAAAGAAGCATGGACGGATTGTCCCGTGGGAGAAGGAATTTATCGCAGAACTGCGTGATGGACTATCCGCGTTCAAAATCTGGTAAGTGCTCTTCAACATCTGCGAGGTTATCCGTCACTGACTGGTGAGCTTTAGTATTGGATGGCCTATATTCTGGCTCTGCATGGGCGAAGGTGCGCAAGTAGCCATCTCACAGGCAGGTCAAATGGAAACCCATGGTATTCCTAATGATCTGATCAAGTCATCGAACCCCCTCGCGTACGTTTTCTTCGGTCTCGTTATCCAGAAAGGGCTATACCCATTCCTCAATCGGCGCAAAATCCGCTTCAGTCCCATCAACCGCATCACACTAGGCTTCTTCATCATGTCCATCGCCATGGCCTACTCGGCTATTGTCCAGGCCCTCATCTACGGTGCCGGCCCTTGCTATAATCACCCGCTTGAATGTGCGGCATCGGACGGACGGACCCCGAACAGAATTCATGTACTGATTCAGCTGCCTACGTTTGTGATAATCGCTCTAGCTGAGGTGTTTTGCTGGCCCACGGGATCAGAATATACGTACAGTCATGCGCCGAAAAGCATGAAGTCTGTTCTTCAGGCATGTTATATCGGAACTTCGGGCCTAGGTTATGCCCTTGGCATGGCGTTCTCGCCCCTCGCTAAGGATCCATTGTTGGTAGTTTTATGGAGTGTTGTGGCAGGTATGATGTTCTTGACTGCTTGTGCATTTCGATTCGCATATCGGCATTGGAAATAAGTCCTTGATCATGAGAATTATGTAGAAAGTTGCTCTATTATTCAAGTACATGTACAGTGTAATCACATTGAACTCTATAGATAGAATAAATCAAACCTCCCGATGTTCCAACAATGGATCCTCCTCTGACGGAGCCCTTTCATTCCCCCTTGCCTTGCCCTTGCTCCGATGTCGATAGAGGACATAATGCTGCACCATAAACGTGACATCAAACAGCATCGTGACATTTCCAAGCGCGAACTTCGCACCATTTCCTGTGCTCATCTGAGACCAGCTCCCTTGCTCACTAATATCGAGCAATAACTGTAGGACCGAGAGCAGGCCGCCCGTAAAATCGAAAAGAATGGCATATATGCTGAATCCCTCGGTTGACTGGCGCCGGTAGTTGTGGAACACTTGGGGGGCGTATTTCACGACCGTGAGGAAGAGTTTGATATCTACTATCGTGTACACCTTCGGAGAATGTCAGTATACCATTGCAATCGTAAGCGATTGAATGTTTGAAAAATTCATACTGACCACATCAAGCCACTCCCAGCGTTCAGAAAGCCCAACCAGAACGCTCCCAACACCAGCAAGGATGACCCCAATGCAGGCCCAGAACACCCCGATGGCACCCAAGCTAAGAGCCGCCTTTGATCCACGAAATCCCCACATTTGCGGCCATTGCGTCTGGCTAAACATAACCAGGCAGATTCCTGCCCCATGTGCCGCGTAGACTAGATCATTGAATTGGACAGGGGGCGTTGGGCTTCCCGGTAACCGGCTGGCGTATTGTGCGCGAACCACGGGCGAATATAGAAGCACGGCGTTGAATACGGTGTAGGCTGTCAGGCCCAATGCATTGAGGAGAGTGAAGTCTATTGATAGGCCGGAACTCGATTTACGATTCAGGTTGGTGAGGACTTGCGGGTAGAATGAAATGGACCAGAGAAGCACGTAGATCCAACCCACCGTGCTGGAGATGACGGCCACTGGTGACATGGTGGTTTACAGCTGCGATTTTCTTTTCTTAGAATTGACGGTAGATTGTCAAGGAATTGAGATTGTAGAATCCAAAAGAAGAAAAAAAAAGACAGATAGCAGAGATGATGCGTCATCTCGGAGTACCCTTCTTAGTATACGGCGTTCGGCATTCCTTCCAAGGAAAATGGGCGATGCTTCGGAGTTCGGGATTACGGTGCAGCTGCAGCGTCAATGCGGTGATTCGGGTCTAGAATCCCGTCATCCTGGTCCTCGATTTTGCGCTTTCTTCATCTTGTGAGATCTCACGTTGGCCTAGAAATAAGTTAGGAAATCGTAACATTCATCTGCACAGTCATTCAAAAGTTGTGCTACGTATCGAAGGATAGAGCATCGCTCGCGGTATGGCCGTACTTAAATCAACCATGCGGACTATTAGGGACAGATACAGAGATTTTAGATTCAGCAGTCCCATAAACATAAGAAAGAAGAAGCATACACTCTATTAGGTCGCGCTCGTTTTCCAGAAAAACAAAATCACATCCACCATGTTGGAGCAGCCTATCCAGCCCGGCGCTCAACGCTTTGAGACGCTACAGCTCCATGCAGGGTAGGTACTTCAAGTTTGCTTACAATTTCTACTGTTGAACAAAGCTAATAGAGATATCTACAGGCGCTTTCCGGATGCCCTAAACAGCTGTGCCACCCCTATCTACACTTCAGCGGTTGGTAGAACCTCCGTCAATTTGGCGTGCGAAGACTGATAAAGTCCCACAGGCTTTTTCTTTCAACAACTCGGAGCATGGCGTCCGGCTACTTGAACTCAGCGAATTTGGAAACATCTACAGCCGTATCACGAATGTGAGATCGCCTGTCCCTCCCCAGCTTAGCAACCACAGTCGCCTAACAGTAGAACAGCCCACGGTCAGCGTCTTCCAGAACCGCATGGCTGCTTTAGAAGGTGGTGTAGCAGCATGCGCCACGGCCTCTGGTACAGCGGCTGTCTCGATGACGCTCATGGCTCTTGCTGGCCTTGGCGATAACATCGTTGCCTCTTCGACAGTACATGGCGGTACATTTCACCAGTTCAAGGTCCTAGCACCACAGCTTGGAATTGAATGCCGCTTCGTGTCGTCCAACGATCCGGAAGAATTCCGCGCGCAGATCGATAGCCGAACGAAGTTTCTTTTTGTCGAGAGCATCAGTAACCCGAAGTACGAGGTTCCGGATTTCGAGGCCCTGGCAGAGATCGCACATAGTAATGGAATTGTGCTGATTGTATGAATCTTGTCTGATCCCCTGGTTGACTCTCGCGCATTTCCTAACATATCTAAAGTGCGACAACACTTTCGGATGTGCAGGGTACTTCTGTCGTCCGATCGATCACGGCGTGGATATCGTGCTGCACTCAGCCACGAAATGGATCGGAGGTCACGGAACCACCCTCGGCGGTGTTATCGTCGATGCCGGTAACTTCGACTGGGGCCAGCATCGAGACAAATACCCTCAGTTCCACGCGGACGGTGCCTCAGAAGGAAGCGGCGAAGTCAGCCTGTGGAAGCAGTTCGGTCGACGCGCATTCGCCATACGGTGTCAGTTCGAGGTTCTACGAGACCTTGGCGGCACACTCAGCCCGCAGGCTGCTCAACAGTTGCTGATCGGACTGGAATCGCTAGCTGTGCGATGCGATCGGCACGCCTCAAACACGGAGGCTCTTGCCCAGTGGCTTGCTGAGCAACCGCAGGTCTCGTGGGTGCGTCATCTAGGCCAGGAAGACCATCCTTGCCACCGCAATGCAAATCGGTACCTGCAGCGCGGGTACGGGGCTGTGTTCAGCTTCGGTATAAAAGGTGGCAAACAGGCGGGATTTCGACTCTGTGATAACTTGGAGATGGTTATCAACACGACCAAGTTCGTATTATTGCCTCCTAGATGTCCCTGGTCGTTCTATGCTGACGGCGTCACTAGCCTGGGAGATTCCAAGACCCTCGTCGTCCATCCGTGGACCACAACGCACCAGCAACTCACCGACGCGGAAAGATTTGCTGCCGGAGTAACGGAAGACCATATTCGTCTCTCCGTTGGTATCGAGCATATTGAAGATATCAAGGACGACTTTCGGCAGGCATTTGCGGCGTTGGATAAGCCAGCCACTGAAAGCCAAGCGGCGATCCTGCATTATAAAGAGCAGAAGGAGATTATTCGATCCTTGTATGGGACGCTAGATAGTGCTCCAGAGCAGCCTCAAGTTAAACAGACTGAGACAAATGGGGTTCACTGACTTCTTTGTTGGGATGGATGGAAATGATGAATGGGTCTGGCGGAGAGAACTGATTATGTTTTGTAGCCGCTGGGGTGTAACAGCCAAGATATGGCCTGTGTATAGAACACCATGAAAGGCCTCTATTCTTCCTACAGCCAATCAACCTAGTTCTTACATTAAATCAAGACATCCATTTCATTACTTTTGTGGTCGAATTTGATTACCGAGAGCGCTATCTGGCACTCTTGGGTTGTTGTTGACATGTGCACTATATATTTTCATGTATCGATACTGAAGAACTTGTGTTTTGCAATCGATTAAACCAGGGATACCGGTGCTTCATCAAGATTATCTATCCGAAGAAAGACTACTAGACACCATCGTAATTACCACAATGAAAATCCAAAACTGAAATGATCAAATTGGTGGAAGTACATCGAGTGAGCAAGACGCAATGCTTGGCAGATGCCACCTCAGGCAGTAAGGCATGCATCCGAAACGGGAAGTGGTAGCAAAACAACAAAAAGTGCAGAACCTGAGTTGGAGCAGAAAATTTCATTTTGATGGCAAGTGAGGTACTTTTGTAGGCCTCGGAGTGTGAGAATTGCATATTGATCAGCCCATGAATCCCCGCCTGACGCAGTCCCATGCAGCCCGACCGTAGGAGCAGAGCGCGGATTAACATAATCTACTGATCACAAAGGGCCTGGGAGGCTAATTAAACAAAAATAACCACACGTTTTCCTCCGGCTAGTCTGTCCCTAGGTACCCAGTCACTGGAGTCTTTACACGTCAGTTCCTGGCGGTGATTGGTGGCCTGTGCCTTTAGTGGCCCTGCAACCTGAGGCAGCAGTGGAAATCAGGTGCCTGGCCTGAAGGATTGAAAGGAGGATAACTACTCCGCATGCTTATTGTTATTAGGAGTCTGCTACACGGCACACGCAAGGCACTGAGGCACCGAAACTCCTGTAATTTGACTTTGCTTGCCTCAGGCAGATACCCTCCCAGCGCTAACGGCGGTTACGGCCGCGTGGGCGTTTAGGGGAGCCAACGAAAGCGCAACCCGCAGCGGTGGCTTTCCCCGACCTTCAGCGAGGAGAAACGCGCACCAGTCTTCAGCCCGATTTGCCTTGGCCGCAAAACATCCTCCCCCGTTCGTCTCCTTTCCATTGCCGCGACCGAATTTTCGTCTCCGATCACCTCCTTGTTCCTCTTGAAACCGGTGCTGACACGGCTAGGAACCGTGTTTCCTGCCGTTGTCGCCCGTGTGTGCCGATTGTTGGCTTACATCAACAGACTTCACCATTGCGGACACGAGTCCTCCCACGCTGTTCACGCTCTCTCCCACCACGCTGAGCCCGAGAGCTCCTGTCTTCTCGGATATCTCCGTTGGGATCCTTCCGCTCGCTAAAATCGTATGGCTTGGCAGTCGCCTTCGATAATGGGGGGTGGAGGGTATGTCGGACCGGATGGGTCGTCGAACGGACAACCTCAGGGGACGGAATACACGTTGCAAGGTGCGCTTGTCCGCAATGGCGTCGGGCCAGTGCTTCATATCTACGAGACTAACCTCGCTCTTCTATCTGTAGGTGTGATGCGCTTTCTGCAGACCGAATGGCACCGTCACGAACGAGACCGCAATGCGTGGGAAATCGAGCGCGCGGAGATGAAATCCCGCATTGGAAGATTGGAAGGCGATGTCCGGACGAGCAAGCGTTTACACGAGTCGCTAGGCAAGCACGTCAGGCTACTAGAGGCTGCGCTGAAAAAGGAGCGCGAGAAGGTCAAAAAGCTCAGCAACAACGAAAAGATCGATGACACCAGGGACCCCAAGGAAATCGCCCGGGAAAGCCTGAGCGCCATAAAATGTATGATTGGTTTATCACTGCCGGTTCAGACCATGGATGCTGACCGATTTGCTTCTCCTTCTAGCCCAACGCCCCAAGTCGCACATAGATCTCGGCGATTCCGATCCTAACTCCGACCACCAACATGAGTTGCAACAAGAGAATGAGCGAGACAAGTCGCGCCTGTATTTGACGAAATGTTCACAAGAAATCACATACCATGTCATCCCTACCTCCCACCCACCCCCAGACCTCAGTGATCCGGACCTTGCCAACCCCATGTATGGCAACCAGCAGCTGTCGCAGCATAGTCTGGAAGAAGCATATCTTCAGCAGCAAAGGCAGAAGCAGCAACACCAGCAACACCAGCAGGCCAACCATATGATGGCACGCGAGGTCTCTCTCCAGAACCACCAACCGATCGTGACCCATTACCCCGAAAACACCGGGCTTCCGCGACCAACAAACCAGTTTGGCCTGCCGGGCCCTGCCAGGGAGGCGCTGGACCGAAGGCCCTTGGAACCCCAACAGACGCCGGTGACTGCGGTTGACAACCGGAGGCAGGCTCATGACCCTACAATGAATGATGAACGCACTGGCGGGGAGAGACAGGGGTATGATAACTATGGTCCCCAGGTGTCGGTGAAAGAAGAGACAAAGCCGCAGCAGGTTGAGGAAAGCGTCGAAGACCCGGACGGCTGGAACTTTGATGAGCCGTCAGACCAAGAACCGCCCACGGAACCGATGCCCCCTCATCGTCCCGATGTCGACGTTTTTCCCAATGCCAACTTTGTTCGACCGAAGTCCCCTTCGAGGCCCGGATCGATGTCTCATCGACGAAAGAGCTCTGGTGCTAGGCGCAAGAGTGACGGGGCCATCGACTTGAGTTCGAGTGCGGGTGCGAAACAAGATTCCTCCTTTAAGGTCAGGTTCGCTCTGCGCGGACATCTTGATGTCGTCCGCTCCGTGATATTCACGGGCGGCGGCAGCCCTTCCGAACCCGAGATTTGCACGTGTAGCGACGATGGGACGATCAAGAGGTGGATCATCCCGGCCTCGTACGGCAGCCTTGGCCATCACGGACCCGGCTCAAGCAATGATCTGGACATCACCAGTTATTTCACCCACCGAGGACACGTTGGCGCTGTGACTGCGCTGGCCGCCTGCTCTCCGTCGCAAAACATTTCCAACGGCGGTCGCGCTTTGGGTGATGGCTGGGTGTTTTCTGGTGGGCAAGATGCGAGCGTGCGTGTTTGGGAGCGAGGCCGAGTTGACCCCAAAGCCACTCTGGATGGCCATACCGATGCCGTGTGGGGCCTGTGTGTCCTTCCAGGAACGACCGGGTCTGTTTTCGGAGATTCATGCAGTAATTATGGAGGCACCGACCGAATCCTGTTGGCATCGGGCGGAGCAGATGGACACATTCTGATCTGGGCTGTCAGTGCCCCTCCGCAACTCTCGTCACCGCAGGCTGGCTCTCGAAGAGCTGGAGGCAGTCGCCGGGCTAACTCTATCTCATCTGGATCCAACTTCCCATCGTCACCCCAACCCAGTATGGCAACGGCTACGCCATTCCACTACAGCCTTGTCCACAAAATCGCCCGACAGGACTCCCCATCTCCGACCTGCATCAGCCCCTTGTCTCTCGCCGGCGTGAACTTTGTCGTTTCATTCTCCGACGCTTCGATCCTTGTCTATGACACACGAACCGGCGAAGAGATTGTTGGAATGGCCAGCCTGGAGACATACGATGGAACGCCCTCCACGGGTGTCAACGCCGTTGTGGCATCCACCGTCGGGTTTGACGGGTCTGCTGGCCTGGATCCGAACCGAGCAATGGTAGAAGAAGAGGTGGTCCATGGCGCCACTGGTTCGAGTGGCGTGGAGGGAGTGGTCATTAGTGGCTACGAAGACAAGTACATTCGCTTCTTTGACGCCAACAGTGGTACGTATTGCCCTCTCCCGTTTCATGACTGAACTGACTGACATCTTTGCTGTTCCAGGACAATGTACGTACACGATGTTGGCTCATCCATCGGCGATTGCTTCACTCTCGCTGTCGCCAGATGGACGTGAGCTGGTGTCCGCTGGCCACGATGCTAGCTTGCGATTTTGGAACCTCGAGAAACGGAATTGCACCCAAGAAATCACCAGCCATCGGGTGATGCGTGGGGAAGGGGTGTGTTCCGCCGTCTGGAGCCGTGATGGCCGTTGGGTCGTTAGTGGTGGTGGTGACGGAGCAGTCAAGGTCTTCTCGAGACAATGAGAGAGCCTTTACTGGTGATGTATGATTTTTGTCTTATAAATTTCTTTGGACGCATGACATGGATGAGCGCTTGGCCAATTCTTGAGCATTTGCAAACGTTGTCAAGTTACCTGGCATATGTTCCTTTCTACTCGTGTGGTTATAGTTTCTTTACTTCTTCTTTCTCCTATTCTTTGCTTTTCTATGTGACTCATAATCACCTTTACCTTCTTCGCGTGATGACAAACTTTTTCTTTTCTCTATCTTACTTTTTTGTTGTCTCTTTACTCCTTTTCCTATTAACGCTACCTTGCCTTCATGCTCGTTACCCACACTGCAAAGCTTCGCGTGAAACAACCGACTATTATGAGTGTTCCTGCTGTTCATTTCTGCGATTCCTTAGTCAGCTTCATTTGCATATCCCGTCCCATTTTGACTTCTTCGTTTTGTTACCCCATATTGGTCTTATCGTTCCCTCTGTTTAGGATGATGGCACTACCCCAACGTTGTACAACAATGCCACGTCGGATTCCCCTTCAAACCTTTCTTCTCTCTTGGTATTACATGTGAATCTAAACCGGGTAGAAAAATAGAGTAACTTGGCTCGTGTCAACAGATGACCCAATCCAGAGAAATCTTGACAGACATGCACATATCCGATATGTTTCAATCCTCGTAGACGTAGGCTATATTGACAGGTTTCTGTACTCTGTACATAGGAACCACGCGACGCTTCCCCAAAGATATCACGCAATCAACCCATTACCACTTCAAAAAGGAATCCATTTACGATCGACTCGCCGTCCAAGCCCCCTTGAACAACGTCGTCAACTTCTGCGCCTCCTCAACATCCTTCAACCTCTGCTCCAAGTACCCCTCCAAATCACTCCAGAACGCATCCGTCTCCACCAAAGCCTCCCCGGAAGGCCCAATCGCCGGCTTCGGAGATGGCGACGAAGAAGCCCCATTATTACCCCCGGCCTCCTCAACAGCCTTCGCCCCTCCCATGATCATCACCCCAAACTCGACCGTCTTGCCACCAGCCAGCAACTCGGGCTCGTCTTCGAGCAGCTCCGCGATCGTCTTGCCGGACACCGGTTTGCGCTTGTATAGGATCTTGATCTTGTCCAGCCCGATCTTCTCGTTCTGGGCGTCGACGACCCGCTCGCGCACTGCGTCTTTCAGGTCCGATACGGAAGTCGTGGTGATCGGGGTGTTTGAGACGGTGAATTCGAGCGCGGGGTTTCGGGCCGACTTGAGGTGCACGTTTATCGATTTCGAGGATCCCGGCGCTGCGGTGGATTTCACTTTCTTGGGCATTTCGGGACGAGGGGATGAGAGGCGCGGGAGGAGGTACTGGATTTAACGGAGCTGAGTTAGAGATAGATACTTGAATAAGAAGGTGTACTGTGGGGGATCACGTACAGGGACCTTGAGTCCGACTCGCTCGGGGTCGAAGACATAGTCGGCGGGGAGTTTAATCGGACGGGAATCCAGCGAGGAGAGGAAGGATTTGATGAAGCTGAGCTCAGACATGGTGGGAAGGTGTGGGCTCGACAGTAGATATGCGCTGAAACGGGGAACGTTGAGTAGTTGAGGAGGCGAGAAGTAGCTGAGACACCGCGGGGAGCGCAAGCTGACAATCTGCATTACCCGATTCGGGTGGGCCTGAGGCCGCACGAGCCCATTGACACCTCAGGCACTAAGCCGGCTTACCGCCTTTGGAAGCATCTTCTTCTGCCACCACTGACCGCCGCGGCGGATGAAGAAAAAAAAAAAAAAGACGAGCGAAAAAAAAGTTGAGATCTTTCCGCAGTCAACGGAAAAACACTCGATTTTCACCACACATCCCATCTTCTGTCGCAATGGGTAAAGGTCGCCGCATGAAGAAGCAAGGCCCTCCGGCTCCGCTGGATGAGTCGAAAATCTCGATGCTCAAGAACCGCAAGGCCGCTGAGCCTCAGTCGAAGGCGGCGCCGGGCCAGAAGCGGAGAAGAGACGATGTCGAAGAGGAGGCGCCCGTGAAGAAGAAGAATGTGCAGAAGAAGACCAATGGCGCTGCTAATGGCAAGCCCGCTAAGACCCCCGAGCCCACGAAGAAGCCCGCCGCGAAGGAGATGGATTTCATGGACTCGGACGACGATGAGGCTTCGGCCGACGACATGGAAGACCTTGAGGGAGGCGACGACGAATTCGGTGATTTGGACGGCATCAGCGAGGGATCGATCGATAGCCAGGAGGAGATTGGCTCGGGCGATGACGACTCCGTCATGAACTCGGACGACGAAGATGATCACCCCCGCGAGACCATGTTCTCTGACGACGAATCTGACGCCGAGGAGCAGCTGACGGCGGCTAACATCGAGGGACTGTCTCGGAAACTGGATCTAGAGAAGCAGGCGGAGGCGGAGGAGGCAGAGCAAGAATTGCAAGAAGCTGCTATGCAGACCAACATCGCCGGTGACCGACCGGATGTTTTCGAGGAAGGTGGTGCCGGGCACGGGTTGGCTCCCGATCTTCAACTGCTCCGCACAAGAATCACAGACACCATCCGAATCCTGGGTGACCTGAAGACTCTGGGTCAGCCCGGCAAGTCGCGCGCCGATTACCTTCAGTTGCTTCTGTCCGACATCTCGACCTACTACGGATACACCCCGTTCCTCGCGGAAAAGCTTTTCAACCTCTTCACTCCCATGGAAGCATTCGCCTTCTTCGAAGCCAACGAAACCCCTCGTCCCGTTGTTATTCGAACGAACACTTTGCGCACAAACCGTCGGTCGCTGGCACAGGCCCTGATCAACCGTGGTGTTGTTCTCGAGCCCGTCGGCAAGTGGTCCAAGGTCGGTTTGCAGGTCTTCGAGTCTGCCGTCCCCCTTGGTGCTACTCCCGAATATCTGGCTGGCCACTACATCCTGCAGGCCGCGTCTTCCTTCCTCCCCGTCATGGCTCTGGCCCCGCAACCCAACGAGCGCGTCCTGGATATGGCCTCTGCCCCCGGTGGTAAAACCACCTACATCTCCGCTCTGATGCGCAATACCGGCTGCGTGATCGCCAACGATGCCAGCAAGCCCCGTGCCAAGGGTCTGATCGGTAACATCCACCGTCTCGGATGCAAGAACACCGTTGTCACCAACCTAGATGCCCGTACTGCGTTCCCCAAGGCGCTCGGTGGTTTTGATCGCGTGCTCCTCGATGCCCCCTGTACTGGTACCGGCGTTATCTCCAAGGATCCCAGCGTGAAGACCTCCAAGAACGAGCGCGACTTCCTCGCCATCCCCCACATGCAGCGCCAGCTTCTCCTCGCCGCCATCGACTCTGTCGACCACTCCTCCAAGACCGGCGGCTACCTCGTCTACTCCACCTGTTCCGTCACCGTCGAAGAGAACGAAGCCGTCGTGCAGTACGTCCTGCGCAAGCGCCCCAACGTCAAGATCGTCGACACCGGCCTCGGCTCGTTCGGTAGTCCCGGTTTCTCCAACTACATGGGCAAGCACTTCGATGCCAAGATGCCCATGACCCGCCGCTACTTCCCCCACCGCGAGAACGTCGATGGTTTCTTCGTCTGCAAGCTCAAGAAGACCGGTCCCAGCCCCGCCGAGACCGCCGCTTCTGCTGATGGCGCCGCCACCGGTTCCAAGACCTCTGACGCCAAGTCTGCTACCTCGGACGACGAGACCGTCGACAAGACCCCGATTGCCGACGAGGACGGTATGGTTGTGGACACCGAGGGCGGAGCCTTCGCTTCCTTCGAAGACGAAGAGGCCGACCAGGAGCGGATCCTGCGCGCGGAACGCAACCGTCTCCGTCGCAAGGGTCTCAACCCCAAGGGTGTCCTGAACAAACCCAAGAAATCGAAGCCCGAGTCGAAGCCCGAGTCCTCGACACCCGAAGAAGCACCTAAACCTACCGCCGCCCCATCCCCCAAGCAAGACGAAAAGTCGAAGGCCAAGAAAACCGAAGAATCTACCCCCGAGAAGAAGACCAAGAAGCCCGCCGCCGCGGCGCCGAAGCCCGAATCGAAGCCCAAGGCCGCCGAAAAGCCTTCCAAGAAGCCCGCCGAGAAGAAACCGCAGGAGTCGAGCGAGAAGAAAAAGACTAAGAAGAAGTCATCTAAATAGATGATATTATAGTTTCTTTTTCTTCTTCTTCATTTTATTCCTCCTGTATAATCTCTTTATATCATTGGTTTCTTTCTCTTTTCTTCTTGTCATGAGTTGTTCTTCTCTTTTCTTGATATAAAAAGCACCATGTCCTTCTGTTTCCGTGTTACTTACTTCCAACGAATGTTTTCTGGTATGGGCGGCGCATGCGCATCATTTTCATTGATCTAGTTTGACGGACCGAACTGTAGGTAGCTGTCGAAATAAATCCAATCAAATAGATACCATTTCCGAGTTAGATCCATCTCTTTTTTTTCTACATTAGGAAATCTGGTTGCTTACAATGCAGAATGAGTCGTAGAATGCCTAATTGATAGATGAGTGACTGCCGATTATATTTGTTTATGGATACAATCCAATGTGTTGGGATAGAAGTAGTGAACAATAGTAAATCCAAAATAAATCAATTGAATGTCAAATCCCAAAACGAGTGAGGGTATGCTCTGATCTAGAATTTTGTATGAGGTGTATGTATGGTTAGTTGTTCTTGGAATGAACCAAATCTAAGCGCAAAGATAAAGATGGGTTCGTGTCTCTTCCGTGAATATTTCCAGGGTATGCCGTGTTGCCAAGTCGTATTTCTCCAATGAATATTGAATTCGAATAGAATGAAAAATGATCAACCAAAAAACCCCAAACAACCCAAAACTTAACATGGCCAGTAAATGTCAAATTTGTACTCCTTTCCCCTGTTTATCCCCCCTGTTGATTTAGACAATTTGAAAACGTGTTGGTTCGAAATGGACACGTCTCATGGTGTTTTAGGTTCGGTAAATTTTAACAACGCTGATGATGTTCTTGCGGCAGATGGGACAAATATCGACTTGCCGAGCGCAGGTCACGCAGGCGCAGACATGTCCGCAATCGTAGAACAAGGCGTCCTGCTCCTCGCTGTAGCAAATCTGGCAGAGATCCATCTCCTCCTCGGCGACCTCCCAGTAGCTGATGCCTTTGCCGTGGCGCTTGCCGTCCTTGTAGCCGCCGACGTACTTGTTGCCCGTCTTCTTCTCGACGAAGGAACCCTGTCCATGGCACTGATTCTCAAACCAGTCGCCATCGTAGGTATCACCGGTTGGGTACTCCAGGAAACCTTTGCCGTGGCGTTTGCCGAACACGTGGTCGCCGGTGTAGGCGGCGGCGGAGTCAGAGACATGCGTGCCTTTGCCGTGGAAGTAGCCATTCTTGAATTCACCGCTATAATAATCACTGGTGAACGTGGCGTTGATGGTCTTGGTCCCCGTGAAGGCTTTGGTAGGATGATTGCGAGCGGAAGCCCATAGGTAGCGCACAAGTTGATCGGGATTGGCAAAGAGGCCAGCGACGTTGAGTTCAGCGCGTCTGGATTAGATAGATTAGCAAATTGTTTCATAAAAGCAGAAGTTCAGAACCAAGAACCAGAGAAGTCCGGAGAAAGAATTACCTATCCTTGCTGAGGCGGTCACCAACGATGAAGCAGGTACCGTCCGGCACAAAGCCGTCGAAAGTCTCCGCCGAAGACATGGTGGTGACCGTGGTCCCGTCAAGACGCTGCCAGATCAAAAAGTCTTTCCTGGCGGGCCATTGAAGATGCTTTCGCACGGCTGACTTGATGTTTTCCTCTTTCTGGGAAAAGAAAGAGCCCACAGTTCGCAGAGATTGCGTATCAACATCGAACATCTGGATGAAGTAGTAGACGTGATCCACCGGAAGTGTGATCTCCGGCTCGGTTGGGATGGTAGGCGTGGCGTCGGCCGTGGGCGGCTCGGGCTCAGCGGGAGTTTCCTGAGGAGCTTGCTCCGGCGTGGGCTCTGTGTTGGTGGGTTCCTCCGTATCCATCTGCTGGACGTCGTCTGCAATAATAGCTGCAATTACGGCATCATTGTCGGCATTTTCCACGACCGTCTCGCCATTGGTGGTCACATTCGAATCGGGTTCGGGTGCAGCGGGGATGGGGGTTTGAGCCCGGCCCTCGGAAGGATCTTCTGGTGTTGATACTTCAGCAACTGCTTGAGCAGTGCTCGGATTGTCGCCGAGATCGCCTGTGGGGGTGGTCCCGGATGAACTGGCCTGAGCGGCGTCCCCTTCGCGTGCTGGCATGAGATCGTCTGCAGAATCAGAATCCTCCCGCTCAAGGATTGCCTCCTCTGGCTTGTTGCTCTCAGTTGTGATTGCGTCCTGGGGATCCTTCATGGCGAAGTACTTCGCATCCACTGCCGTTGAGTTAGCTAAGTATTCCCGATGAACAACATGCGTAGAACAAACCTTCTGAGACGACCTGCATCCAGAAACGAGCGACCTGCAAGGGAAGGTCCAATGTTGCCTTCAGATCCGACACCCGTGAAAAGGCAAGAGTCGGCCCAAACCGATCAAGAGTGTGACCAATCTGCCATAGGCGGACATGCTCCGGGATGGTCGCGCTCTCGGCGCCTGCCGAAGCCCACTGGGCAATTTTCTTTCGCAGATCGATGAGATTGGTTGAGCGAGGAACGGTGAGATACATGACATTGTTGGCTGTCTTGGCCTGCGACATCAGATCGTATGTGTCGAAGAGACTGTCCAGCTTATCATACTGCGGGACCGAATAAATCTCAACTTGGATGTCTTTGGCGGGCTTGTCACCGGGAGACAGGGACAAAGGATAATCTCCGTTCTCATAGTATCCCTTCAATGCCTCGTTGACTTCCCAGGGTCCTTGAGGCCCTGGGAGATACTCCTGCACGGCATCGTCCCGGATGTACATGGCGGCGATTGCGACGTCATGCCCCGTTTTGTGGTCCACTTTCTGAGATGAATCCAGGCCGACGTGAGGACCCAAGGCCGTTTTCCGCGTTAAACATTCCACGCGATTATCGCTGCCATCGTCAAAGGCCAGCCATTTGGAGCCAGGTCCTCCAGGGCGGAGAATGCTGAAAAACTTGCCCGAGGTTCGTCGACCACGGTGGACGATGTAGCCGTAAAGAACATATTTTCCACTTTGTCCATCCACGACCCGCGGCGCTAGATCAAGCTCCTCATCCAGCTCGACTCGGTTGTAGAGCAGGCGCCATTGCCGGGCCGCCTTGTCGAGCTTCTGACGCCCCAACTCCACGTGGAGTATAGGTGGCAGCGCCCAGCGACCCGGCTTCTGTCCCAAGTACCAATCGAGGGCTTCATGCATCGTGCCGGCCTGATCGGCGGGCACGCAGATGCGCGAGTTGAAGTCCTTGGGAATGGTATTGATCACGTTCTCTCCGTCTGCAGATGTGGAAGGGGGCTGCGGAGTGGGGCTGTCGAAGATGGCAGCGAGTTCTTTCACAGCATCTGTGCCTGCAAGTTCCAGCTCAAGGGTCCGCCGCAAGCGTTCCCAAAACTCACAAACATCGCCGGAATACTCGTGCAGGTTACGAAGGGTCGAGGTAATTGTGTCGGTGTCGACATATTGCAGGGACTTGCCGCGCGAGCGCAGGTGCCACAGAAACTTTTGCAACGCATCACACAGTGGTTTCGGCTTGACATCGCAATTGGTCAGGTGTTCCAGCACATTTACGTTCTGAATGATCTTGCAGAAAGGAGCAATGTGCAACCAGGTGGCCAGACCGGCGACCTCGGCGCTGTGGTTGATGACCGAGTCACCCAGGGGGCGATACCCGGTGAGACTCAAGCTGTCCCAGGTAGGCTCGGAGTCGCTGCAATGCCACCACAGGGACCGAGTCGGGTCGTCGAAGATACGGATGTAGGCATTGAAAACCAGCGTGTCATTACGAAGCAATGCCTGGCGTTGGCCACGCTGGCGACGATGAATCTCGTCCCAGGGGGCGTGGAAATTGGTCCAACCCCAGTCCAAATTATGAGGATTGAACTGGTGGCAAGAGGACTGCATCCACCCGGTGCGAGGCTCGTCCGGGTTGTATGCTATGACGCCAATTTGAGCGGAGACTCGCCACGTATCCGTAGAAGGGTCCGCCTGCTCTATAGTGGGCAGATAGTGAGAATTGTAATGGTCGAGCCACGCCGTGGAGTCCTCTGATCGAGGATACTTGACATTCAAGGCCGGGGCAATGCCATTAAGATCACTGTCGGCAGGACCGTGAACGACGGCAAATTCGGTCTCCGGGTGACTCTTCTCGGGGACGGGCATGGTGGCAGAGCATTCAAGATAAACGCTCAGCGAGTTCACGTTGTTGCCGCGAGGGAAGAACTTGATTGTCCACCAGTACCCGCCAACGTATGCGGGCGGAGACCGCATGATTTTGGCATAGTTCGGCCACTCCCTCGTGCCCCGAACGCCTTTGATCTTCCACGTGAGGCGGGCCTTCTCCGCTGGGTGGTATTCCGGGTCGTCTAGCTCTGGTTCGAAATTCTTCTCCCAGTAGTCATCTGACAGGCCGAGTTAGCCCGGGACACCCGACTGACAAAGCATGTGTCAGGTATAAAATATATTTATGACTTACAATCGATAGCAGTAACAACCTCATCTCCCGCTTCGATCTCCTTCAATTCGGCCTCATCGGGAACCGAAGTGTCTTCCTCGATTTCGGCCCAGTAGGCATGTTCCTCTGGCGGCGGCGGGCGAGCGGGCGGAGAGGAATCTGCGGGAGCCTCTGACTGTGATCGGTCGGCGTCGGCGTCTAACCGATCGTGGGGTTGGCCGTTATCTGTGAGGGCTTCCGGAATATCGCCGTGGGTCACGTCGATGGTGACGGTCGGCTCCCCGGCGACTTGAAGAGAGGTAGAGTCGGTGCTCAGGGTGATCGGGGGAGGCAGTTGCTCCACGGTGACCGACGTTTCTAGTGCCGTATCCATAATGTCGAATTGAGAACGATGGCCGAGAAGGAAACAAATACAGCAAAGCTAGGTCTCAGGTATTCCCCGGATGACTGGAGTCTGGACCCAGTAAGATAAGATAGCGAGGACAACTCAGTCCTACAAGGCTGAAACGAGTGGAGCAGAGTCTGAACGCAAACACAAAGACAATCGGAACAAACCACAAGAGCACAATGGCAGGAACTGAACAAGAGAAAGGCTTGTCAGATCTTCTTCCAAGGGTCAAATGCCCTGTCGGATGAGTCAAAAGATAGAAATGCTGAGTGAGGCCCCGGAGAGAAGGAGGGGGCGCTAAGAGTCTAGACAGCCCGATAAGACAAGGGCTTATCAGCAAAACACGGGGGAAGGGCGAACTAAGCCCGGCTGGGAAGTGACACGATTGAAAGAGAAAAAGAGAGTTGTGGATTGAGGAGATTGACAGACGAGATAAATGGTTCAAAAGGGATGAAAGAAGGATGACCAGAGCATGGAAGGAAGGAAGAAACGACCGATGGAGAGAGAGAGAGAAGAAGAAGAAGAAGAAAAGGAAAGCACGAAAGATGAGGCGGCAATGCACCTCAGGCTCCAAGGCACCGCCGAGCGATCACGGGCCCGCTCACCGCTGCTTATTCCCCGGGTTGATTGGCCGCCGTGCCTCCCAAACACTTCATCGCTTTGCCACTGCTGGAGCCATTCACCGGTCCTTTGGTCCCCTTGGATTGTCGTTAATTCGTTAATTAACGGCCGAATTCATGAATGATCTGGCTTGTCTTCCTGGTCTTTTATGTATTTTTTTTTTCTTTCATTGTCTGTTCTTTGTTGCGGTAACTGTCTAATGTCTACAGTACCTAGAGGTATACCTAGCCTCCCGGGAAACGACACCCGGACGAGCTTAAGGCTGTAGGCTGTACGGAGTAGGAAGTCCCAACTCCCACCTCCGGAGTACCGAACAGAGTCCGTTCGGGTCGCAGCGATCGACCGGTGGAACGTCTCGACTCGCTCCACTTTTCTTCCCCTTTTCCCTCAGGAACTTTTGCCTCCTTCCCCCAAAATTCATCTTCCTCCTGTCGAGCCCGGATATTCGGGAAAAAACTCTTTCCACTTCCTCCAAATCAGATCCCACTAATCGACAAGGGAATCGCCCGGTTGTCCAGTGTCGTTGTCTCCCGCATTCCCGGTGGATTTCCACCTTCCCCTTTTCGTGCCTCCCGTTCCATTTGCCACCCTTCGAGAATTCTCTTTCCCCTCGGAAGGCCCCAAACCGATTAGATCTGATAGGCAGTTGTGCGCGTCGGTCGGAGATCATTCGATACAGAAAATGTGGTGTGGGGTTGTTGGCGGGAACGAGGATTATCTTATCATCCAGAAGGGCCGGTCAGGAGAAAACCTCATGTTCGGTGAATCCACCGCCAATTATCCCCGGGGTGGGGGAATCCCGTCGTGAGCTGCCGTTCGAACCGCCCGAGCTGCATTCAGTTACGAGCCGCGTCGTCCGCACTCGAGGCAGGCTGGTCGGCGCGGGCAAAGGAAGCTGCCACCATCAAAGGAAAGACGACAGTAGCTTCTGCATACACCTTGACCGACTTGGCGCCCGCCTTGATTTTCCCCCAGCTAATGGCCTCGTCCGGTCGAGCTCCCGCATCGCTGCCATCAAACTCCTGAGCCGTGTTCACGTACACGGCGTGTTCGGCGCCGTTTCGCATCAGGCACGCGTTGGCAATGTGGTGCTTGATCACCCCGCCCCCGAGAATGATCATCCCCGCACGAGCGGCCCGGACGGCCATGGTGTTGATGCGCCGTACGTCGTCCACGATATCAATCCGCAGTCGCTGCGGAGAGGACCGGAAGGTGTGGAAGTAGAGCATGTCTCCGAGAGAGCCGTCGGTGAGGGCCGGGCAGAAGATGGGAATGTCGTTGCGGGCGGCCCAGTAGAGCACGGAGTCCTCGTGGTTGATTTCCTGCCCCAACCGCTTAATGACGCGACTCGGGGTCCAGTGCAGCTCGTCCTCCTCGTCGCCCGTCTCCAACGCCTTCTTCTTGGCGGCCTCTTGCTCCTCCAACATTTTATCCAGGATGGGGACCAGCCAGTCTTCAAAGGCGCAGTAGTTGCTGTTCGGGACTAGCAGATTGCCGATTCGGTTCAAACCCTTGGCACGCAAACCGGCACCCGGCGCGGTGAATGAACCCATGTAGGTCGGAGCCAGACACTTGATGAGATCTTCCTCGACACCACCGGCGGTCGTGACGATGGCGGAAACATGGCGATTGCGGACGAGGTAGCGGATGGTGTCGCGTAGCCCGGAAGAAATCAGATTGGACGTGTATCCGAGGAAGATAGTGGTCTTTGCGCCGGTCTCGGGGTCTCGATAGGCTCGCTAGGAATCCGCAGATTCGCAAGAGTGAGTGAGAGCTGCCGCAGAAGGAAAAGAGGTGCCTACCATATCATTGATGATGCCCGTCGCTTCGGCCACGGCACTCCCCTGGAACCCCATGTACTTCATGTTGTCGACCATCTCTGCGACAGTAATGTCGCGGCCCTTGAACTTTTCAAAATCCACACCCTGGACCTGCTGAGTGCCCTCAGGCACGGGTTCCGAGGCCATCAGGACGGCATCGGTGGCGGCGGAAGGAGGGGCAACCTCAGTGACGGGTTGCGATTGAGACATGGTGGAAGATGAGAAGAAGAACAGAAAAAAGGAAGAATTGAAGGAAACACCAAGATAGCTATGCAAGGATGGGGAGAGAGAAAAACAAAAGTGAATGCAAATCAAATTCAGTGGCTGCGTTGACTCCGTTGAGACGAGTGTCGGTAGGCGTAGATAATTGCTTTTTTTTTTTTTTTTTTTTTTTCCCCTTCCTTCTTCCTCTTGTGAGGGGAAAACCCGGCGGGGTGGCATGACTGGCGCGGATTCCTCAGGCTGCCAGTCTGCTAGTGTCTGCCAGATCGGGGCATGGCAGGCTAACCGCAAGAGGCAAGGCGCCCTGCACCGTACCTTTTCTTTGGCAGCCTCAGGGCTCAGGCAGTCAGGCCGGCGGGCAAGTTCGTCCATTCTGCTCTCCCTCCCTCCCTCCCTCTCTCTCTCCCCTTCTCACTTCTCTGCTTTTCTCCCTCTGTGAATCACCTTGCTCTCATTTGTTTGACGAATTTCTCTTAGAATTCTCTTGGATTGTTCCTTCGTTTTCTTGATTTTTGTATTTTCTTGGGTGTCATTGTCAATCTTTAATTTATCTTAATTTTTTTTATTTTTGGCTGGACCGCGTCTGATCCCGGCCCTGATCCCCGAGTTCATCCCCCGTCGAAAACCATTCGAGTCCGTCCTAAATCCTAATATCGGCAGACGTTAGTTGGCAGGTCCACGGGTCTTCGAAATTTTGCTGCCCAGCGTCCCTCCTTGCAGCTATCCGTCTGTCGAACTCGGTGACACGTTGCGCCGTCTCAACAGGTGCGGGGATTTCTATTTTCTCTTTTTGTTTTATTTGCTTTATTTGTTTTATTTTCGGTTTTTTTTTTTCCTTTTCTTTCCTTTTTTGTGATAACCTGGATTGGGTCATGTTTCATGCTGCCTTTGCCTTTGCCTGGACCACTTCCCTGGTCTCGGATGCTTCACCTGACTTCCCAACCCTTCCCCTCCTGCCTGTCTCGTCCTACCTCCGGTGTACAGTACTCCCTACTGCTCTCTACTACTGCGTACGGAGAAGGTAGTCTTCCTTGACTCTTCTGAAACACGCCCGCGCCAAGTGGCTGCCGCTAAGCCCGTCTGGGCCAATCACCTCCCCGCTGCCACCCGTCCCGATCGGGCCTAGCTGCTTATCTCATCACTCACCGGTGGCCCGTGCTTTCCACGCTTTCAAGGTCACGTGGACCCCACCTGCCGTTCCTCGTCTTTGCGCTGTCTCTCCCTTTGGCCCGTCGTCCTCGCCGCCCATCTGACTTTTTTGGGGTTTTTGGCTCGTTCTTTCCTCCTGTTAGGCTCTTGTTCTTCCTTATCTCACCATTAGTTCATCCATTCGCTCTTTTTGGTGGTCTCCTGTCTTCCCCGGAACTAATTCGTTGCAGGCTCTCTGCCAGGTTCCCCGTTCCCGCGCTATTTAGCATGGTCTGGTGATGTCTTCACGATATCCCCCATCGTCCGGGTTCAATTCCCGTGACCGTTCGCCGCCCCGATTCGGCGACCGTAGGCCTCCTGCCGGTCCTCGTGGCTCCGACGATGTGAACCTGTCGAGGGAGCCCCCCCGGGGCCCCAAGGCCTTGATTGACCACCCTCGCGGCGCGCCCTTTGGCGGTCGAGGTCGAGGCTATACGGGCCGCGGCGACTTCCGCGATCGAGACAGAGATATACGAGACAGGGATCGCGACCGAGATCGAGATTTCAGAGATCTCCGCGATGGCCCGCCCCCGTTCCGCCGCGACCTGGACCGCGATTGGGGCCGCCGCGACCGAGATTTCGACCCCAGAGAACCGCGAGTCGGCTTTGGCCGTGGTCGCTCCCGTTCGCCTCCGCCACCACCTCGTGATTTCCGTGATATGAGAGAACCGTTGGGCCGCGATCCTGATCTAGTTCGCATGCGACGTGGATCGAGAGACAGTCTTTTGTCGGCTTCGTCCGCCACCGCCGACGTGCCGTCTTCCGGTCCCAGTCACCACCCACGCGGCGGTCCCATGCGAGGTCGAGGCCGGGGTGACTGGGAAGTTGGACGCGGCCGAGGCCGTATGCCCTATCTCGATGACCGTGATTCATTCCGCCGCCGCAGTAGGTCGAGGGATGGGCGATGGGACCGCGAGCGTGAGCGAGATCGCGACCGCGAGCGTGATCGTGACCGTGACCGTGACCGCGAACGCGACCGAGATCGTGAACGGGATCGTGATCGTGACCGGGATCGCCTGTTAGACCGAGATAGAGAGCGTGAACGAGATCGCGAGAGGGCCATCGACCGGGATCGAGAGATTGACCGACGCGACCGCGAACGAGACCGAGAGCTGGATCGCCGCGACAGATTCGACCGCCGCGACGACTTGGATCGACGAATAGAGCGCGACGATCGGGACCGACCGCCGTTGGATTCTTGGAAGAGAGACCAGCCTCCTAATCGCAATGAAAATCGCATTCCGAGCACTTCGTCTGTATCGTCATCCGTCCCGGCTGCAGGACATGCCGGCCCCGCACTGTCCGAGCGGATTCCCGATCATGCAGGCCCCGAACCGCCCCGCAAGCCGTCTGCAACTGACCCTCGCCGAGAGCCTGAACGAAACGAGACCCCTGCTGCTCCTGCTCCTCCTCCTGCTCCTGTTCCTGCCTCTGTTTCTGCTCCTCCTGCTCCTCCCCCTCCTGTTCTTCTTACGGCTCCTCGCGCAGATATTCCCGTTGTCTCTCCTGCCCCTGCTCCTCCTGCTCCTGCGGCAGCCCCCATCGCGGCTACCACTCCCGCCCCTGCTGCTCTCGCCACTGCTGTCGCCTCTGCCCCTCGTTCAGATCCCCCGAAAGACTTGCCGCCGGCTGTCAAACGATCTCCTCCTCCGCCAGCCCCGCAGGTGCCTGCCTTTGGGTCGGTCACGGCGCCTATCCCCGACTCGCCCGCGGATAAGCCACCCGTTGATGCGGCTTCGGTCCCTCCATCCCTCCCACGGCCAGAGAAGGAGCACGATGATATTCCTCAACGTGGCCCCATTCAACCACCCACGGGCCCAAAGGCGACAAGGCCCTCTTCGCAACTGGCGCTAGAGCAACGGATTCGACGTGATGATGCCCTGGACGCTTCGAACAAACCTTACGAGCCCACACCTCGTGCGTCGAAGCCTCATCCACCAGCCTCGGTTCATGTCCCACGGCAACCGGAGCTGTCGCCGCCCACGGCGCCCGCTGCAATGACCGGTAAGGACACCGTTGTGCTTCACGGAGAGACATCACCCGCCAGCAAGGCCGGCTCTGTCACTAGCCTTGTGGATGGTAATAGGAAACCGTCTTCTGCGGGTCTGGCATCTTCTCCTGAGCCTCATACATCTCCCCGTATGCAGCATTCGTCAAGCATCCCCACCGGCCCGCGGGCCCTACAGCAACGGCCTTCTGTGTCACGAGGGCCGCCTAAAAGCAACAAACAATGGGTCCGCCCTGGCTACAGTCGTCCCCCGTCGGGTCCCTCCTCTACGTCGATTCCCGATCGTGAGGCTGTGGATGGAAAAGAGCGGACGCCATCGATCAGTCATGAACCCAAAAGGGAGCATCGAATGTCGATCGATGACAACATGATGGATTTAGAAGCTGGGGAGATAGCACCCGAGGATGATATACCGTCCTCGAGGGCTCGTGTTTCTCCCGATTCTCCCAGGCAACCGAAGCCGCGTCATATAAGCCCTCCGCGGGCCGTCGCGGAGACGCCGGCGCCGATAGAGAAGCCCGTTGAAGAAAAGCCGGATGTGATTATTCCGGACTTTGGGCGATCTAGTGATGAGGAAGAAGATGACAAGGTCGTTTTCACACAAGACTATCTCGAAGAACGAAAGCGGATCTTTGAGAAGGATATGGACATGTTCCGGGCTGATCTCCCCCCGCCTCCGTTGCAAGACCCGGCTGTCGTGGCGCTACTGATGCGGATTCAATTGCTTGGGCAGATAGCCAACGACGTGGTCCCCGAGAAGACACCCGAGAAGGCACCAACTCCTCCGGCCCCTGAAACAAAGCCTCAAATCGCTGACGAGGAACCTGTCGTTCCTCCAGTGGAACCCAAATCCGAAAAAGACGCCGAAAAATCTGAGTTGCTGGTTAAAGCCGCGCCAGGTTCGCTGCCCCCAGCCGAACCCGTAGCTGTCGACCATCTACCATTTTTGCATTCCGGGCCACCGACTCCGCTGTCCGATCTCGAGGTCTGTCACGAGAATGATGCTTTGTACGAGTCGCTCAGAGACGTCTTCCGTTCTGAATTGATGAAACGCAACAAGGAGATTGCACTCAAGAACGCCTCCCTTCGGGAAGAATACCTACACTATTACAAGCCCTGGCGATTGAACGTGTCTGAACTTGACTCAGCCAAGGAGAAACCTTCGGTATCTCCCGCACCAGCTACGCCACCTGCCCCTCCAATTGTGGTCACGCCTACCACAACTGCGGAGGGTAGACGGTTCAAGGGTAACAGTGAATTGGATTTCCAGAATGCGCTTCGAGCGTCAGAGATCTCAGCACAGGAGGAGTTGGAGCGGCGCCGCGGCAATAAAGCTACCGCTCAGCCAGATCTCACCCGGGAGGCTGTCATCCCGGAAATGCTCGAAGCGGCCGAGGCCAAGGCACGAATTTACATGGATACAAATAATATCGTCGAGCCAGTCAACGCTAGAGCCGTATTTGGCTTCCTGCCCCCACGCAACGATTTTACGCCTGAGGAGCACGAGGTCTTCACTGACGCTTTCATGGCGCATCCTAAGAAATGGGGCAAGATTGCCGAATCTTTGCCTGGCCGAGATTTCAAGCAGTGTATTGTTCATTACTACCTGACGAAGGAGGAGATCAAGTACAAGGCGAAACTGAACAAGCGGTGGAGCCGCCGTGGCCGTGCCCGACGATCCGCTCGACCCAAGTCCAACGCTCTCATGGCCGACTTGGGCGTCGTCAAGCCGGATTACGAAGGCGAGGAAGACCCGCCTCCCGTCACAGACACCGGTCGTCCTCGTCGTGCTGCCGCGCCAACATTCGGGGACTCGTCTGCCGACACGGATCCGTCCACCGTCGGTCGACGCGGAAATGCATCTAAGGAAGTAGAGCAAGGCGAGAGGACAGTTAGTCGACGCGGTCGTGCTGGTCCCGGATCACGAGGTCGAAGAGGAAAAGCTGCCCAACAACAATTGCAGCAGCAGCAGCAGCAGCAGCAGCTACAGTTACAGCAGCAGCAGCAACAGCAACAGCAGCAACAACAGCCACAAATGCCGCAGCCCGCACCTCCCGAGCCGCCACTCAACGTTAGCCTACCGCCGCCATCGGCCACGCCCCCTGTGGGACCAGTCGTCCCCAAGCCAGAAATACCCGAACCATCCATGGATGGTACACATGATGGGGCAATCATGCGAGCTCGGGAGCCGACGGAGCGGGAGCCCCAGGAAGCACCTCCGCGCGCCAAATCTGGTCGAGGTCGGCAGAAGGAAGGCGTATACGTCTTTGAATCGGGCGAACAAGAGCCCCCGACCGCCACCCGACAAGAGGTCGGTTACGGCTCGTTGCAACCGACCAGCTACTGGTCCGTTCCGGAACAGCGCGACTTCCCCCTGTTGCTGGCCCATTTTGGTCGTGATTTTGAGGGCATTTCCAATTTCATGAAGACGAAAACCACCGTAATGGTAAGCGCACCAGAGACAGAAGACAAAATGCCCCCATACAGTCCCAAACGAAGGTTGACTAACACTTTGGGCAGGTGAAAAACTACTTCCAGCGTCGGATTGACTCTGGGCAGAAGGACTTCGAGGACGTTGTTGCAGATGCAGAGAGTAAGAAGGCGCGCGGTGAGCGCACGGGTCCGTTGCCTGTGCCCAACTTCGCTTCTAAGCGGCGCTATGAAGCCACGCCATCCTCCATTATTCTTCCCCGGCCTCTGGCACCGCAGACTGATACCGCATCTGACACGGATGAGACGCGACCGGCGCCGAAAAGCAAGCATGCAGCTCCACCGCCGACCTCAGCACAGCCAGTGCCTCTGCAAGCCCGTCCCCCTCCAGAGAAGGAGCGCAACGTGAACAGATACCCGCCCCTTGCGCAGGCCAGCAGTGCGCCCATTGCACCCGGACCAATTCTCGCCGAGGACACCACTCGGGCGGCTCGTCCGCAAGCTGGGGTACCTTCACGTATGTCCGGCCCTCGTATGGGTTATTTCCCCGATGACAGGCGCGAAGTTCCAGCCACTGTCATGTCTCATACCACGACTCGGCCCCAAGAGGCGCCGGTTACAGCTCGTCAGGCGCCGGTGTCCGCCCCAGAGATTGCACGCATGGAGTCGTTACACGCCCAAGGGTTCCGATCGTCCAACATTGATGCACACGGATCACCTCTTGTCACCGCGCAGGGTGCTATGCCCCCATCACAGCCCGCCTATCTGCCAGCTCAACCTCAGCCTTCATTGGTTCCAACGCCCTCTCATTCTCGCCAACCCAGTCTTACCAAGCCCCCTAGCTCTCCCGTGCAGTCGCTGCAGAGACAAGAACCAGAAATGCATACCATGCGGCACGATCCAATTAGCCAACGGTCGTACTACACTCTGCCTGGACACCCTGTGGGCATGGCGCAACCACCGCCGGTTCTGTCACCTCCCAAGGAAATTCCTCGAGCTGGGCCTCCTCCATCGGAACCTCCCGAGGCTCCTCGTCAAGTCCCCGCCAAACGGTCCAACATCATGAGCATTCTCAACGATGAGCCCGAAGAGCCCCAGCCGCGCAAGAGGTTTGCCAGCGATCAAGCTGCGTTGAGCACTCCGGGCAATGCTGCGTCGCCGTCACGGCCCGTTTACACGGGTGTGCAACCGTCCCTTTCTCAACCGCCATCCGGCCCCCGCCAGGAGGAACCTCTTATGTCGACGCCTCAGCAGAATGCTCCCACCTACCCCCATCAGAGCCCGTACTTGCCGCCGGCTCGTACGTATTCTGATTATCAAACTTATGCTCCTGCGCCGGGCAGCTCTGCCGGACCGGCCAATAACGACTGGATGGCACGGTTTGACCCGCGAGGCCAGCAGTCGCAACAGCAGCCCACTCCTCACCAACAGGTAAACAATCGTCCTGCCTCAACACTCCCCCCTCAGCCACCTTTCTCCCCCTACGCCTCCAACCAGACCGTGTCCGCCCACGCCCTGCCGAATCTCGCAGCCCCATCTCCGGCTCCGACCCCTTCGCCGGCCCCTTCGCACCGTCCGTCGTCGTACCACGCCTCTGCCTACGCGCCGTCGTCGGCCTCACACGCGCAGGCAGTCGCTGCCAGCTCTCGTGAAATGACTGCACAGAACCCAATGATGCGGTCGGCCATCGGGTCACCCACGTCGCGTAACAGCAACCTTGCGTATGGGACGCGACAAGGACCCCCGACCCCGATCCAGTCGCCCGCCAATCTGCTTGGGGTCACGTCTCGTCAGACGCCCGCAACGGCGTCCTATGCGTCGCCTGCGCCTCCAACGCCGGTGCCAATGACTATCCCAAGTCAGCAGCATCCGGGGAGCCACCAAACGTACCAGCAACATGTGCAGACGATGGTGAGCGGAGCGCATCAACAGCAAGCTCATCGGTCTGCCCTCGGATACGCGGGCGCACAGTATGGTCATAGCACTCCCCCTCCGCAAGCTCAAGCGCCTCGTGTAGCGGGCTTACCCGGTCCGCCCCCTCAGGCTATGCCCATGGGTCGCTCCTACACGCCGCCGGCGATCTTGCAGCCGAATCCCTCGGGCGGTATGAGCTATGCTCCCGGCGGACCAGCCCCGGCAGTTGGGGCCGTTCACCCCTTGCAGGCGCGCCCTGGGCCTGGCGTCTTGGGCGACGGTGGCAACCCCGGTCACGGTCACCATCGAGTTTATAGTCAGGGGTCGAATGCTGGGTCACTCCCCGTACCAATGACACCACAACACCCACCCCGATAGATTCTCATTCAAGAGTCATCATATCATTGTTAGTATTTTCACTGCATTTCTGGGATTTTGCATATGTGGATACCATGTGGGATGTGGATTGTTCCCGTGTACTTTACATTCAAAACGACTTTCATTTATATTCCTCTTCGATTCTGTCTTTCCTTCTGATTTCTCCTGACGAAGATTCCACTCTTATTTCTCACCTTGTCTTGTTGATTATCGGGGGTATTTTTTTCCCCCAAGTTTGGGTGGGAAGAGGGATGCGGAGACATCTCTTATGATTCATGTATGTAGTTGTACAGTACCTTAGTAGATGATTCCAACGGAAGAACACATTGGCACCAATCCCATGCCCTGCAACGGACCCCAAGCGAGTTTGCCTCGAGCCCTTCAGCCCTGCGGCGGATCCCAAATCTCCGTCTTGGATCCGTCCGCCCTACAGAAATAGTTCCAAGTTCCAACGAACTAAGTCGCTAGTGGCCCACTATTGACACCAACCTTTCCTCTTCGGCATCCACTGCTGCGAACAAAAAGTGGAGAGGCCCAGTACGTCGGCCAACAGCGTCTCAGATGGAACCGGCTGAAACCAGGCCCTTCTCCGTGCTGTCAAGGTCCAATCTCGTCCCGTTGATCGCTTCCCCTCTGCCCGGGCACGGAGGATCTGGTTCCAATTAATCGATATTGGGTTCCAGTGTTGACTCGGGCGCGGCAGACGAGCTGCGAGGTGGAGCTTGTTTCTCGTTGTCGAGTTGCTCTGTTTTGAGACTGTTGTCAACTTGGAATGGGCTATGTCTCAGCTCTCACCGAGCATCGCGAGATCCTAGTCCTATACAGTACGGAGGAGTCCGTTAGCGGCACGGATGTTGCGAGATTAGCTTCCTCCGTCGTTATATTGCAGCCTTGCTGCATTCCCGCTGTAACCCTACGGTCTGTTCTCGTGCCTTTCCGCAAGGGGGCATTGGTCTCGGTGTTATTGACTAGTTGTTTGTAGTGTCGAGTAGTATAGCAGAGAAATAAATTATCCTTCTTATCAAGCCCCGGTGGACCGTTCCCCCCCTAAGCATTATCTGGTCTTTTATGGATTTTTATTTCTGTTTATATCCCTCCCCTACCCACACCCGTTCGAGCCAAGAAAGCTTTTTTCTTCAGCCTTACCAGTTCCCTCCGTTAATTGTCAACACTCGCCATCACCACCATGGATCCGTATCCAACTTTGCCGCCCATCCACCACCTCCCGATACATTCGCCTTCGCCTTCCCCGTCACCTTCGTCGTCGTCTTCGCTCTCTCTCTCGCATACATATTCCAATTCCTCGTCCAGTCAAAGCCAAAGTCAAAATCAATATCCGCCAGCTTACATACCCTCCTCATACCACCACCAGCAACCCTTTACACCCTCACGAACAGAAAAACTAAAAACAACCCTCGAACAAGCGAAGCTCGACCAACGACGTCAAGAACATGCCCTCCTTCGTGACGCCCTGCGAAGAGGAGTCCCCTATTCTGCGATCCCGGGGTTACTCGCTTCGAGAGATTCGTCCGTCAGAAGGCGCATAGGGCAGGATGGGTATGGGCTCGGTGGGGAGGATGTTTATCAACGTGAATATGAGATGGGGTCGAGGTTGGGTAGTGCGCATGATTCTTCGCAGGGTCATGCACTTGGGCAGGGGCAGGCAGGAGTGGTGTATTGTATGATCTTCCCCCTTCTCTATCTCTACACCTCGTTGCATCTCCGTTCGTCGATTATATTGGCAAATGTCTTCCTTTCACATACTCTACAACCCATGAGCCAATACTAACGCGAAACACATAGACATCCCAGCCCCCAGAGACGCCCATCCAATCCCACCAGGTAAAAGACGCCTCGATCTCGACGACAGTTTCCTGAACCGGGCGTATAAACGCCGAAGACCGTGGACTGGTGCCGCGAAGGGCCGCTCAGGACAGGGAGGGGACCGGACGCAGCGGATCACGTTTCATCATTATGTTCCAGGCGGTAAATAGTTTGGTCTTCCGGGTAGTATTGGTGGTGATGAGAATGGATTATACTGGAAGGGGTGCATGCATTTTCGGTGTTTCTGGGGTTTTGGATTGGGGTTAGACGGTTGTTTTGGGGGTTCCATACTGGCCTTTTTGCTTTTGCCGTTTTATCTCACATTTGCACTCTTTTGAGTTTCTCTTGTTTCTTGCTCATCATCATTGTTGTTGACCGAGTTGGTTCATCGGCGTTGGAGTGTACTGTTTTGTAAGTGTTACGGGATCGTGGGATGCGGGGTGCATTAAATTCATTTCTGTGAGTCCTTTGAATTAAAAGCAGATCCATATTGAGACTATCTGATTGGAAATACATGGAGTGGATTGTTTATCCAAGACCCACTAAAGTTGCTATATATTTTTGAGCCTATTCAAGACACATGCCCGCGATCAAACAGACTAGACGGTAAGGATGATAAAATCCCAGCGTTGAACAGAACGGCCTTTTTGGAAACAAGAAGTCTTGCAATTACGCTTGATCCGGATATGGTTGGAAAAATTTTAGGCTGTCTCAGGGCGTCCGAATATGTTATTATCTACTAGATAATATTTCAGGAAAGGGAGTGAGTTTTGCAAGGAGCAGCTAGTGACTCTCATGGAATTGTAGAAGTCGAAGCTAACCAATTAAGGTACAGACTCGTCCATGGCTCGATGGGCAAATACTTGGCCATTGAAATTTCCCTCTTTCGAACGGATGTGGTTGATGACTAGCTAGGAAGGGCGCCAGGAAAGGCCGGTACCAGACATTATCCGTGTTGTATTCAACTGCCCGAACGAGCCGACTGTAACATCCCGCGCGACGTTCCATTCGGGTCCAGCAGGGAAGTCTACCGTTGGTACTTAGGATTCCGTCAAACCCGAGACGATCACTTCCGTCCCGTGTCCCTGATAGGGTTATGCTACCCTTGAATGGTTGGACCGCGTAGGAAATGATGTTGACCAAGGAATGCTCGATAAGTGACTTGTCGCTTGTTGGTTGCATGTAGGAGCCCACAATTGGATTCTGATGCAGGGTGCCATGTGTGATTGGATGGAAACACGAGTCGAACATTATCGACGCTGTCCCTCGCGCAATTTCCCCGTTCAATCGGCGAACTCAGCCTGCGAAGGCATCCCACGGCCCGAGGCAACAGGCGGTATCCGGTTACGACTGGTTGCAGCCGTTACTTTGATAGACCGTGTGGCGATTGATCAATGTCACATGTTTGGTTAGTCGCAGACACGGATAGGATGCTCAACGAGGTTGAAGCACGTATCAGGATCTACGTCATAAATCATATGGATAGCACGGAGTAGTATGATCCACAAGCGGGCAGTGAAGATAGTGCTTACTGCGTATTTCGGAATACGTACGAGAGCAATCGTCAAGCGCAAGACAAGCGTGCAACTGTAACGTGCTCCAAGAAACCAGAGCGAGCAGGCCGGTGGGTCTTAGCGTGCCTCGAGTCTTATGCGGACCTCGTTTACCTTCGGCCATAACTCCGTAGCAGTCCGGTAGCGAGTGGGACCGACTATCAACGTTTCATAGACTTGATAATGTTGCATTTGTACAAGTGATTCTGCCTGGTAGTATGGGAATGAAAGTTAGAGAACAGTGTTGTGATTTGGCAACACCAGCGCGAAGAGGAAGAGAAAAGGGAGGAGTATCACGTGAGCACGGGGGACTGCAGGGACCATCGGCGCAGGGAGGATCAACCGCAAGTAAGACTGGGCATAAGACATCATAACCTGATTTTGGATGAAGCCAGATTCCAAATGCATCCATCTCGACACACGAGAAGCCCAATTTACCCCGTTAACCGGCCAGTAACCTAACGTCCCCATTCGGCATGCTGCACGCGGTGGTGGAAAATGCCGGGCCGAGACGTTTTCGGCTCGGGTATGGGCCAGGCATGAAGGCAGCGACGGTCGGCCGAGAGTCTCCGGACTAAACAACTACTAGTCTCCACGATAGTCATGCACGTCACGAGTCCTACGGGGTAAAATTTCTGGAAGGTGTACATCGTACACCGGAGAAACCACAAAAAGCATGGGAGACAAGGGGAAGAACCTTGACCATACCGGAGAGATTTAGCCGAGCGACAGGTGTCACCCAAGGCAAGGGAGGACCGAAATGGAAGGCAACAAGTTCAGATCAGTAATGAATGTCAAGTTGTGCATTTGTTATGGCACCAGTTACTCAAAACAGTGTACGCAGGACCACAAGATGCCCATCAGGTCCAGCGATGATGTCATAGACCGCATTGGTGGGATGATGCCAATCACCAAACGAGGGAATACGGCTGAGATGTCGCTCGCACACGCAGCGGTAGGCCTGGAATGCAAACCGGATTTGGCACTGCCCATCTGGCTTCCTCGTTGCGTCACTCGCCGGGGGCCATTGGGCGCTAACTGGCCGGGTTGCCTTTCTCGGTCCGCCCGACAAGCGCTCTGCCGCCCATTGGCGCGACACTGTGTAGCCCATCCGTCGTCCCTGGTCAGTTTGATGTACGATTGCAACGGTGGCGGATCTGCGCGAGTCAGTCTGTTCTGCTCTTCTCTGGTCTGCACGCAGGCGTTCATTGGTTGTACACGCTGGAGGGTCGGGTTGAATTCTATGCATGGACGGTGGGGTCGTTAATACATGGATCGAAAAGTGCGGAGAGCAACCGGTTCAGAGTCAGATCTACTGACGGTGTGGGGATTCGGCCGGGGAAGGAGAGTCCGTGAGACTGGCCGGCGAGTTGAGCCATGACGTCGTGCAGCCGTGGGCTTCCTAATGCATCCCCTAGATCGATACGAGGATATGGCTCTTGATGCCCGGAACAGGTGGTATATAAGGATGTCTGCTTCTGTTCCTGGACAGTTCTCCATTCTATTTTCTCCATCGACCAACCTTTTTATCACTCCCCTGCTTGTTCCGATTCTTCTCTAACCTTTGATACAATCGATCTTCTTGCCCTTCGCCACATAACGTGGGTTCCAATTGATCATCTATACCCCTGCTCTAGAAGGAATTGCAACGACCCACTCGCCTGTCATGGGCGCTGACGATATGTCCAACAAACAATCCGACGTGGAGTTGGAGAAGAAGAAACAAGAGGCTCCCGACACCAGTCCGTCTCGTCTGCCAGCCAACACACATGCCGAACACGCCGGCCAGTCCGACAATGATAGTGAAGAACATGGCAAGTTTCGCGGGGACGGGAAGCGAGAGCTTACCGAAGATGACTGCTACGACAATCTGGGCTTTTGCTTTCCCTGGTACAAGAAGTGGTCTATCCTCACCGTCATCTTCACCGTGCAGATGTCCATGAACTTCAACAGCAGCGTCTACCCGAACGCCGTCACACCGTTATCCGAACATTTCCAGATCAGCGAACAGGCTGCGAGGGTGGGACAGATGATATTCCTGGTGGCATATGCCTTCGGGTGCGAGTTGTGGGCTCCGTGGAGCGAAGAGTTTGGCCGATGGCCCATCATGCAGGCCAGTTTGTTCCTGGTCAACATCTGGCAAATCCCTTGCGCATTGGCGCCCAACTTCGGGACCATCGTGGTCGGCCGTTTCCTCGGCGGCTTGAGCTCGGCCGGCGGTTCGGTCACTCTCGGTATGACGGCTGATATGTGGGAACCCGATGAGCAAGGGTTCGCCGTCGCCTACGTGGTCTTGTCTTCGGTTGGCGGAACCACCATCGGGCCCATCTTCGGCGGAATGATCCAACAGTGGCTGGACTGGCGCTGGAACTTCTGGATCCAGCTCATCTTTGGCGGCGTGACCCAGCTGATGCATTTCTTCCTTGTCTGCGAAACCCGCTCCACCATCCTCATCGACCGCGAGGCCAAGCGTCGTCGCAAGTCCGGCGAAGACCCTAACGTGTACGGTCCCAACGAGTTGAAAAAGCCTCGACTAGATGCGAAGGAGGTCCTGCACGTGTGGCGCCGACCTTTCGAGATGTTCCTCCGGGAGCCCATCGTGCTTTTCCTGTCTCTGCTCTCTGGTTTCTCCGATGCCCTGATCTTTACCTGCATTGAATCCTTCAACCTTGTCTTCAAACAATATGACTTCACCCCTCTCCAGATTGGTCTGTGCTTCTGTGCCATTATCATCGGATATGCTGTTGCCTACGGGATCTTTCTCCCCGATATCTGGCGTCAACGGAGGGTCCGACAAAAGCATGGAAATGCCTCCCGGCTGCCCGAGCGGCGTCTCCTTCTGTTGCTATTTATTGCCCCGTTGGAGACGATAGGTCTGTTCGGCTTCGCCTGGACCTCGATGGGGCCAGATTACATGCACTGGATCGTCCCTCTAGTGTTTGTCTTCCTGATCGCCATCGCCAACTACGGTATCTATATGGCCACGATTGACTACATGGTGGCTGCCTACGGACCGTATTCAGCGTCGGCCACGGGAGGCAATGGGTTCGCACGAGACTTCCTGGCCGGACTGTCCGCTATGTACGCGACTCCCATGTACAGCAACATCGGCGGCAAGTTCCATTTGCAGTGGGCCAGTACCATTCTGGGCTGCCTAGCCATCTTCGTCACTATTCCCATCTACATTTTCTACTGGAAGGGACCAGAGATTCGGAAGAGTAGCAAGTTCGCGCAGACGCTGGAGGCCGACCGGCAGCTGCATGCCGGCCGTCGGGTCAGTCATATCAGTGAGTCTGAGAAGCCATACCCAGCGTAGAGGTTTTGGCTTGCATAATTTTCTGTTCATGTTTAATGATGTTATTATGATTGGCATGGAGAAGAGGGATGATGAGCTCATAAAGGAGCGGGACTGCATTTCTCAGTAACGATACCCTGTTATGATCATATTAGTTACTGTATATAGCCGAAATCTTACCGATATTCATGTTAATTTGCAGATTCATGTAAAAAGGGTTATTCACCGCGGAAACGCCGCGTCTTTCCGTCCTCCCCGCGAGCAGCCGCCAACGCGGAACGAACCTTCCGACGTCCGCACTTCCTCATCTTCTCCACAACAACGTCGCCCGAAGCGAGAACAGGCCAATGACGACGCCCATAGTTCGCAACGATGCACCACCCTGGCCTATTCCAGGCCCGATGACTGGCCCTGAGCGTCGGTGGCTTCAAAACAGTGCGGGGTGCGGTTCTCCACCCGTGTCGATCACGTCTGCTGCGACTGGCTGCGTTTGAAGGCAAAGTGACACAAAACAGTCGGAAATCTACCGTGGATGGGCGCGCAATTCAACCGCGTGTGCTATTAGGTCATCCTCGGAGACGTGAGGAGGTCTTGTTTCGGTACCGGTGAGGTATATAAGGGTGTTGTGCTGGCCGCACCCCTGCATACTTCATGCACACTTCCTTTGAAAATTCTGGGAAGTCTCAGCAGACGGCGACCGATAGAATTGTGTTTTTTACCTTCCACTCACCATGACACTACAAACCCTTGCGATCGCCGCCATCGCGGTCGTCTTCTTCGTTATTCGCTACCTCAATCGGACGGACGTTCCTAAAATCAAAGGCATCCCCGAAATCCCCGGGGTGCCTATGTTTGGCAATCTGCTACAACTGGGCGAGAAGCACGCGACGGTGGCCGGAGCATGGGCGAAGAAGTTCGGCCCGGTGTTCCAGGTTCGCATGGGAAATCGGGTACGTTTTGTTAGTGGTGTTTTAAGCAGTGCCGAAGTGTCACGAAGCGCAATGTAAAGTCGCCCGCTAACATTGTTCCAGCGTGTCATCTTTGCCAACAGCTTCGACTCCGTCAAACAGCTCTGGATCAAAGACCAATCGGCTCTCGTATCGCGCCCAACCTTCCACACCTTCCACAGCGTCGTCTCCACTTCGCAGGGCTTCACCATCGGCACCTCTCCCTGGGACGAGTCCTGCAAACGACGCCGCAAGGCCGCCGCTACAGCGCTGAACCGACCCGCAGTGCAATCTTACATGCCGATCATCGATTTGGAAGCGACTTCCAGCATCAAGGAACTCTTCAAGGACAGCAAGGGTGGCACGGTCGACGTCAATCCCACGGCCTATTTCCAGCGATTCGCCCTCAACACAAGTCTGACGCTGAACTATGGGTTCCGCATCGAAGGCAACGTGGATGACCAGCTGCTGAGGGAAATCGTGGACGTCGAACGCGGGGTGTCCAATTTCCGGAGTACCAGTAATAACTGGCAGGATTATATTCCCTTGTTGCGGATCTTGCCCAAGATGAACCGTGAGGCGCAGGAGTTCCGTGCCCGGAGAGATAAATACTTGACCTATCTGTTGGGCATATTGAAAGATCGGATTGAGAAGGGAACGGATAAGCCGTGTATCACAGGCAATATTCTCAAGGATCCGGAGGCGAAGCTGAACGATGGTATTTGGCTCATTCCTACTCATATGCATGCCCGCTGCTAACCGTGTGACCAGCCGAGGTGAAATCCATCTGTCTGACTATGGTCTCTGCCGGGCTGGACACTGTCCCTGGTAACCTGATTATGGGCATTGCGTACCTGGCCTCCCAAGAAGGTCAGGAAATCCAACAGAAGGCGTACGACGAAATCATGGAGGTCTACCCCGACGGCGACGCGTGGGAAAAATGTCTCGTGGAAGAGAAAGTGCCTTACGTGACTGCCCTGGTCAAAGAGACACTGCGATTCTGGACTGTCATTCCGATCTGTCTGCCGCGGGAGAGCACTAAGGAAATTGTATATAACGGCGCGAAGATCCCTGCAGGGACTACTTTTTTCATGGTCCGATAACCCCCTCCCAGCGTTGAGGTCTACATACGGTCACACTAACGATCATACAGAACGCTTGGGCAGCGGACTATGACGAGGACCACTTCAAAATGCCTCACAAATTTATCCCCGAACGATACCTCGAGCAGACTGAGGGTGCCGGCACGCCTCATTACGGCTACGGCGCCGGCTCTCGCATGTGTGCCGGCTCACACCTGGCCAACCGTGAGCTCTACACGGCGTATATCCGCCTTATTACGGCGTTCAAAATGTCTCCGCCCAAGGATCGAGCCGATCAGCCGATCTTGGACGCTATCGAGTGCAATGCCATCCCGACGGCGTTGACGACGGAACCGAAACCGTTCAAGGTGGGATTCCAGGCGAGGGATCCAAAGAGCTTGACGAGGTGGATTGCAGAGAGTGATGAGCGAACGAAGGATCTCTGATAAGGTTTTCTTTGATAGAGGGTGGATTTTGTATATATTAGTAGGATTATCATAGAACAGAAATATATTATCATATGGTCTATTCGTAAGGAGCATCGCCTTAACTAGCTATACTTGAGTATAGTTAACGCTTACTTTTGAGATTGAATAATTACTATATTTAGTTACACATTCTTCTCTTCCGCCTTGCTACGGGCTATAAAGGAAACGGGGTGCGACTCTTGTCGACTGCCTCATGTGAGAAACATCCGTATCATTGCATGGCGAGAGAATATGGTCAAAGGGCGATTCCTAGAATTAGGTAGATCCATTCCACCCTACAATTATCTCTATGTGTCTTGGACGCTAATAAACGATTAACTCCACAAGTTATCTACCACCTTCACCCCGACTCTTTCGAACATTATTTGTCGAGATGTCAAGTCTATCAAGTCAAAAGACAGATCTAGTAGATTTCCGATTCGGAAATTCGGACAAACCGCTCGTTTAATTGTCCGGCTTGTAGAGAGAGTTAGTGCCCAGGAGTTTTTGAAACGAAGGCTAAAAGGGCAATGAATGATCTAGTAAGCCAATTCTGCCTTCGGGTTTCAACCGGTGGGAAAGTGTGGAACATCAAGTTACCAACTATTAGTGGCGGACCCGACCACCCACCGCCTTTCGACGGTGGGTGGTCGGCAGCGTAAAGGAATTTGCAGCGTAAAGGAAGAATTTCAATAAAACACCTTTTTGAAGCCATACCAACCACCAAATATGTCTAAATCCTCTAAAATTCGCGATGAACGCGTAAATGAAGCCGTTGAATTCGTTCAGCACAATAAAAATCTCTCTATCGCGAAGATCGCGCGGCAATTTGGCGTTTCTTACCGCACTTTGCATGACCGCATTTACGATCAACGAGGCCCTCACAGTGCTCGAATCCTTTCAAATAAGACTCTCGATCAGTATCAAGAGACTGTTTTAATCCATTGAATTACAAAAATGCAAGATCTTCATTTTTCCGTCATTATCTCGATGATTGAAGAATGAACAAATCTCACAGTTAAACGCATCAATCCCGAGCGAAGCGTCAATCGATCGTGGGTATATCGTTTCGTGAAAAGACTCCCTCCGGACCTCAAATTGGTTATAATGACGCAAAAAACAAAAGAAATAAAAAAGATTGAAACTGAAGATGTTGGAGTTTTGCAATTTTGATACAATCAACTCGCGAATATCGTCAAATCTCTTCCGCCACGATTTGTATACAATTTCGACAAATACGGCTTTCAACCAAGAATTGAAAAGCGTCAAAAAGTCATCAACAAACATAAAGAATGTCCTGATCTTTCTGAATCCGAACATTTCGAGATCATTACAGCACTTGAATGTGTTGTAGCGGATGATTGAAGTATGTCGCCGCTCTTTATCTTTAAAGGCAAGAAATTTATGGAGAATTGGTATGATGAAGAATTGCCAAATTTTTATACTGCAGTCTTAGAAAAAGACTATGTCAACGATCAGCTAGCAATTGATTGGCTTCACAAATTTCATCAAGAAACTTCGACTGAAAATCGCTTGAAAAAAGGAGAAAAAAGTGTGCTTATCTTTGACGGTCATACAATTCACAAGACCGTTGAATTTATACAACTTTGCGAGATCTACGAGATTCTTCCTTTTTATTTTAAATCTCATACGACTCATCTTTGCCAACTGCTTGATGGAAAGCCCTTTCTCGCTTACAAAACGCACTTTAAAACGTTGAATAATCGCATTGCGCAGTGGAGTGAAAAACCGGGAGATAAATCGAACTTTTTACATAATATCGCTGAAGCACACAAAAAGGCTTTTTATCCATGAATCATTCGCGAAACCTTTAAAGAACGCGGTATCTTCCCTCCTGATGGATCTGCTCAAATTGAAACAATTAAAAAGACTTTATCATCGCTTCCAGAGATCTCAGCGCCTGATCTTCGCGTATACGGAGAGATTACGCTTCCCCCAAACCTCTCTTCTTCAAGCATTGAAAATACGCCTTTAAAAAGCGCTTAAGATGTTATGAAAAGCGAGAAAAAGCTCTTTAAAATTATAGATTCCGTGGACCTCATTCCAAAGCTTCGTAGAGGCTTTCAACGCGTACTGCATTATTCAAAATTTCAAGCGGAAGAACTCGCGAATCTCAACACCACAATCAAACGAATTACAGCAACTCAGGCTTTTCGTCGCCGCAAAACAAGTAAACGAGAGATTCCAAGGCTTCGAGATACTGGTATATTGAGCGTCAAAGATGCGAATCGATCGATTTCCGATCGTAAAGCGAAGGAAGAGGCGAGCAAGCAGAAAAAGGCGATCAAAGCATATAAAGAAGCGTTTGGAACCTCTCCACCACCGTTCGTTTTTGAAGGTCAAAATACTGCTTCAAATAAAGAGAATTAGTATAGGAATACGTTGAATAGTTGCATTTTATTAATTTTTTACGTGTTTTGTTGAGATATTTCAAATTGCTTCAAATTCTTCCTTTACGCTGCAAATTCCTTTACGCTGCCGACCACCCACCGGCGAAAGGCGGTGGGTGGTCGGGTCCGCCACTAATATGGCCTCTCAGTGTCCAATGTACACTTCAATTGTCTCTAGTAAAAGTAGACTTCTGTTGACGTAAGTGCCACCTGAGGCAACCCCGACCGCGGAACGTTCCGCCGCCTCTTCCGCCCCCGCGGATTAAAACGCCCCTTGTCCCGTCGCTTCCCCGGACTTTCCAACCACCAAACCACCTTTGGCTATTACAATTCCCTCGAACGAAAACATGTCTGGCAGGGAACACCCGACTCGATCTCTCCTTCCTTCTCCACTAGCCTCGCAAAACCCTGCAACCCACAAGGCCCGGTACAGCGAGCACGGAACCATCTCGGCAGTTGATGCGGAAGAACACCCCTCCCCCCTCCGCCCGCGGAAGCGTCGACGGAAGTATATCTCTAAGGCATGGTATGGGATTGCCCTATTTCGGATCCATGTTGTTTTCTGGCCCTGAGTCAACCGTCTTTACTGGTGCGGGTGTGGCGTCTAGAGAGCCGGTTTATCTTGATGCGAGTTAAGCTAATATTGACCTCAATGGATATAGTAATGAGTGTAAGCGACGGAAGATTAAATGTAATGGCGAGACTCCGTGTCAGCGGTGTGGTCGGCAGAGACTAGCGTGTGTTTATGTCGAGGGAGGGGAGAAAGGGAGGGAGGATGGTGGGAGTGAGCAGTAGGGTTTTCGATTCGATTAATGGTCGTGATTGTGAAGCTAATGTTGAACTAGAGGTCTTGACCGACTCTTCGAACAAATGCGAAGCATGCAAGAGCAAATTACAGCACTTTCATCCGCTGTGCATCTGCTCGCCGAGGGTCATCCCGGCATCACGCCTCCGCAGTCGACTGAGACGAACCAATCGGTCGTGGCGTCACAGCGATCTTTCCGTCGTTTGTCGACAGCAGGAAGGGACTGTTTCCAAGGTCCTACCACCTCGGCGTTTAGCTTCGACCTCGCGAAATCAAGTCTCCAGAGTCGCGGGATCGTGGAGCGGCATGAAGCAGGCGATGCAGACGGAGAGGCAGATGCCGATGGATACGTGACTCAAGAACTATCTCCGCTATCATCTCCCTTGCCGCCGGACAAGAGTCTAAACCTCCTAAGTGGTGATGCGCTTTGGACGATCGGGAGGACTGAAGCGTTGCGACTGTGTCGCGTGTACGAGGAGGAGATGGGAATCATGTATCCCGTTCTGGATCTCTCGGAGCTTTTGCATCAGGTTGAAGTGCTTTATGGCTCGCGGTCTGGCGTGCAGAGTACCGGGGAGCTGGACAGTGATGATGTGCATATCCTGCGTCTGGTGTTTGCATGCGCCTTGACGGCTGAGGCGAGCGGGAGTAGTGAGTTGGCTATGCGTCTATTCGACAGTGTCCGAGAAGTTGCGGATAATTGTGTCTGGGGGGCACCGGAGATTAAAAGCATTATATTTCTGACCTTAGTGGTGAGTTGCCACTGACCGCAAGTTAATGAGTCTAGACAAGGCCAATAATAACACTTCTACTCCAGGCAATATTCTATTTCCAAATGGATGAAGAAACTCTGGCATGGCGAACAATCGGCATTGTAGAGCGCATGTCTCTGGAAAAAGGGCTACATCGACGAGAAACACTCACTCAATTAGGCCTTGCGGCAGAAGGACGCGAGCGAGTGCTTCGACTTTTCTGGTCCATCTACATCCTCGACATACGCTGGAGCTTTGGAACAGGCATGCCCTTCTCCCTCGAAGACACAGATATTGATCCCTGGCTCCCCGAGCCGGAAGAGAAGACGCCCTACCTGCGTGTCATGATCCGATACAGTCGGATCGCCGCGAAAGTGTGGAAATTCATCTCGACATTCAACAACACCAACGAGATCAGGAAAGACGAGATGAACTACCTCAACTGGCAGGTCCTGCAATGGATCGGCGCGATTCCAGACTCACTGCGTCTCGATCACCACCCCGTTGCTCATACCGACCAGGATGAATCCCGGAGCATTCGTCGCCTTCGTTGTCTGCTCTACTTGCGCTCTAACCAGCTGCGCATGCTCATCCACCGGCCGGTTCTGCATTCCGCAGCACATATTATGCGGTATCCATCCGAGTCACAAACGGTGGTCAACATCGCCAAAGACACGATCCGCTTCATCGCGCGTCTCAACGAAACGTCGGATATTTATCGCCTCCAACAAGTGGCATTCAACTGGTTCCTGGTCTCCGCTCTGGCGGTGTTATTTCTGGCTGTGGCTCAAACGCCAAGCCAATTCAGCGGATCTTGTAGGGAGGAGTTCTACATGGCGCTGGAACTCGTCAAGGGGTTTTCTACTCGCTCGTATATCTCTAGAAGGCTTTGGAGGTCTATTCGCAGTTTGAGGAAATTGGGACCTCAGTTGGGGTTGCATGTCCATGGACATGGACATCAGCATCAGCATCAGCAGCAACACCCTCCGCAGGAGGAGACACATGCAGGTCCTGGATTATACAACCCTGCAAGATCTAGTGAACCGACAATAGACTCATTCGACCCTCCGATGTCCACTAGCACGCATAGTCACTCGCCGCTGGATGGAGCGCAGATGACCCGCGAGCTGATGGAGTGGTTCGAAGCGGTCGGAAACCTGGAGGATCAGATTATGGGCGTGGGACCACAGGGTCTGTCGGATTTGGGATGGCAACAGGGAGGTCGTGGAGGTGGAAATGCGTATATGGTTGATTATGGAGGGGAGCTGTCGAGTTTGATGAAGGATTGTTTTTAGTTGGACAGTATAACATGTTCGGGAGTGGTTGACTATTGTCAGGTTCTTTGAGGAGGATGGTTTCGATCGTCTCTAATAAGCTGGCAGGGTCTATTTGCTAATTCCAAGCCTTTCCCTTTCTAATTAGCTTGACCGTAATCTCCGTAGAGGACCACGTTTCATGCAATATTCATCAATCATTATATAAACCCTTATATCCCACCATTATGTTGTCAACCAAGCTCCAGCGGGGCGGTTCAAGAATATATGACCAGGGCTATCAAGATGATCTTCGAAACCATAACCCTGTTTACGCATAACAGTGACTATGGTCTTAAGAGAACTATTGAATGATCGAGAATAATATGGAATGCACAATTTCGAGGTAACAAATGTCATGTAGACTATTTCCTAAAGCTTACCAAGATAGGTTAAAACAGGCGGAAAAGAATATCAACTTAGTCGTATTCTGGAACAAGCGACAATTCGACTCACAATATATTACCCGGACTAAGTCCGAGTCGGTCGGCCAATTCGGATATAAGAATCCCCTCTGAGGAGGACTGTGTAACTGTTCAGGGGTGAGTACAAGGCAGGAAGTTATCCAATCGCTGGCATTCAGACGAGTACATCCTCGTGGTGGTGAGATGAGACAATGAAGTCAGAAACCAGAAGACAACTGCGGATCGGAGAAGCTCTACTGCGATTTAAGTACAATTTCCTGTGGGTTAGTTAACATCAAATGTATAGGAGGATCTCGGGGGTCTCGGTCCAAAAGAGCGCCGAATAAGGCCCGACGATCGGAGCGGATCAGATAAGATGGTCGGCCGAGCAGGGTCCGCGGAGGGTCCGATCCCATATAAACATTGGCATAAGCACTACGCCCCTTTCCTTCCTCCGATTTACCTGTTACCTTGAAAAGTGCACTATGCTGGCGGAATTACTCCTAATCTGCAAGGCCCTCGGCCTCACCTTCCAGCAAATCTACACACACCTCAGTCTCGCCCTCTCGCCGCGTCTCCACCGTCTGACCTACCGATCTGTCGAACACCCGCACAACGTCGTCGTCATTGGTGCCTCGTTTGCCGGATATCATGCGGCTCGGTGCCTGGCTAGTTCTTTACCAACCGGCTATCGCGTCGTAATCGTTGAGAAGAATACCCATCTCCAGGTGACGTGGGTGTTGCCACGATTTAGCGTCGTTAGGGGCCATGAGCACAAGGCGTTTATTCCCTACGGATCATATTTGTCGACAGTACCGAGGGGCTCATACGAGTGGGTGCGGGATACGGCGGAACAGATTCTAGTGGATGAAGATGGGAGGGGGAAGGTTCAGTTGGGGTCTGGCGAGGCCGTCGACTTTGAGTATCTGGTTATAGCGACTGGCGCGTCGGGGACGTTGCCATCTCGGGTGGGATTGACGACGAAGAGAGAGGGCATGGAACTTGTGACCACCGAGCAAGATAGGTTGATGACTGCGACAGACGTGGTCGTTCTGGGCGGTGGTCCAGCTGGAATTGAGTTGGCAGGGGACGCGAAGTCAAGGTATCCGGAGAAGAATGTCACGTTAGTGCATTCACGGAAGTCATTGCTCAACGACAACTTCGGACCGACGCTGGCAAAGAGAGCGTTTGAAGAGTTGGTGAATGTCGGAGTCAGTGTGAAATTGGGAGAGAGGGCCAATGTCGACAGCATCGAGGAGACAGGGACGGTGCGGTTACATTCTGGGGAAACGATCCCTTGTGATTATTTGGTCTGTGTAAACTGCACGATTCTGGGTCGCATAAGGCTGACATTAACAGGCGAAATGCATTGGGCAACGGCCGAATTCCTCTCTGATACAGGCACTGTCACCCAAGTCGGTCTCTGCGTCAGGACATATCCGGGTTAGGCCTACATTGCAGCTCGCTGATTCGACATTAGACCGAATCTATGCAGCAGGCGATGTGATTGAACTGAACAGTATTAGAAATGCGCGCTCGGCGTTTGAGCAGGCACAATATGTCGCCAACAACATTGTCGCTTCCATCCGGTCTAAGAAGCAAGCCGAGTATCATTATCGCTGGTGGGAGGGCGCAACGAAATTGACACTAGGCCTGGTAGGTATCCTATTGATCATACTGTTACCGTGCTAACAGACGCAGACGAAAACGGTGGCGTATATGAGTGACGGATCGGCGGAGATCAGTCTCTCTATGAAAGGCAACGAAGAGATGGACAGTCCCATGATCTGGCGATTCTTCGGAGCCAAGGCGTTCGTGGACGAGACAGACAAGGTGGATTAACCTGCATATCTTGCAAATATGCTTCAAGTAGGAACAAGCTTGGTCAGCCTTCTGTACATATACTATTGTCCTGTGACCAAGTATGCACCCGTAGGGATCTTTGTCAGTTTTGGAATAATCAGCCCTAATCCGGACAAGAGCTTTGTTCACAAGCAATGATCGCGTATTCCATGAGCCTTGGGTAACATGAATTTGTCAGAGGCGCCGTGGTGAAACGTGAGATCCAAGTAATCTTCGTGACGGGGCATTAGGGTTCAGGCGGACTGAATTATCAAGCTGACCGAGGCCGCCCGCCAGCCAATAAACCCGGGCATATTCAGAATTGACCCAAGGATCGCGAGGAAGTCACAAATGTCTAGCCGATCATGGCCGCGAAATGACCTGTCATGACCCATGGGTGACACAATGCCTGCAGCGGATCGCTCCTGCTGCATTCCATCCCTTGCGTGAGGCCTCTCGCACCCCAAACATCGACGCGTCTTATTTATCCCAGGCTGCCCCAGTCAATAGATCCTTACAGCGTGCATGGCAACATCACCATGGCATTTCTCCGGCGGTTCCTCGGGTTGAACAACCAGTTTGAGGTCGACGGGAAGGTTTGTTCTCCACTATTTCTGTCCTATAGTTTCCTGCTGACGGGTGTTAGCTCGTGCTTGTTGCAGGCGGATCGAGAGGCCTGGGGAAGGCACTCGCGTTGGAATTGGCTGCGAAGGGTCGGTCGAATCAGGTATTCATGGCCTGTCGCAATCTATACTAAGTCCAGCAATAGGTGCAAATCTGCTGTTGCTCGCACGATCCGAGACTGCCCTCCGGCACACGCAGGGAGAGGTCCAGAGAGCGTGTACCAACTCGAAGCAGATCGTCGATGCGATCCCAGTTGACTTGACCAAACCTGATGAGGTAGTTATGCCTGCATATCCATCGCAAGGGATACTCGCTAATCGTGTATAGATCCATGCTGCTCTCAATCACTACCATACCCCCGATATCCTCATCTGCACCGCGGGCGGAACCCCTACGCAAGTCGGATTTCTCGCCGACATCTCCCCGGAAGCCATCACGTCCTGTGTAGACCTCAACTACTATACAACCGTTTTCATCGTGCAATACTGCCTGAAATTATGGCTCGCTGCCGCTCCCACCCCCTCACCGCGTCATATCCTCCTCACGTCGTCCCTGGCGGCATTCCTGGGCATCCCAGGTTTCATCGCATACACACCGACTAAAGTCGCGATTCGAGCTTTGGCAGATACCCTGCGCCAGGAGCTTCTGCTCTACGGTGACAACACGTTTAAAGTCCACGTCAGCTTCCCGGGACCGTTCATAACCGAGGCTTTCCTCGAGGAACAGGACAATAAACCCAATTTGACCAAGACAATTGAAGGAACGAACCTGTCTCGCACGGAGCTGGAGCAGAAGATTCCATCCGCTCGAGCCATTGCGAAAAGAATAATCGCCGGGGTAGAGAAGGGCAAGACCTATGTATCCGTGGACTGGAGAGGGGATGTCCTATTGAATAACATGCGAGGCCCGAGTCCGCGTTTCTGGACTCTGTGGGATTTCTTCTTAGGTATTGTGGCAGCTTGTGCGTGGTGGTTCTATCGTACGTCTTTTGATCGACAGACGAGGACGTTTGGAGCCAGTCATGGTCGGAACAACCAAGTATAGTGACATGCTGCCCTGCTGTTTCACCATAATGTAGGATTAGCCGAAGACTGGGTATTGTTACAATCAATTGAATGGGGCTGTAGACTTGATTCTAACGCCAAAGGTCAGATCAACAAATTTCCTCACTCACGGTCCCTAAACAGCCATTCCTTCTCCAATAGACAAATATCATCTTGATCACCTTCCGCGCTGGCTATAAGTGTACCCTTGAGCTTAGCAGTCTTTTGGATTATCTTGTTATACTACTTATTGTTGATCCAGCTATCCTCGCTCACACTACCGATTTGCTCACGCCAATGATTTACAATATTGTTGAAGTCAAATCATAGCTGCTCTTGCTCCTTGAACCCATCAAGCTCAGTTTCAGTGAAATTGATTGGTCAGGATAGGTCTTTAGTATTTGATAGGTAAGATCAGTGTTCAATTATGCGGACTATAGCTTTAGAGTTATTAGATTTTTATTTCATTGTCTCCCTGCCTTATCCACTAGATTCTGGCACGGAAGTTGGATCGGGCCACGAAGAGTCTCGAGATGTGGTTTGTTCAAGTGGCTGTTTAGGATGGGGTAATAATATGATAGGAGATGTTGGTTATAAAATTCAGCGGCTTTCGCTTTCTCTGGGCAAGTCAGAGCTTCATGGTTTACTGGAAGAAATGGTTCTTTGAGTTAAGGAGATTGTTTTGCATTTGGGCTTCTGAAGATACGAGAATAGACTGCAATCAATAGACATGACTCAATCGTTGTGTGTTGCCAGTTAATGAGATAAGAGATGCTGCCGGAGTCGGGTGAGATGGAGATGTTACTAGGGTTTGGATCTGAATCCCGTTAGGTGGAATTCGTGAAGAAACTAGAGAAAACAAATCCGGATGGCGAAGGGTTGGTTGGTTTAGGGCGTAGTTGGAATCTTTCGGAAGTAGGCATGGAGCCAAGGCGAGATATTTGTTTCGTAGATGGAGGTAATTCTCTGGAGACCTTTTGTCCAGAAACAACCCATTGTGTGAAAACTTCAGCTCTACAAATCATCAGTACTGCCGAGTCTATTTGATCCCCTTCTCCGCAATAGACGCAAGATAGTCGTTGGGGCCTTTCCCTGTGATAATTAGTTAGACCGCACAAAGGTTAGCATCAGGAGAAACTTATATGGTCCACGGTAAACGTCAAGGTCAGCTCGTTTGTCACATTAGAACATATAATCTACAGTAGGTCCAATGCAAAGCGGTTTATGCACTCCGTCGCTTTCAAGGCTATTACTATACAATGTTGCCTGAAGCTTCGGAGGAACATCTCTCTTGAAATAAAGACTCCCGGCAGATCCGAACGGAAGTTCGAAAAGTCATTTTTCGATGTCAACAAAACTGGAAGCGAGCTAGTGTCGCTCGCGTTTGCTCATACTTGACCATCTACGCTCTAGACCGACACCCGGTGCCTTTTCCATAGCGATATATTCCACACCAGCAGGATTGCTCTCCGACGAGTATCCATACACCTCGGGCACAGGGATGCCGTTGCAGCGCAGGCAATGGAGAGTGGCGGCCTCACTGGCGGTCGCAAAATGCTTCGGTCCAGGGATGTGATATGGAATCTTGACAATAGCTTCAAAGCCATCCTCCATCCTTAGAAGGAAAACCCGATTGAATCCTCCTTCGGCAAGCTTCGTAAGGCACTTCGCCTGGTCGTGACCGATGTGCTTTTCAGCTTCTCGCACAAGGGCGACCGGGTTGAACTTGTTATAGCGCTCACGTAGTCGAACGTCTTGGTTGTAAAGATACCTACCGCGGGTATAAGAGAACAACTCTGGGTTAGATATTAGACCTAGAGTAAGTTGTTATGTTAATGACGGACAGATCAAGGGTGCTCATGTACTACTGACTCAAGGAGCGAGCTTTTTTGGAGAGATGAAGACTACGTAGAGAGGATGGCTGGCGATAGCGATTGATAGTGGGTAAAATCATTCCCAAAAGAGTTGAAGATGTGGAATTGTCTCCGTACGCGAGACATGGGCCACTACTCTGTAGTTAGTGGTAGCGGGGAAGGTTGCCTGGGAGATGCCTGGCAGTTGACACCTCAGGCACCCTTTTATCCTGAAATCATATTCGATGTATCAACGAAACACGGAAACAAAGGAAATAAAATCTAAATGTCAACGTTTAATCCGAGTGTGTTTTCAAGTCTACGGGATGCAGTCATACAATCATGCAATGAGATCGTGGATATAGTTCCGGTCGACTTATGCCAACACACTTTATGCTAGAACTAAAAACATGACAAAGAGCCAGAAGTAATAGAGGCACACACTCAAATGAGCTGCACCAGTTCTCCAAGGAAATTACTGATCAGCACTGCCGGAGACATTAGAAGTGCTCACATGAGGATCTTCATTCCGAAGGAGTCACCGCTCGTTTCGGAGCAGAAAAGCGACATCTTTCCTTGCATCATATTATTGACCTCATGCAGATCATTTATTGAACAGCCGCGTTGGGAACTGTACAATACAAGCTTTCGACCCTTGATACAGTGGCCCACATGAGAAAGAAAGATGGAATAGCCTTGGTTGTGAAGAGCACATTTTAGAACGCGTCATGCGAAAGCTTCGGTCTTTCTCAAACTTCTCAAATGTAAAGACCTTGCAAGCAGGATTTTAATGCAGGTAATAACTGCAAGGGACTAGGGCAATTATCACGTAACTAGTTTTGATTGCCATCGGCTGAGATGTTGTCATCAGCGAGGGGAGCTGTTCTGGTACACTCGAGAGATGCCTAAAAAAGGCTCGGATTCACTAGATCCTGTGAGAAAATCTTTACTACAGCCATGATGAAACCACGGGCTTTGGAATCGACGGCCCGTCCATCTGCTCACGACTGCGTGTTCGAGCATGGCCTAGATTTCACCGTCGATGGACGATATGTCTGCTGGGGGCGTGATAACAAAAAGCACCCTCGAACTTGGGGCACCGCCCGCAAGCTTTATGATACATCCTTGATCTTATTCTTAGATTTCTTCGTGTATGACCACTGACCGAGATTACCACTGTTTGAGGCGCTAATGTTGCTGCTTTAGAACTACGACAAGCTCTGCTGGTGTGAGTGCCACTAATCGACTGATATGACATGTCTGACTGTATCAGGCGTCAGCAGCTGCTCAAGCCAAAGATGACTATGGGATTGGACGGGAACTCTCAGTTTTCTGTTTTGTGACGATGTACGTCAACCCTAATTCTCTCTCGCACGCAGTCACTGATTGCCATTAGATTCCTCCTCGGTCAAGTTCTTGGGACGATCATATTTCCACCGTGGTCCGAGTCATTCGGCCGCAAGAAACTATACATTCTTAGCAGCGCTTTGAGCGCAATATGTTGCGTCATTGTGGGAGTCGTGGATTCTCTGGCGGGAACCATCGTGGGCCGGTTCTTTGGTGGCCTTCTATCGGCCATCCCATACACTGTTGGCTGTGGAAGTGTTGAAGATATGTTTTCTTCATGGCCTCGCACATGGGTACTTCTCTTCTGGACGGTGGCATCGAACATTGGTCTGTCAATGGGACCGATAATCGGATCGCACATCACCACAGCTCTTTCTTGGTACGCCCACTTGCTCCATCTTCGGTAACCTCACTGACGACAAGTAGGAGATGGCTGTTTTATATATATGCCATCGCTCTTGCCATCATTACGGTTCTCTTCTGCTTCATTCGCGAGTCCCGCCCGTCCCAGATCCTGATTAAGGAGGTAAACCACCTCCGCCAAAAGACTGGCGACCATAGTCTAGAAGCCCTCAACCACGACCATTTCCCCGATATGCACACATTCGTACGTACTGCGCTCTTCCGACCCGTACAGCTGCTTTTCACTGAGCCTCTCGTCATCTTCACGGCACTCATGAACGGCTTCTCTTTTGCCCTCCTCTACCTCTTCACCGAGGCCCTCCAACTCGTCTACACGGCCCTCGACTTCAGCGACTCCCAAGCCAGTCTGCCATTTCTCGGACTGGCAGTTGGCTTCTGGTTTAGCATTCCCTGTCGACTGATTGACTATCGCCTTTTCGCCTCGCTCCGTCGGCAGAACCTGCCTATCAAACCCGAAAGCAAGCTCACCGGTCTCGCCATTGGAGCTCCAGTCTTTGCCGTCGGACTATGGTGGTTTGCATGGACGATTCCGCCGAAAGTAGCGGTACACTGGATGGTACCGACTGCCTCGCTCGTGCTGGTGGGATTCGCGTTGAATGAGTTTGATACGGTGTTGTATGTCTACTTGGCTGATAGTTACCTGAGCTACTCGGCTAGTGCGACGGCCGCGGTGCAATTTGTGAGGGCGCTCTTGTCGGGTGTATTTCCACTTTTCACGAAGCAAATGTTCGAAGGACTGGGCTATAATGCTGCAGCGTCAGTTATCGCAGCCCTGGGAACGGCGTTTGTCGTTGTGCCGGTGTTGTTTATTATTTACGGGGAGAGGATCAGGGCGAGAAGCCCGTTCGCTAAGTACAGTCTGGAGCTGGAAGAAGACTTGGGGAAGGAGGGTTCAGCGGCGTAGGATAATAATGGTTTTTGGGAGGTGCTCGGATTGTCGTCTAATGCGCAGGAATAGAATGTAAGGAAGCATAAATGCCCGCAGTACCATATCTATATCGTCTTTTGGTGCTTTACTAGGCTATGGCTCCCCCTTCCAAATTCTTGCGAGAAAGTCCTGTATCCTGACATACTGATATTGGGGCAACAAGCGATTGAAATCGTTCAAAACGTTCCAAGCGCCTTTGACACTACTGAGCAGCATTCCGCTCAGCGGCCTGTTCGTCGGAAACAGCACCATGTTTCTTCTTCAGTCGCCATGAGGTATTCAAAACCCCATCCTCGAGCGGTTCTGGCATTTTCAACTGCAAACGGGCGCCCTGTAGCCTGAGTTAGCTTCCTGGCTTCTCGTTTCTTCCATACCCGATTACCTCGAATAGCCCCCAATCTTGACAATGCCACCGACCGCGACTCTATTGCCTCTGATTCCTCCAGTCTCAGGCGACTCGCCTTCATAGTCCACTGCTCGGGCAATGACAGCAGCGAGGTCAGCGACCGTGGTCAAAGTAATTATCGCATTTTCGTGGCCATCGACTAAAATAGCCCGACAGTTCTTAAAGTCAAACACGGTGTCAAGTGGACCAACATGCTTCGCGGTTTTGTAGGGTGACGCGAGGTAGTCCAGGAACAGACCAGGCTGGAAGATAGTATGATCGAGGATCCTGAATGCTATTAGATGAGTGGAAATGTGTGTGTGGGTTTATGAACTGGCAAGTAGAGTACTTTGGCATTCTGGTTGACCTTCCTCAAATAGCTTCTGATACTCTCTTTCCCAGCCCACCAAGGCATATCGACCGTATCTGCGCTGCAAGATAAACTCGTCATTTGTAGCCAGGAGCGATCTTGAACATGGGCGATAAAATGCCTTCCATATTCACTGGGCGCGAAGCGTTTCACACCTACAGCGATAGCCGCTTATACAATGCTCTCACGGCGTCCTGGCTCAGTCAGCGGGACCTCAATATCATAAAGACCATTTCTGTCCAGACATCTATACTACTCCACGGAATAGCCTGCATGCCATACACTACCATCTCATTCAAAGGCCTAGAGGCACCAAACGACATGCTGCAGCTTCCGGGTCCGGAATCCATCCGGTATTAATCGCCCGAAAGCTTCTGCTGCTAGGGAGCTTCCTGCAAGGCCTTCCACCAGGAACTGCGCAAGATCTCGGTAAACTCGAGTCGGGAGTCGATCAAACAATGTCTCGAGTGATTGAAGCAGCAAGTAGGTTGGTGATAAGCAACGATGACCTGATCGGTTCTCTCGAGGGTATTGAACGCATCATGATTGAAAGAATGTATCACAACAACGCGGAAAACCTGCGCCGCGCGTGGTTGTTGAATCGTCGGGCCATGACGATCGCAGAGATGATGGGCCTTCGTTTGGGACGGTCATCTCTGATAAAGATATTGGACAATGGGACTCGAGAACGAATTGAACCGCAATGTATGTGGTTTCGCTTGGTTATTTCCTACCGGTACCTTTCTTTGGTGCTGGGCTTACCACAGGCCTCTTCTGAGAGCCCCTTTGCCACGCAAACATTCTTGGAAAGCTGTGGCCCAATGGACCGAATGGAGCGAATCGAATGTAAGAACAGTCGCGAGAACCCCCTCCGACTGCGCTGCTCCATGAAAACGAACCTTTCGAACAGGGCGCCCTGGAGGCCGGATATCCAGTCCTATTTGATGTTGACGATTGGACGTTACAGGAAACTGATACTGCCTTGTTTGACAAGCTCATTAGAGGATCAGAGCCAGCCATGGGTGCTGAAGACCCTTGAATATGGTTGGCGAATCACCCATGCTTTGCTTAGGAGGCCCGAAAGAAATAGAGTTAACGTATTCAGATTGGGGAGATTGATTGTAACTCTATGAAAGGAAATGATCCTAGAAATGGCAGCGAGCAATTGTGACAAAATAGAAAGAGGCTTGAAAGATTGACCAAGCACACTGCGACATCCAAGGTTCGAAGTCTGGAGGCCTCCCTTGCATCCACGCCGTGATTCTGGTACTTGAAAGCACATCTCAATATCACCATCGCCCTCCCCCTGGCCCTCCAAATCCACCACCGCCGCCGCCTCCATAATGCCCCCCGAAACCTCCTCCTCCTCCCCCTCCAGGAGGTCCACCAAACCCGCCGCCCCCTGGTCGCCCAAAGCCTCCTCCATGGCCTCCATGGTGACCACCGAACCCTCCTTCTCCCCCACCGCCGTGATGTCCGCCGAATCCGCCTCCTGGCGGTCCACCCATTCCCATACCCATACCACTATGATGTTGTCGGCCTCCCATCCCGTTCATGCCTCCCAGGCCCCCCATTCCGGAGTGATGTTGTTGCCCGCCGCCACTGATAAACGAGCTGAGACCGTATCCGCCGCCGCCCTGGGGATGGGGTCGATGGCCTGGACCGGAGTTCATTCCCATCCCTTGGCCTGAGTTCATGCGACGGCGGAGGAAGCTGAAACACAGTCCCATCTTGTGGGTGGTCTGCTGATAAAGGGTTGGATTTCGTGGTCGGTCGTGGAGGGGTTTCGAGGTAATGAGAGAGTATAAAAATGAGGAGGAAACTGTTTGAAAAAAAAAGCACAAGTTTCAATGGCTAATTAATTGGAAGAACTGAGAGATAGTACGGTCTCATTGATCGGGTGGATTGGCAACAGGAACTGTAGATATACCTACGCTCCCGCGGTGAAGTCATGTCGTCATATCGAAATACCCACCTCCACTCCCATGCAACCCTAAATCCACCTTTCTTCACGGCACTCCAGGTGCATTAACTTCACGGAGGGGTAGTTATGTACATTTAGATTAAACCTAGTAACGGTACCTAAAGTCCAGCTCCGCATCTCCCGTCTTCACTCGCCTCGTATCTTCCTTACCCTCTAGAATCCTCTCTTTCTCCCGATCTTCCCTCCGAAGATACCACGCATGCACGACAATAAGGCCCTGTGCGACCGCTAACGCTCCTAAAGAAAATGCATTCCCGAGCACGTACGGCGACTCCCGGTAGACTTGGCCAGCGACTATGCCGGCGCAGTTCCCGAGCGTTTGCTGGAGTCCGACCGCGAGCGCGCGGCGGTATTGCGGCGCCACGTTGACGTTCAGCCAGGCGACGTTCAGTCCGACCCCTGTGTACGTGGCGATTCCGCAGAGGTAGGTGGCGAAGTATTTCACAGAGTTGTTCGAGACGGAGAGGAGAATGATGTAGCCGGCTATGCCGAAGACGTTGGTTACAAGCATGAACTATACGGTGTGAGCACTATTTCCACTAAAAGGCAGGATAGCAGGAATGAAGAGCATACCACGGAGAACTTCGAATACCGATCGGCGCAGAAGGCGACCGCAATAAACACGATAGCCGCCCACATATACACCGGTACCGTGAGCACATTGCTCATGAGCGAATTGTACCCGATACTCTGCAGAATCGTCGGCAGGAACGTGCTGAATCCGTACAGCAAGATATCCTGGCAGAATTGTGTGACGGCGCTGAACATCAGTTTCGGATCGCGCACGGCGAGGCGCATTTCCTCCCAGCTGAACTCCTCGCTGCCCATGTATTTGCGACGTTGTTCGTTGCGCACACGCATCATCCATTTCTCCTCGTCGGTGAGGAAGTAGGCGTTTGCGGGGTCGTTGGGGAGGCCGAACCAGATCAGAAATGCGCAGATGATGCTGAAGAGGCCTTCGATTATGTAGACCCATCTGTTGGACTTGTGTTAGCGTGCGATGTCTCGTGCGAGGGGGTTGAGTAGACATACCGCCAGCCGGCTTTGCCTCCGAGTCCGTCCATATGGAGTAGACCATATGCCAGGAGTCCTCCCACGGCTCCTGAGATCGCAGCGCAGCTCATCAGATACGAAACTCGCTTTGCCTGCTCCTCGCGACGATACACCATCGTCAAGTACAGGTTCAGACAGGGGAAGAGTCCGGCTTCGCAGGCTCCCAGGATAAGCCTTGTGGCGTAAAGCGCGCCCACATTCTCCACGAAGCCCGTGAAGACGGTTGCGATGGACCAGACGATGCACAGACCCGTGAGGATATTGCGCGGCGTGAGCTTCTTCATCAGTACGGCCCACGGCGCCTCGAGCAGAACGTAAGTGACGTAGAAGATCGATACGGCGGTGGAGAATTGACTCTCCGAGGCACCGATCGCTTCGGGCATGCCGGCCACTTTGACATTGCCTGCGATAGTGATTCAGTAACATGGCTGTAAGGGGTCGATGAGGATGACCTTACCGATGTTCGTTCGATCCAGAAAGCAGGACAGGTACGTGAGCATGATGATGGGCACAAAGGCCAAATCTAGCTTCAGGAGCAGCTTGCTCTCCTTCTTCGGGTCCAGCACAATGTCCTCAACATCGCCAAAACCGGCCTCGTCGAGCGAGGGCTTATCTTGGGGCGGCTTGCTCTCTAGGGGGATATCTTTGTTCAGCGACATCGCACCAATGTTGGTGTTCGCTTGATAGAAACTGTGAAATGAGCTGTTGCTAAGGACAATTCACGATGGAGACTTTAATTGACAGCTTCGTTCTGCCAATCCCCACGGTCCGGTGAGAATGAAGGGATGAGCAAAACCCATCCCACGCGGCAAACATTAAAAACCCTCAACCCTAAAGCCACCCACGGGTATTATCTCACAGCCATACCATGATACGACAATCCCCTGCCCGCATGTCTATCATACCCCATACCAGCAGCTTTCCCCGTGTTATCGGGGTATCTTCTTGGGTAATAGAAACTGCGTGTGCCAATCACGCCGTGTATCTCGGACGTGCTCCACAGGTGGGCCTCCCTTCGGCCCGACGAGGTGATGATAAGCCCCAAAGAGGGGGATTTGTGCACCTTCAGACTAGTCTAGGGTTTGCTAGGGTGTGCACGATTCTCCAATGACTGTCGATCCTGAGTTATCGTTGGCGGAATGTGTCCCCGACGTCCCCCAGATATCGGACCGATGTGGATATGGGGCACGGAATTGAGAGGAGACACTGGGATCATCGCGAGGAGAAGATAAGGGTTGCAGATAGAAATGAGGCAGTCAATTGACATATTCAACATGTCAAGATAACCTCAGACTTGCAAGTCACGACCATTTTCGAAGGCCTAAATCGCAAGACAGCCCCAACAGCTACAATGTCTTCACCATCGCCGTCTCATCAAGCCCGCATTCTCAGCCGAAACAACCTCATCACGAATACATCCGGTATCGCGCCGGGCTATTTGCAAGCAAACCTATTAATCCTCCCGTCCAAACATGCCCGCGACTTCCACGACCTGTGTCGTCGCAATCCCGTCCCCTGCCCTCTCCTCGGTCACACCACTACTCCAGGGAACCCACACCTTATTCAACCGCCCTCGTGTATCCAAACCCCTGACTTCGATATCCGGACCGACTTTCCCAAGTACCGCGTCTATCAGCACGGCAAGTACCTCGCCACCCGCACCGACTTGCTCGATATCTGGCGCGATGACTACGTCGGCTTCCTAATCGGCTGCTCGTTCTCGTTCGAGGACGCTCTCGCGTCGGCTGGTCTGCAGCCGAGACATCAGAAGACAGGCCGAATCGTAGCCATGTATAGAAGTAATATTCCCCTTTTGCCGGCGGGAATCTTCGCGGGTGGATCGTGTATCGTGTCCATGAGACCGTACCGTGAAGAGGATATTGAGGCTGTCAGGGATGTAACTAGGCCGTATCTTGCGACGCATGGAGAGCCTGTGGCCTGGGGATGGGAGGCCGTGGAGAAGTTGGGAATTCGCGATATCAGTGTGCCGGATTTTGGCGAGCCGCAAAATTTTGAGGACGGGGAGGTTCCAGTATTCTGGGTAAGAGTCATCCATTTCTTTCTGTTTCCTCCATGCTGCCATTTTGTCTGCAGAGCGGATTGATTGCTAATGGACCGGGATAGGCTTGCGGAGTGACTCCGCAGATGGCGGTGGAATCTGCTGGGGACAAGATCGAAGATCTGGTCTTCGCTCACGAGCCTGGACATATGCTTGTGACTGATTTGACATCAGATGATCTGCAAAGATTGTGAAGGGAGGCTGCGCTGCTGACATTACTGGCTTTGGCTTTCCGGAGTTTGCAGACGAACAGTGTTAATTGTGAACAAAGTACCATAATATGCTAACGAGCAAACTGAGTCCGTACTACTATTAGGTCATTGCCTTAACGAATGCTATCATATCCCGTAATGGAAAGCACTTCATGCTTGCTTTGCTCGATGGCTGGTCGATGAACCTGCAAGCACTAACAGCATCAAACGCCAATAGAGAACGGGCGTCAAACGCTCTATACCCCCGTCTGGGCTGCCGTTATGGGTGAAAGCTACAGGTTCAGGCCGCGTGGCTGGACCTCATGGAAATCCGCACTGCCGCTTTCCTCTGAATCAGGCGGAACCTCTCGTCTGTTGCATTTGACTTTAAAACGACGGCAGGCAAGTCGGTATCAACCCTGCTATCGAGTTCAACCACCCAACCCGAACCTCAGGTTTTCTGCTAGTATGGCCACATAGGATCATGTGCAATATGGCCCCAGTGGCCTGCTCCCTGTTCAACTTGGGGATGTTTTCAAGGGAAAGTACGCGGTTCTTGGGAAGATCGGGCAGGGCGTACATGGTTCTTATCCCGCTACGGAATACCCCTGGCAATTAGCTTCCTGGAATAGCGCGCTAATGGCATCCTCTAGAACTTACCACTTCCGAGCACTGAAGATCTTAACGGCCGACTGCTGTGTGGTAGCTCGTGGCATTTCTGCGCTGAACGCTCTCAAACGACTGCACGATGCGAATCGAGCGCATGTTGGCTACAGCCACATCTCCCAACTCACGGACTCGTTTGAACACCACGGTCCTCATGGACTGCATGTATGCCTCGTATTTGATGTTATGGGCGAAACGTTGGCTACATTCATGGAGTGGTTCCCTGGCCGTAGACTGCGCAATGTTGACATGCGACTCTTCACGATGAGACTTCTTACAGCGTTATGGTATGCTCATGACTTGGGTGCACGCCGGTAAGTGCCCAGCGGAGCGGACGGTGCAGCTGGCACTCATTTACCACAGATCTCAGACCGGATAATACTTTCGTGAAGATCGAGGATCAATCAGTCATCTCGGATATCTATCTACCCAACAACACGGCTGACCCAAGGGCGTTCGACAGATCAACCGATCCGGCTACAATTCCGTGCCAACCTCTAAGAGGACGTTACGTTCGGGGCACACGTCCTTTGGGGTTCGAGATAGCTCTACGAGGTTGGGGGGCGCAGGTAGCTGGGCCAATCGCCATTACACTCAAACGGTTCGGCCACTCAATTTCCAACTCCTCGAGACCCTTATAGGGGCACCCTGTCATACCAGCCCTAGTATGGATGTTTGGAGCCTAGGCGCGGTAATGGTGGAAGCCTTCTTCAATGTTAGGTGAATAATCAGTTCAGTGTCTTCAATGAGATAGATCCGGATGTCGGCATCTAGAATTCTCGCATAGATATAAATACTTACGGATAATCGGCATGAAAAGAGACAGGCACTTTGTTTCCAGAAATATCCCGGACGTGGCGTCGGGTGCCCGACAAGCAACGAGGATATATATTGCGGCGGCTTACGGGTGAGACTGAAGGCTTCTAGTGATTCCACTAGGCCGGGCAAATGATGCGATTCCAAGTCCAAGTCCAAGTCCAAGTCCGAGAACCATGGCAGACTACACCGTAGTGAGGGGCTTATCCCCCCACCTTTGATCACGCCAGCTCTGGACACGAAGATACGACACCGTAGAGGTGGGATATTCGACATTGCGAGACATTTTCAACACAACTGATCGGTCTGGAGTGAGCAGGAGGGCATGATTCGACTAGGAGAGAGATAGCTCGGGCATCGATGTATGCAACATCTGCAAGACCAAAGGAAGATGAAAGAAGGTGCAAGTCGGAGAGAAAAGAAAAGAAAAGAAGGAAACTCCAAATGTCCCCGAAGGCCAATTTGTCAGCAACGCGCATTTCCTGACGATTTCCTGCCATCTCCAACTTGAACTCCGACAACCATCGCACCACCCACTTTATAAATATCCTCATGTTCCCAGCCAACATGGCCTTTTCTTACGACACTTCCCTTTACCAATTCCTTCCGTCATCATGGGATCGACCGCCTTTCGCACACCCCCCGTCGTGAAGTCCGGCGCGACTCCCTTCTTCACGCCCGCCAACAATGTCGGCGCCGCTCTGCACCCCGACGACCCCAGGACTCCCACGCTCTTCCGCCCGCTGCAAATCCGTGACCTGAAGCTCAAGAATCGCATCATCGTATCGCCCATGTGCATGTACTCCGCCGACAACGACCCCTCCTCGCCCTCCGTTGGTGCCCCCACGGACTTCCACATTGCCCACCTGGGCCATTTCGCCCTCAAAGGCGCGGGGCTGATCCTCGTCGAAGCCACCGCCGTCCAACCGAACGGTCGCATCTCCCCGTACGATGTCGGACTCTGGCAGGGGGTCGACTCGCCACAGTTCCACGGCCTCAAACGCGTCGTGGAATTCTCCCATAGCCAGGGCGCTAAGATCGGGGTGCAATTGGCGCACGCCGGTCGCAAGGCGAGCACCTCCCCGCCGTGGGTCGCCGCGGCAGCCGGTAAAATGGCCCTGAAGGCCGACGAAAGTGTGGGCGGGTGGCCGGACAACGTCGTGGGGCCCTCGGGCGGCACCGAACATGCCTGGAGCACGGATAGCGATATGTACTGGGCTCCTCGCGGGCTCACCACGGAGGAGGTCAAGGAGGTGGTGCGTGCCTTTGCCGACAGCGCTAGGACGGCCGTCCAGGCCGGCGTCGATGTCATTGAGATCCACGGCGCTCATGGATACCTCATCCACCAGTTCCTGAGTCCCGTGACCAACACGCGCTCGGATGAATACGGCGGCTCGTTCGAGAATCGGACTCGTTTGCTCCGGGAGGTAGCCGTCGCCATCCGTGAGGTCATTCCCACAGGCATGCCGCTTTTCTTGCGCCTCAGTGCGACCGAGTGGCTGGAGGAGCAGCCCGTCGCCGCGAAGACCGGGTCGTGGGATCTGGAGAGCTCGGTTCGTCTGGCGGCGTTGCTGCCCGAGCTGGGTGTGGATCTGCTGGACGTGAGTTCTGCGGGTAACCACCAGGACCAGAAGATCAACATCCACACCAACTACCACATCGACTTGGCGGCACACCTGCGCAAGGCGATCCGGGCGGCCGGCGCGTCGACGCTCGTGGGCAGCGTGGGATTCGTCACCGAGGCTGAGCAGGCGCGGGACATCGTGCAAGGAGCCGAGGCGCAGGGGACGGAGGAGATCGTGTCGGGTCCGGAGCCTCGCGCAGACGCCGTTCTGCTGGCGCGACAGTTCCTTCGTGAGCCCGAATGGGTGATCAAGACGGCGAAGGCTCTGGGCGTGGAGGTTACCGTGCCAGTGCAGTACGGACGCGCATTCCGATAGACATGCAGTAGACGGAGGATGTACATACCTAATGATAGAATATATATGAAGTTACCTTGAAGTCTATGGGATTTGAAGGGAATCTACCGGAGACCTCCGATCTCCAAGGGAAAGTTTCCCAACCTCCGTACATGCAAACGACCCACCGATGCTCGCGTTATTCACTGCTGAGCAGTACTAATAGTTGGTGCCTCAGTCACTGCACACCCCCCTTCCTTCGACCCCGCACTCTCCTCTCATCTTCTTCTCTCACTCTTTCCTCCCTCACCTCTACATCTTCCAACCTCCCCCATCCACTTCCCATCATCACTTCCATCACACCCACTTCTCTCAACATGTCTCTCAAGCCCGGTGACGCCTTCCCCGCCGACGTGGTCTTCCAGTACATCCCCTGGAGTGAGGAAAAGGCCGACGCGAAGGCCTGTGGGATCCCCATCAACTACAACGCCTCGACCGAGTGGGCTGACAAGAAGGTCGTGCTGTTCTCTGTGCCCGGTAGGTTTCTCAATTCTCCCTCTACAGTCAATCCTACAATAATCTCATAGCTAATACTGACAATCGATAGGCGCCTTCACTCCCACCTGCTCCGAGAACCACGTCCCCGGCTACATCCAGAACCTGGCCAAGCTGAAGGAGAAGGGTGTCGACGTGGTGGCGGTCATCGCGTCCAACGACCCCTTCGTCATGAGTGCCTGGGGCAAGGTGAACGAGGTGAAGGGTGACGATCTGGTACGTTGTTTTCCAGGGTCACTTACTTGACCGCCTCCTTGGTGGATTTCAATTTACGATGACCGATACTGATGAATGGGACAGCTTTTCCTGTCTGACCCCGACGCTCGCTTCTCCAGCAGCATTGGCTGGTCCACTGGTCCCCGCACCGGTCGCTATGCCATTGTGGTGGACCACGGCAAGGTGACCTACGCGAAGATCGAGACCGAGAAGGGCGTCAAGGTGAGTTGTCCGTCGCGTGGATATGGCGGGGCTGAATGCATTGGATTTGCTAACGTGGGGGGTTCCCGTAGGTGTCTGGAGCCGATGCCGTGCTGGCCAACCTGTAGATGATCGATGCGACGGACGATGCACGATAGATTTCTGGTCTGACTGATGATAATGGATTTACGACACATGGACTGGGGTAGACAATTGCTGGGTTCGACTGTTTCGATCTGGTTCTTAGAGCCTGAGGTAGCTTACCAAGCATTACTTGATCTGGACTCCACTGATCGGCTGTGTGTTTTTGTTGATTTGTCCGTAGAGTAATTCCAGTTGCTGTGTGGAGAGAAGCGACGGTGTGTCCCCTCCACCAGACGTTCTAAGTCCTAACGCCGAGTCAGCAGAGACCCTGTTTTCCTCAGGGACCTTGTGGATCAGTCAAGAGTCAAGAGTCAAGACTCAAGAGTTCCTCCGATATTCTCTGCTCGAAAAGAGAAAGTCTCCGACCGCAGAATGGATGATGTCATCCATCTTCGTGCCTCTTTCTTTACCCCACCAGATCGTCGTATAAATCCTTTCTCCCCACTCACCTCCATTTCGGCACGCTACAATTCTGCACGTTGTCTTCATCCCCCTTGAAAGGATCCAGGAATTATCACAAGATGGCCCCCAAAGTGCTTGTCGTTCTCACCTCGCAGGACAAGATCCCTGCCAACGGTCACCCGACCGGATGGTTCCTGGTAGGTTCCGTTTCCTGTCAATATCTGCCAAAATCATTCTCACCCATTGCGATGCATGAATAGCCCGAATTCGCCCACCCCTGGGACGAGCTGCAGGGCAAGGTGGACATGGTGATCGCCTCCCCCAACGGCGGCGAGGCCCCTCTGGACCCCGGCTCCGTCAAGATGTTCGAGAACGACCCCGTCTCGACCAAGTTCCTGAAGGAGCAGGAGTCGCTGTGGAAGAAGACCGAGAAGCTGTCCGACTTTAAGGACCGCGTCGGCGAGTTCGACGCCATTTTCTACGTCGGAGGTCACGGCCGTAAGCATTCCCCCTTTCTTGTATACCAATTCAGTCACCGTCCCACCATGCCGAGCTGTCCATGAACGAATCAATTTCATTCCATCTGGCACGAGCTAACCTTCAACTCACATAGCCATGTACGACCTGCACTACGATGCCACATCCCTGGGGCTGATCCAGTCTTTCGCTGCGGCCAAGAAGCCCGTCGCCGCCGTCTGCCACGGTCCGACCGTCTTCGTGCGCGCCGTCACCCCCGACGGCACCCCCTTGCTGTCCGGCGCCACCGTGACTGGCTTCTCGAATGTGGAGGAGGACCAGGCTGGCATGACGCCTGTCATGCCTTATATGCTGGAGGATGAGCTGAAGCGAGTGACGGGCGGAGGCTTTGTCAAGGCCGACGAACCCTGGGGCGAGAAGGTCGTCGTGTCGCAGACGGCGGGCACCGGCGCGACGCTGATCACAGGGCAGAACCCGGCCAGCGCGGCGGGTGTGGGCAAGGCCATTCTGCAGGCGTTGGGTCTGTAAATTGAACATCATTTAATCAGTATGCTTTCGTTAATCCAGTAGTTTCTCTCTTCGAGTGGCCCAGCGTAGCCTCTAGTTTAATCAATCTCGTCCAATCAGCACCCCAACTGCCCCCATGTTGTGGTTAATCTCTGCAAGGACGCCCGCCGGTCTCCGCTCTGCATCTTCAACTCCGGTGGCATAGCGATTAATCTGACACTCAGACAGCCCGAAGATCGGCATTCCCCGCGGCCTCTGCGCGAATCAACTGCCGTGCTGACCCGGCGTGGAGGCGTCGCTTGTCCACTAACCTTTGGATGTGCCGCCAGGGGTACATCGCGTGAAGATAGGCCTGATAGCAACTTCTCTCCACCAATACTGGCCTTGATTTCCCCCTTATTCCGGGCGCCTTGTACCTCCGGCCAAGACCACCGCGGCAGGACGGACACGATGCATGGAGCACCGAGATAGCTGTGCTGGCTGCACATGCAAGGGGGTCGTGTCGGTGTCACACCCCGCTGCTTGATTATGCCTGAAATAAGCAATTTGGGATTGCTGTCACTAGCTATTTAAACCAGCCTTGTGTCGCCATGGTCTTCACGTTGGACAGGCAGGCGGTTTTCTCTGTTTCTGTCCATCTCCGCTTTTCCGGGCGGGTGCAAGTCTTAGCAGTTACTCGATAGATCTATATTCTATAATATAACGAGTCGTCAACATGGTCAACGCTCTGCTTTCGGCCTTGCTGGTCCTCCCTCTCGTCTCAGCCCTGCCCACTCCCCCAGGCATTCCCTCCACCACTACCGCCAACTCGGAATTGGCCAAGCTGACCGTCGCGGCGCAGGGGTCGGGCAGTGACTACGACCGGGACCTTTTCCCGCATTGGATCAGCCAGGGGAAGTACGTTCTCTCCACCCTCTTTTCTCTTTGGCCACGATGCGAATACGACATTCGATATGAGCAGGTGTTGACAATCCAGTAGTAACTGCAACACCCGGGAGGTCGTTCTGGCACGCGACGGCAAAAACGTAGAGCAGGACTCTTCTTGTGCCGCCGTCAGCGGAACCTGGGTTTCTGATTACGATGGCGAGACATTCACTGATGCCAGTGATTTGGATATCGATCATATCGTGCCGTTGTCGAATGCTTGGAAGGTACGTCACTCCCTGTTGCCACTGTGTTAAGGCTGCCCCATAGGAAGATATACACGTCAATGCTAATAGTGACCGTCTCAGTCCGGCGCATCCAAATGGACTACCTCCCAGCGTCAAGCGTTCGCCAATGACTTGACCAACCCTCAGCTGTTGCCTGTCTCTGCCAGCTCGAACCGCTCCAAGGGTGACAAGGGACCCGAGAGCTGGAAGCCTTCCTCGAGTACGACTTTTCTTTCCTTTCCCCCTTACATTTGTCTTGGTAACCATGGCGTGGCTAATACAGCATAGCATCGTTCCACTGCACCTATGCCAAGATGTGGGTCAAGATCAAGTCGGTGTATGACTTGACCATCACCAGTTCGGAGAAGAGTGCGCTGGTGGAAATGCTGGATACGTGTTAATTCCCGAGTCATGATTCGAGATGGAAAGAGCACGTGGGCTAGATTCCCAGTTGGGGTAGGGAACTAGACTAAGCCGCCATCCTAATAATTTCATTATTATACTATGCTCGTTAATGATACAACCTGTCTCAAGTTGAGCATAAACATAATGTCTTCAGTTTTGCCGAGGTCGTGATAGTGGAATACACGATTCCCCATGCAGAGCCAGATACTACAGACATAAGGGCCCCAGGATGGCTAGCATCTGGGTTATTCTTGTGCTCTCCTGTCACCTTCCATGGCATGGCCTCTGCAACAAGACAGTCACAACATGAGAGTGATGGAGAGGAAATTAGCCATGAAGACGTTGGTAATAGTCCAGTGCCTTAGGCTGAAGGCCTGGATACCATGAGCATTCAATGGTTGTGGGAGTAGGTCTTTGCCTAGCATCTAGCGTCCTGCATGATAGCGCTGTAAGCGCCAAAGAAGGGTGCAATCGGCCAAGGAACTGAGCATAGTTGGCAATTTTGTTGTAGTTTGCCGTGTCTACTGTTTGTTTATGGTACTATGTCGATTACTCTGGTATAGTTCTGCTCTAATTTCAACTCATACCATGCCTAGAATGTTACTGTACTTGTAGCAATACTGTCTAGTCTTACTCGATATATCACCTAGGTTACGCGATAAATTCTGCGTAATAACCTTGTAAATGTTCGATCAAACCTTTGAACTTGGACATGTATCTGACTCTTATTCCTTATGAGCACCATATGTTCCACTGTTTACTTTCCTTCAGTACATACGACCACAGGGTGAGGAGAACAGGGCTTCCCGTCCGCTCAGCCGTACTTAAGCCTCACGCCGGCCGGTTAGTAGTTGGGTGGGTGACCACCAGCGAATCCCGGCTGTTGTATGTTTTTTGTTTTGGCTTTTTTGCTTCTGGTCCTTTAGGAGGTGCCAGGGTAGGCTGCTAAAGTGGAAAAAGATAATTAAATTGCTTGACCGGCCAAATGATGTAATGTCAGCCCCATCCGTCCCTGAGATGACCCAAGGGTGTACATGAGTGATGGTTCCCTCTGCTATTACCGCATGCTTCTTCATAACTTCCAGCTGCTGCTAACAAAAAACCAAGAAAAGAAACAAGAAATGGGCGGGAAGATTGCCAGATTCCTAATCCTCCCTCAATCCCTTGCCATGTGGGGAGGCCCGGAACGTCTCAACACTCGATCCTTTTCGTGTTGCGAGTGGACCTGATCGTCAATCTGGAGCGGATTCCGGGACGCGTCTGCTCAAAGAAATCAGTAATGCGGCCAAGTTATGATCCTGGAAGTGTCAAACGTTACCAGACGATGACCAACTTTGGTGTTGTACCGACTATCCTCAAGATTTGCCGCTCTGAGGGCAGTTGCGAAAAAGCATTCTCGCAGGGAGGCTTCGGTAGCGGAGGGCTTCGCCTTGTAGTATATTGGTGGGGATAGAGCGAAGTGGTCGTTGTCAATGCGCTTTACGAACCACGTCCTTTCATAGATGCTGAAAAAGCCCTATTTGCAGTATCTGTCATCCATATACCGCGCCAGCTGCCCCATATGCATTCATGACCACAGTTAGCACATGGGAAAACCCTGCAAACACCAGAGGTCAGACTCACCGATCTTGTCAGCGATGAATTCCTCCAAAGTCTGGTTCTTCTTCGGTTCAAATTTCCAGTAGGTCTTAACTTCACCCACGCCCCGAATAGCATGGGTCTTGACATCTGCCACAACCAGGTCCGGCACCAGTTTGTCCCCGGCAGCGAGCCTCTGCGCCTCGCCTCGTTTCCGCTTGCTCTCTTTCTTCGCACCAATCTTCTGCTGTCCACTGCCCTCGATAAGAGCCCTGTTGACTCCGTATTGGGAGTCCCCAAAGCGGATGCCGAGGTTAAGTATGTTGGACAATTCGCCAACTTGGTGGAGGGCGTTGTGCACAAGACGACCCTGTACTCCCAGTTCGTTTGCGACCCCGAATACCTCTGGGACAGTCACCGGGACGAATATTTTGAATTCCCCACAGTAGGGGTTAACAAGTTCCTTTACCTCTTTGGCGAAGTTCGCCCAGACCTGGACTTGCTCGGGTGTCAAAGAAAATTGCGACGATTCAGGGTGAAGAGTCCGGAACCCTTCATCGCTGATGAGCTCGGGTAGTGGGGACCAGATGCGCTGGCGTTGCTCTAGAAGCAGCACTCGGGATGACATGCTGGTATGAACGCGTTGTGCAGCAAGTATGTGAGGAAGACTGGGTAATATGTTGATAGGTAGAGGATGGCTTCAGTAAACGAGGGAAACCGGGACCACCTTCGCTGTATGCCTTCTGATGATAGACAAAGGTGTAAGGGTGAGAAGGATGACGGCCGTCAAGGCCCCATTAGACTAGCAAGCTAGGACTACATAGGTACTGCTACGCATGGTGAATGCTTGGGACGAAGAAGGAAGGAGGTCAAGGAGTGAAGACCTGCTTTGAATACCTTGAATGTCTTATGATGCATCCTTGATTTGTCCTCTGTACCACCTACATGATTCATATCTTCCTAGCAGTCACTGTTTCCATTGCTTTGGCCAGACAAGAGTACTCTGGCTATTGCCTACTTGCGGTGAACCAAGCAAGATAACTAAGGTCGACCAGTGACTGCCTTGTCTAGCATATCGACAATTATTGCTTGTAATCCGTACTTCTGCCCAGACTTGGAGGTAATAAGAATTGCAATACCCTTTATAATCGGTAGGCACATAGCGAGATGCTTGCGGAGGGATCCTGTCCAGGTACAAGAAAGTGAGGAGCAGCCCTAACCGGGAAGAACTACTCTTATAATGTGGCAACATAAAACGGCTTTTGAATCGTGTTTACGATTAATCAAACATGAGAATCTAAATGGATCTTGAGCTCTTTATTGAGCTTGTCAAACATGATAAACCACAGCCTAGTCGATTCCCTGTCTGTAGCGTAGAGGGAATATCAATCGTCCGAAGTTGTTTTAATCTAACAAGTCCTACCCACTATACTACTGTTCGTAGAATATTCCTTTCCATCACTAACGGACGGTCATCCATTAATCCTCTTTTGTGAATGCCAACGGGAGATTGCCGATGGGATTTGGTAGTGAATGAAGTGGTTCGTGGTCAACATTGAATAATGATGTGGTCATCCTGATAGGACAGTGACTCACGTTGGGGTTTGCCTTCCCTTCCTACAAACCACGACGTTGTAAGCCAGACACCAATCTCACCTCCCCCAATCTTCATAGCAGGGGAAAGCCACACGATACAAAAAATACAGGCAATCAATCATGCGGAATTTCAGTTTAGAAGGACGCATCATCACTCTTGAGGGGAGGAAGCTCAAGATCGAGGAGCAGTTGACCGAGGTACTGGACCAAAGAATGGGCCAACGCAATGTCCTCGTAAAGACCAGAAACATTGAAAGCAACATTCGGTCTTTGATAAAGATGCGCTATCAGCTGAACCCGGAAGACTTCGAGTTTGTCGGTAATGACAACGTGGAGATCATGAAGATCGCTTGGGAGCACTTTTGCAACGAAGTCCAGGCTGCCAAGCTCCTGGGTGAAGCCGGCCTCGGACCACAGTACGTTGACAATCTAAGCCGTGTTCAACCGAAGTGGATGGCCTTCCCTGGTGGATATGTTGACTTCCTGGTGATGAAACCTGCCTCGGGCGAGAACCTCGATGCGATCCTTGAGGAGCTCACGGATCGCCAGCTGGCCAGCATAAGGACGCAGCTTGCGCACATCCTGGAGTGAGTTAGAATGCTCCCTGCCATGATATTGTATACGTCGCTCACATATTCCGGTTTCATGCTCGCAGGAAAATGCGCCAGAATGGCTACAAGCTGATCCAGCAACACCCCGGCTATCTGAATTACGACGTGCGCACCAACAAGCTCTATCTGGTTGACCTTGCGGGCCTTGGATTCACCGACCCGAACGGCAGAACATCGCTCCCGATCGACGAGGACAGTCCCTACGTCGCAGCGTTCAACATTCGGCGCCCGCCATATCAAGGGCCCGAGAAAGCGCCCGAGCAAGCCGGAAAATCACCATCATCGGGCAAGCCAGCAGGGACGAACCCACCATCCGACCCGTCGGCCAAGAAGGAAAACAAGCCACCGCTCGGAACTTGAATCGGGATGACTTTTCTTCCAGGCAGCTAGAGGAGATCGTCGTTCCAGGGGATAGGATGGACACAACTCACGGGATAGCTAATACTGTTGGCCTAAAACGGCATCAATCAAGCAATGAATTAAAACTTCTATGAAACTGATAAAACCTATATATTTGAACGACATGCCACACAGGCGCTTCGCCAAATTAAAGCCGAAGTTTATGCCCGTACGCTGTAGAAATTCCACAAAGAGATAAGTGATTATTCCACTTCAACCTCCTACATATCTTCTTGATTTATTACGTTACTAGGCCCAAAGTCCTTATTCAGTACCTGTCTAACCAGCATAGTTATTTATTGATATAACCCACTATACAGGAGTTAATCCCAAAGCTAGCTTCTGGATTCTATCTATACAAGACATACTTAGTAGATTATATAGAGACTATGTTCCCCCCCACCAACCAAAGTAGATATATCATACCTTAGGTCCAACTTTCTGATCCTGGATAAGATAACCCTACCTAGGCTTTCTTTCTTACGTGCCTCCGGATAGAATAGGTGCCCGCCACGGGAATCAAACCCGCAGACCTAGTTGCGCCAAAGAGGGCCGCTACCTCTTTTTTTGCAAGCAGGGCCTTCTTTGTAACGCTCTACCTTTGCGCCACGGCAGGCGTCTATAACGGTACTGTAAGGCCTGGCCACGGCTTAAGAGGTTCGGAATGACCTACCACTGTCGATCGTGAGTCAAAGTATAGCTCCATTATGGTGGAGGAGCGCCTGGTCTAGTTTCATTTTTCGCCGACGCATTTGGGAATTGGGAGTAAAACACAATGCTTTAAAGGTCCACGATGGACTAATATTAATGAACTGTGGATACGATCGCAATTTCGCATACACCTAGGCCATCGGGCACGCACTTTGTCCTCGGAGGATTTAATTTGGGACATGGCCTGACAACAAAGAATCGGAAAGGCGTCGCGTTTCGAACCCCTGCATAGTGTGGTGCGCCGTCGGGGGCTAAGAGCTGCCGTCCGAATGCCGCGCCTATCGGGCTCGGGGATGTTTGATACGGGGAAAAGGCCTCTTCTCTCAGGAATTCCAATCTCCTCAACAAGCAAGATTTAACGTTCTCCAAGATCAGTATCCAAATCAACAGTTGTGCCGATCTTGCCACACAGTCCACCGCGTAAATAACACATGAGCAGGGGACCCACCCGACTGCCCCGGGGAGCCTCCAACTTAAGGCTCTCTCTCTACCTTCCGAGCTAACTAAATCCTGCAAGTCAATTCCAGTCACCAAGTATCTCACCCACCAATGACCCAACATAGTATTAATTAGGTGCCGCGTGTGCATGCCGACGCAGCCACTATTACTACTAGCTGCATGGCCGTCCGTGGACCGGCATTAGGGGTGCTCGGATGAGATACTCCTTAGCCCTACGACCTCACTGTTTGGCCTTTTCATAAATCGTGCTCTTTTGCGCGTGTCTCCTATAGGCATTCGCACCCGTTTCAATTATTTTCTTCCGTGATGCGCAGTCCACTTCGAACTATCCTTCTTGGATTCTTGGGGGTGTGTTCGGTTCGTGGACATGCTCATAAGTCCCCCTTGAATCTTGATCAAGCCTATCGCATAGATGTTCATTCCCATGTGGTCCCCCAGATCTGGAAAGACGCTATGATTGAGGCGGGATACCCCATTCAGGATGGTGCACTGTACGCTGATGGGTTCCCGGTGCCAGACTGGACGCTGGGAGATCATATTACGACAATGGACACTCTGGGGGTGAACTACTCGACCATCAGTATTAGTGCCCCTGGAGTTTTCTTCATTCAGGACCCGTCCAAGGCGCATGCGCTGGCGCGTAGGATTAATCGGGAGATGCACAATTACACCGTGCAGTATCCTCATCGTCTCGGCGCCTTGTGCCTGTTGCCATTGCCTCATGTCAGAGAGGCCTTGATTGAACTCGAAGTAGCCCTTCCCCGTCCTCAATCGTCCATGGATTTGCATACTAAGAACAACAGCACTGTCTCGATACTCTCAAATTTGTCGGTATTGCTACTTTCACCAATTCCAATGGCACGTACCTCGGCGACGCCTCTCTAGATCCAATCTTCGAGGCGCTGAACGCCCGCAAAGCGCCCGTCTTCATCCACCCGGCTGCACCGGGTTGCAACAGCGTTTTCATGGGCTACCCCATCCCCATGACCGAGTATCCATTCGATACGGTGCGTGCCGTCGAGAATCTGCTGCTTACCGGTCAGCGCGCCAGCTACCCGAACATCAGCATGATCTTCGCGCACGGAGGAGGCGCAATTCCATACCTGGCCACTCGCATTGCGGGGATGTCTTCAATGCCATTCTTGGGCGGCTGGAATGTCACGGAATCGGTGAAGCAGTTGGCAGGTTATTATTTTGACACGGCATCTGCGACATCAGCAATTCAGTTAGCTGCTCTGAGGGGCTTCATTGGCGTTGGGAAAATTTTGACGGGAACTGACTGTGGGTTCTTCTAGACTCCTTGGTTTAGATTTCAAGGAATGAGGTTGCTAATGGCTTAGACCCTTATGTTCCTACTACGCAGGCTCAGCCTGCTGTCAAATCGATGCAGGTCAACGGGGAATTCAATTCATCCGAAATGGCGCGGATTAATCATCGGAATGCGCTGTCGATATTTCCAAGGGTTGCGGAGGTCCTGCGCATGGAATGATTGTCGATCTGAGGAGACTTGTCAGACCTACTGCAGTGAGAGGACTGGGTGTATATTGATTCAAGTAAATAAACTATTATACAACCCTCAGTGATACAAAGCGAGAAAGAAGCGCGAAACAGGGAGTTGTTCTACTTCGAGCTAGGCAAATCAATACTAGTATCCTAATGGGGTATCTCAGGCAGCTGGGGGTCCTTTGCTGGACCATCATCACCCAAAGTATCATCCGGCGCACATTTTGTAAACCAAGTCCTTGCCGTGTTTTTGAGTGAGTCCATCACCACATGCTGGTCCGCATGGCCATTTCCATCCAGGTCAGGGTAGTAAGTACAGGCTGCTGGACCCATGCCCATGAACGCTGGCTTGGATGAATCAGTAGCCTCGAACTTCCACTTGGACTCATGCTCCTTAGCACCCTCCCTTGGCCCGTGGTTATACCACACTGTTCCATCCCCGTTGAACAGGTTCGTCCGAATGATGTCCGCTCTACCGTCGCCGTCAACATCGGCAAACTGCAAACCTGAGCGTTCGCCATAATCGCCTGCCCAGATCATGCCCATCGGATGCCACGCGTCTCCACGGTGTTCGAACGCGTCGACCTGCCCAAGACTGCTGATGCAGAGGAAATCATCTTGCCCGTTCCCTGTGATATCGGCGAATCGCACAGCAGGATCCAACGGCCCAGCTCCATTCCGAGCATCGCAGCGGACAAGCGTCGAAACCCATGTGGCCCAATCTCCAGCGCTAAACGGTCGGGTTGGGCTGTATCCGTTTCGAAAGATCATGAGCTTGCCGCTGTCCTCGGGGTACGTACGCACGATGTCACAGGCTCCGTCGTTGTCCCAGTCCGTCAGGTGGAGGTTTGCTCGGTCTAGGGGACCTACGCCAATTGCAATCGGGTCGAAGATCAGCTCCCCATCAGTCCAGAAACTGTCGCCATTGTCGGATACGCTGTCGAAACCTTTGTTGGAGTATAACGTCATCTTTTTCCCTCTACGCTGACCCAGACGTAATCCATCATGCCGTTGCTGTGGCCGAGCATGTTGCAGTAGCGGTTTCCATCAGCTGCCGCAGAAGGTATTTTAGCACAGATTGAATGGAATAGGACATTTGATAACTTGGCTTAGATATACTTACATTTGATCATGGTTCCTCCGGTCCCTCGATTCCTCCACAGATCGATGTAAACATAGCCCTTCTTTGACCTGACAAACACATAATCACGATTTGACTCGGAGAATACTTTGGCGAAATTAATCCGTTCTCGGAGGCCGTCTTTCGCAAATGAACCCATCCCACCATGAGTGGGCCCCTCGTTCTTTCCTTTGTGGAAAGCCTGACGCCATTCGACGTTGGGTCCATCTCCTTCATCGCCTTTTACACAACTTCGAGAATTCGTCTACGTTGTTACTTGTCCGTCGTCTCGAACCCATATCCAGTCATCTCTGCCCTTGTGATTATCAGTGGTGTCAGGAATCTTGTGTACCAAACCAAGGGGAATAAGTACTCACATCACCATTGATGTCCATAAAACGCACGCCGCGAATGTCATCCATGCCTTTGCCGGTAAAGCGCTTGCCCATTGATTGCCATACTATGGGCTTGTCATCTGCACTAAAGTTAGAAACTTGAGGTCTTAAGGCACGGTATGCCCTGACTCAAGGTTGACCTACTTGCTCCTCCCATGTTACGCCAACAATGAATATCACCGTCATCGTGGATCACGCAGTAATCAGTCCGTCCGTCTCCATCAATGTCTCCTAGTCGAACATGATCCCTATCATAGCCTTCCGGATCCTTGATCTTGGTAATGTCGCAAAAGGTCGGTGCAATTTCATCGTTCCCGTTGCCTAGGTTTAGGCTGGCGTAGGCGGTCCCATCTGGACCAATGCACACGAAATCATCCAATCCATCCCCTTGGTCTATTAGCATACATTGCAAAACTTGAAGTTTCCATGTTAAGACTCACCATTGAGGTCGCGGAAGTTCACACCAGCTGAGCCACAGTTACTATTAACATCCAATTGGTCTTTGTGAAAATTGAATGTCTCATTTGCTCTCTTAATCCCCGGCCCCTTGTTCTGCCAAATCGTATACACAGTCCTAGAAGGGTCCATCTCATCCTGGGTCATCCTCAACATATCACTTCTTTGCGGCGAAAACAGCCTCGCAAAGAACGTCTCATCTCTTTCCTTAGCCGGTTCCCCGCCGGCCAATGCCAGCACCTCCCCTATTGACTCGGCGTCGTGATAGTAGATTCCGTCGTCCTGGCCGCTGCCTCGCTGCGTCAACCCGCCCGCGTCAACGCCATTATATCGGCTTTTCTCACATATTCCAGCCCACGGTCCTACGTCAGGAATCTTTTGCTCCTTCGCCGCGGCTTCAATGGCTCTGAACCATATCTCCGCCATCTTCTTGTAACCGGCCTCGCTGGGATGCGAAGGATCAGGTGGGTTGTTTCCATTTTTGTAGTCCTCGGGATACCTGATCCAACCGTTTCCCGGGGAAGGCTTGAGAGGATCCATATCGGCGAGGTAGATCGAGACACCTTCTTTCTTCATAGCGAGGACCAACTCTCGGAATTGCCGGTTGGCTTCGATGCGGTTTTTCTCAATTACGTTATCCTTCGAAAAGAGGAGTGTTGACAGGACGATGACTGTCTTGCTCATTCCTTTGCTATGCACAATACTCTCAATGAGCGAGCGCATGCGTCGGCCAGCGTTTGGGATATCAATATTTTTGGCGCAGTCGTTGGTCCCGGCGTTGATCAAGACGATGTTCGGCTTGAAGTGCAGGGATCTTTGCGCTGCTGCTTTCACTTGGTCAATAGTGTCGCCGGGGGTGGCCTCGACGTCCTGAAGGGGTTAGTTGACTACTTGCAGACAGCTTTGTGTGGAGAGTGTTTCGATTTGGAGGCTTACATTGTCCCTCATGTTTCCATGTTTTTTAGTCCCAACCATATTGATTTCATTGCCTTGCCATTGAAGACGATCCCGCAAGGGTTTCCGGTAACCATTTCCCGAAGCAGAGTTCTGACCCCAGGTGATGGAGGCGCCGAGAGAGAGAACTCGCAGTTTGTACCGAGTGTCTTTGTCGTTTCTTTTGGCCCATGAATAACCATCAGAGGACATATTAATGCCCACGCGACCATTTTTTTGAGGAATCATCGCACTCTGCACGTTGAGGAAGAGGAGGCAACAAAGTAGAACAAGAGACGCGAAAAGAGGTTTCGAAGCCATATTGGGCGAACGTTGGAGATATGCAATAATTGAAAGCCAGAAGGCGCGAGGTTTAATGATCTTCACGTCTGAGGTCGAATACCTGCTCTACATATACAAATTTCTTCGAGAGTAGATTCACCTAGACCAACAAAGGGACCCTCGACTGATTATTTTAGATATCGTCACTCATATCAAATTGGACTTCATATGGGAGGTTCCCGTTGATTTCAGAGCCCTAGCTATTAACTTTTACCTAACCTGGCATTCACATCAATTCATGGCTACATTTGTACCACCACCGGTCTTGTACTAAGCCAGCCAATTACTCGGAATATCCCATGATCGCTTTATCGTCTAGGTCTAGTCGGCCGATTTACGATTATACGATGGTAAGAATATGAGAGGACAATATGTACAACCTTGCAATGAATATCCATTTCAATGGTCTGGAGTTCTGCGCATTCAGGAATGACCTCTCTAGTTACATGGGATGAGAATATAGGCCTGATTCAGTTCGGTATACCTTACAAGACGAATGTACATGTCTGACGAACCAAGTGGAGGCCCGTTTCCTCACGCATAGTCACCAGCATACAAAGAATTATTTTTGAATCCGCTTTCTTATTCGCCAGGGCCCATCTTCATGGTGATGATCAAGGACACGCACCGCCTAAAGCTGAAACCGTCTCTTTGTCTGCTGGGGATACACGAGTACAGGGGGCACAACTACGATACCAGGTAGCATGGCTGAAAGGTAAAATGACCTGTTATCCTTTGTGCCTGCTCTAAAAATACGCCAGTCAAGGCAAAGCCCGTAACGACTGTGACATGTCCCGATGCAACCCCATCTCGACCCGGTTTGTGGTGGTTGCTTCGGGAGACTTTTGTACCCCAGATATTATTATCATTATATTCTGTTCGGAGGAAAGATGTTAGCATGTTCTAGAATGTGTAGATTACATCTGCCAGCATTCTTAGGTTATTTGGGATGGCCTCCCCAATTAGTTCCAGTCCATTCGTTCTTGGTGAAAGGCATCAACCGGGGCAAACAGGGATATATAGTGGAGAGTGGAAAGATGAATTTTGGTAAAGAATGTGTAGATTGTTGGAACCACTACCGAGTGACCAAGGGGGTCTGTCCATGTCCAAGTTTAAGGAATGAATCTAAAGGCCAATTTCACTGCATGCTGGAAGTGCTTCACAAAATGACAGTAAATCATGGATGCCTTACAAAGGAGGCACCGAGAGAGAGAGTGACGCATAGAGAGGCTAGGCCAAAGGGGGTCTAGCGTGACACGTGCGAGTACACGGATAGCAGCTTCCCAAATGGGCAAAGCGCCCGCTGGATGTGGGGGAACCTTTCAACCTTCAATTTTCCCCAAGGCATACCAATCCTCCATCGATGAGTGGCTTAAGTCGGATGAATTATGGAAGATGGTATTTGTCGCCTTGCTACGAATAAAGATGGCCGTCAATCTGAGCCACGAGGTCATCCACAGTCACCGAATCCCAAATGCTATTCACCCAGAGAATGTCTTTCACTAGACCCACCGCCTCGCGACCGGTCATCATGCAGAGCAACTCCATCAGACGACAGATATCGTTGATGTATCCGGTCTCTCCTGGAACGGAGATAGGGTCCGACATCTCAACGAGCGAAACGATAACCAAGGCCCAGAGCTGGACTTTCCAAAGGGACGTCGAGGCGCTTTGAATGTCTCGCAGGCGGTCAATCACAGTCGATAGTTTTTCACGGAGGAAGGTTGCCTCTCGCGCGGCCAATTGAAACTTGTCGTTCTTGATCGTCGCGAGCATGATGAGTATCGACAGTCGGATCATCTCTTTCGTGAGCTCAGCGGACTTGGCTGTGTTCACCTCTTTGCCATCGTCGTTGCTGGGAGGCTCATCCTTGGTCGAACGGCCAGTCGTTGGCGTTGAATACACCGGTCTATCCATCGAAAGCAGAAAGTGCGTCACTGGACCGAACAGTTTGATGGCGAGGATGCTCTCCTCGTTCTTCCAGTAACCTGGGGGCTGATGTGCATTGTCGTTGAGGTATGTGACCCCAATTGCAACCTTTTCGAATGCCGTGCAAACGTCCTCGAAGACTGGATGGTGCAAGGCAATGTCAGAAACCAAGTATCGCAAGAATGGAGCGCTGTAGATCTGGTCGCTTTCTGAATCGAACAGTTTTATTACGTCCGGGTCAAAGCCGGCAAATCGAGGAGAAAGATCCTCAACTACACTCGTGATGACATCAAACCTACTAATGTCAGCACTTCGCTTACTTGATCAGAGCGCAAAAAAGATTACCATGGAACGAAAAGCGGAATGGTCTCGTGAAGCCCGTCGTATCCTCCTCGCACTTGGATAATTCGCTGAACTCCCGCCAAGTGAGCCCGCGAGCGAGCCAATGTCCCAACATAAAGCTTCAAAGTGGTGAGCAAGGTGTTTCGTACTTGAGGACTGAAGTAGGGCCTCAAACCTCATGACAAATGAGCCCCAGAATGGTTGTTATGACACCGGCGCTTACGCGATCGTTCGAATTTTCCAATCGGCGTGTTACCTCCTTGACGCATTTGCCGTAGAACGTCAAGCACTCGACGCTTTTCTCGTACTGATATGCCTTTCTTTGGTGAATCTGATCCAGAAACATCGCAGCGTTTGCCAAAGATACGAGGAAGGCGCTAGCGTCCGTCATGGCCATCGAGAACCAGATCGCTCGAAACGGTCGGAAAACATAGTCTGAATCGGCACTCACTGGCTTGGTTAGTCGAGAGTACACCCAGGTAGGATATAGTCTCCTCACTGAAATGGATGAGCTGTTTGATTCGATCGTCCAGTGGGATCGGGTAGTAGGAGGCATTATACGGGTCGAACACGATCGGCTTTCGTGAAGAATATGGAGCCAACTCGTCGTGCGATGAGCTGGTTGAACTCCTATCATCATCCAGAATCCCATCTTTCAAAGATAACTCCCATGTCTGCGGTCGCTTGCGCGATCGTCTAGACTTCCCAATTTCTCGCATTGCATGTCGCCGGATCGTACGTCGTGTGCCCTTGGCCTTCAAGTCATCCGGACGAGAAATATGCACGAAAACGAGATCTTCTTCTTCTCCCTCCTGAACGACTGGTCGCATCTTGCTTGAGGTATTGAGTGTCTGACTAGGTTCCGAGGGTCTGAGTGTCTGCAATGGAAATAGCTTCGTCAACAAGAATAAGGCTCCGTCGCTGGCTGATTTGGCCCCCAAACCTCGTATCCTGGGACCCAATAAATGGGGACCGGAACAGGACTGCTGGCCTTGGTGAAACTAGCTATGTTGGAAGGGGCTAGAGGAGGATAAGCCGCGTATGAATCCTTGCTCTGATTTGCATTCTTCCGTGATCTTCCACTCCACACGTTGCTGAGCGCACTTTATAGTAGGTCGCCTGAACAAGAATACTCCTATATCGGCACTCAGCGGCCATTATTAGGTGAGAAGAAACGCTATTTCTACTCATACAGCGTGGCTTCGCTCATCACCAAGCATCGGGCTGGCTTCACTATTAGTGGAGTCAGCATTTGTAACTTGACAGTGGCGATATCGTAAGCAGAGCAGGGGTGATTACGACATGCCATAGCTATGTCGATCATCCTTTCAACATATGCAACCTAAATGTTTATTCCATGCACGCCTATAGCTTCGCTTTGACCCTCTCATCTCGCACCACCAGCCGCTTCCCAGAGCTTCCCTTCCTTTCCATGTCTCGAAGAACTCTCCGCAGGATCTTTCCGCTGGCGCTCTTCGGAACTTCGTTGACAAATTCCACCTCCACAATCCATTTATGACGCACTTTCTTCGCTCGCACGTACTCGATTATGTCTCTGCCTACGTCCACTAGCCCAAACCCGCTGCCCAACCTTTCTCTCTCGCTTGATTGAAGAACCACGTATGCTTTCGGTCTTTCTCCTGAATAATCATCTGGGATCGCAGTTACGGCCGCATCTTCAATATCCTCCCGGCCAAGGAGCAGGTCCTCCAGCTCAGCCGGGGACACACCGATTCCCTTGACTTTGATCATCTCTTTGATACGGTCGGTGATGGTTAAGAACCCCTCCTCGTCCATGAATCCGATATCTCCGGTGTGCAACCACCCTTCAGCGTCAAATGTCTTGCGCGTTGCTTCCTCGTTGTCTAAATACCCCATCACGATCTGTGGCCCTCGCGCCAGGATTTCTCCCGGTTCATTGTAGCCCGTCTCGCGGCCAGTTTCCGGGTCCACGATTTTCACTTCTGTGTTGGCGACAATGGTCCCTACCCGGTGGGCATACCGGTAGGATTGTTTCTCGGGCGGATGCATCGTGATGCAACTGCATGATTCCGTCATGCCGTATCCCTGTTTGAATCCAGTCCCCGGATACCGATTCTCCAACTTCTGGAGCAACTCTTCCGCGATGGGGGCGGCTCCAGATGTGAATGCTTTCACATGGGACAAGTCGTACTTCCTCGCGTTGGGGTCCTGTAGGAGTCGGATCAAAATCGGCGGCACTAGCAGGAGCTCCGTGATCTTATTGTCGACCACGGTTTCGAGCATGCTAGTCATATCGAAGGACGGGAGCATGTAAACCTGGGTATTTAACAGGACTGGAAGATGCATTTGATGCACGAGGCCGGTAACTGTATGTATTGGTTAGGACTGGGGATTCTCTCTGGCGGCTCTCTCCGAGGGGTGAAAAGACGGACTATGGAAAAGTGGTAAGACTGCCAGTGACTTCTTATAATCGGGCGACATGAGCTGTTGCACCTGCATACACTGCGCGATGACATTGTGATGGGCGATCATAACCTGGGCATATGAGTGAGCATTCGTCTAACACAACATGAAATGGACAAGAACATACTGCCTTAGGAAGCCCGGTGGTCCCGCTACTGAAGCTCAAGAATCCACATACGTCCCGATTGGTTTCGCCGTCTGCCAACTCGAACGGTGCGACCTGTCCATCATCACCAAAGCTCTTTCCGATGTCGCAGAGCTCCTGGACATTCATGTACCCGTCATCCTCTCCCTCCAGTAGGAAGATGCGATCGGCAGGTATACCGGCGTTCTTAGCCGCTGGAATAGCAACTTCCATCGACGAGGGTACCGTCATCAGATACTTCGCCTTGGCAGTCTTCAAAGCGTATGTCGTTTCCTCGATGTTATATGCAGGGGAGGCTCCCGATACAATGCCGCCTGATCTCATACTGTTAGATGTCGGCATCGACCAGAGCCCGGGAACCGGAGATACATACCAACGCGAACCGTCGCAAGCATCGCAACAGGATACCAGATCGTGTTCGGGCTAAACAGCGCTACCGTGTCGCCTTTTTCGAGTCCATAGTTGCGAACCAGTGCGGTGGATAGATAAGTCGTGTGGTCTTTGACTTCGTCGTAGCGGATTCGTTCGTGGGTTGCGGCGTTGATGAAGGCGCCCAGCTCGGTCGGGTGGACGCGACGCAGAGGCGAGTATTCCGAGTCGAAGAGGAAGTCCCAGATGGGGAGGGTTACAGGAACTATCGGTGAGTTGTCAGTTGAGGTCTGATTCTAATCCGCATTCCAGGGTGGGTATCTACTCTGAAGACACGGTCGCGTGGAGGAAAAGATCATGGTGTGAGATTGGATATCCGGCCGGGGATTACAGAGAAGAAGAGTCAGCCAACGTTTGGCCGAGGGAATGTCGGTCAATTGAAAGATGCGGGGGGAGGGATCTGCTGTCGATTAAAAACCTCGACGCAGCGAGCAAAAGACGTCCTTGTAGACGATCCTCGGCTTTCCCCGCATTTGGTTTTAATTAAGTCCGGCTTGGTCTCACTCAGCTTACTGGCATTGCTGGACGGCGGATAATCCGGGGCTGAAGAGGCATGTTTCTCCCTTGACTGTTTTGGTCTAGCTATGCAGCAGTGGCTTTTCTCTCTGGTTGTATCTGAACCTCTGGGTTGCTGCCATTCCTGTGCTCGCCTGCCAGTCCATCATGGATATCAACGCTTGAACATTGCTGCGCTGTTGTTTGCTCTTAGAGTCCTCAGCTGGAATACTAATCCTTCGTTATGCCCCTCACAGGTTCACCTTGGCCCAGGTGTGACGGGTTTGCTTGACTAGGTTGCATCTTGTTTGGGCGATGCGATGAGCAGGGAAGAGCGAGAACCTAAAAGGCCTGAAAACAGCACCTCTTAGCAGAAAAAGGGACAAAGAGTATTCCAATCAAGTGTTCGATCTTAGCCACACAACCAAAAATGGAGGGAATAACCCCCTGATCACTATCCCCACGGGGTATCAGAGCAATCTGAAACATTCTGGCTGCATCTCAAACCGCCAGCACCACCTCGTTTCGCCGACGAAGGATATCCAGCGAACCATCCAAGGTGGTATCGGTCTCATCCCAAATGCTTCTCACGATCTCATACTGCCGTTTGAGTGTCCCGATCCCATACCTCTGGATGCGGAACCACCACTGGTGCCAGGGCTCCCAATGATAAGCATTGCAGGAGGCGATCAAAGCAGGCCAAGTGATAGGTGCCATTTGGATGTCTTAAAATCCATATTTGAGGTCTTCGGCAGAATGCAAATATGCGGCAACCGAAGCGGTCTCGTCAGCCAGGTCTTCCGGTCTACAGTACTGGATGCGGGACAGATAGTAGATAACGGCACCGTGGTACCAAGCGTATGCGTGCAGTTCGAAGATCCTCAACATTGTCGCACCCTGGCCAGAAAAAGAGGCGACTTTGTCAATGTCGAGGGACCATGCTAGGAGTCGATCACCGAGGGATTCGCAGGCCTCCAGGAGGTCGTCGGGTGGTGGAGCCTGATGCTGCCGGTAAAAACCTAGATATTCGGCTAATTCGGAGGTGTGTTGAATGAATGCGGTCACCTCCGCTGTGATGCCGTAGATGTATTCATAGCAGTAGGTCGAGTCGCTCGTTGAAGATATATTGAACCTGTCATATCGAGCGTTTGCTTCTGCTGACCAAGCGGATGGAGATGTATGTATGGATGTCGTTCGGGATAAGAGATTTAGAAATGCACTCATGTTGTCCAATTGACGGGTCTGAGAACTCAGCAACTGCCATTTCCTGCGCGGCTGCTTCACTTGCTGGATTCCTGTTAGAACATGGAAGTCGATTATATTGCCTTCCATTACCTTAAAGACGTTGATTTAGTTCATGCGGGATACTGGAAGACAACATACCCCGACCGTAATCATAGACAGAAGAGTCACCATAAACTTTTTATAGATACGCCGGCTTGGCTCCCCTACCCAGAGCGGGCTGCATAGATTCAAGGGCAACCTGCCTGTGGAGAATGCCGAGCCCATGATACCGGCAGTCGGGTCCTAGGCATCCATGTAGATGGAAAGTACCAGTGGCCACGAGTGAGTGAAAGATGTATAGCCCAATGCTGTTGGCAGCACGATAAGGACGTGAGACGAAGTGCGATGAACCCTCAATAGCGACAGGGGCGTAGAGTGAACGGTAGGGATTATTGGGGTGGGAGAGATGCTGGAGGACGTTGGCAACGTTGTTGATATAATGATGAAAAAGTGCATTGGTTCGTGAGTCGTTGGATAATGGCAACTGCGGCTGGTATTGCAGGGTTACTTCAGCCTCCATAGGATTGTAGATAATGTTGGTAGTCGAATCGTTCGCTTGATTCTTCGAGAAATTGATTGTTACTATGTTTGGAATCTCGGGCAACCGCGCGCGCTCGGTGAGATTAGCAGTACGTACTGGGTGCGATGTATGATTAGGGTGGTATCTGGACTTGATTCTGCGTCACGGTAGTCGGTCGAGGTTTGCTCGTCTGCAGTGTGTTGCTCTTGGAGAGGTGAATGTCCCGGGTCTACTGCCTCCAGGGAACATTCTTTACAGCAATCTACCGGGTTGGGAAATGACGAAAAAGGCCCATGAGTTGAAGGCACACCACGACCAGCATCATCCTCAAGGATACAAACGAGGCGATCAATTTGGTCGAGCTGGAGCGAACGGTCAGGCCAACCTGGTAGAGGTCAACAAACTGTCCAACGGCATTACCAGAAGATTATCTAGATACCTACCGGTTCAAATCTTCCTCCTTCCTATGCCACTAGTCCTACGCTCTCGAGAAGAGCCTTCAGCTTTCTCCGAGACCCACTGTAGCTTAATATCATACCCACCGCAGGGCAGGCTGCAACCAGCGCAACCCCGGGGATTCTCGTGACATTTCATTTTGCGGGCTTTACATGTCCAGCATCTTGGAGTGAAATGTCAGTCAGTTCTTCCATGTGAGGGAAGAGGAATAGTTCACCCTGAAAATTCAATGGCTCTTTCGATTGTATCCGGCATGACTCGGCGAAACTACATGAGGGCATTCGTGGAAGAAAGATTTCTCTGGGCGGCGATTCATTCCTTGTGCAATCCGCCTACTGCGCATAGGTCTTAATTACTAAGCTGCATAAATTGGCATAACGCTAGCGCGATCTGGACATCCCAATGGGAAAAGATCATAACAGAAATCTTCTCTTGTGCAGATAGTGCTTCTCATTTAATTTACGTATGTACGACTGCCATTAACGTTGTGGATTTGGTACTTCGAAATTTGTGGAACTCCCATTCCTTACAATAGTAGGAGATCATGGTTGTTGAACTTCAGTACGGAGATTGTATTATATATATATATATATAGAATCCCAAGTGTTGCAGAATGACCATTATGGAGATCGAAATGATGTAAGGGAGTATATGAATGCCTAAATTAGGTGTTGATATTGTGAGTGCCGCATACCGTTGTAGGAAAAAAAAAAAAAAGGTGTCATGTATAACATCCCAAGTATCATAATCGCCCTTAACTATGATATACCGTACCAACCTTGAATCTCTAGCTACCATGGAATGGCTCATTTAGTATACTAGGATGATGATCTGCGAAGTTGAAAAGATATGGGATCGCTAGATGTTATAATCATTTAATCGAGTTCGGGCCATCTAAATCATAGCTCATGAAATGGGTTTCAGAAAGAGAGTTGCGTTGGAGTCGCCGTTGCTGGGGCCTGGGTCTGACGGCTTCAGGTCCCAATGCCAGCGATAATGTGTCGTTCGAATATTGTTAAAGGTAGCTTCCAGACATAAGAGCATGGAATGAGTACTGGGGCCGCTATCCGATGGAGCGGCTTCATAAATATGGAATTGAGGACGGAGCGGATTCACCCTAATGAGGTCATACTAATTTTACCGAGGAACGCAGGGTCCAAGTGCAGGGACTTGGAAGGAGCATATCACGACCTGATGAACGATATGAACTTGTTTGAATTATTATCAAACGTTCATGATACAGTTAGCAAGACATGCATCCAGCACGGCATCATCGCAGAGCCTTGCACATGCTGATATCCTTACACAGTACTCCGTAGCTCCAGCGACAAGTACAACAATGAAGATATTTCTGCCTATCACCTGTCACACGGACCATGACAAAATGAAACACGACCCACGACCCACACCACAAGAGCGAGCAATCAAATTGGGCAGCAGCGAAGTTGGAAAGCAAGAAACCATTACTTGAAAGTTATGAGGCGAGCGAGGATAGCGATATATCCGGCATCAAAATTGGCCCTGAATGTTCGAGACCCGCCCTTGACCTGAGCCCACATGGTTGACATCAGCAAATCAGGATGTACGGTCGCCAATCGGAAGAACGGCACCAGGTGGCCTTCATTGGGCCCGGATCAGGTCCCGTTGCTGTTGCTTATCGCTGGCGTTGGTCGACGAAAATTTTTTTCATGTTTTGCCTGAAACCGTTGCGCCTTGATAGTCGGTTAGGCTCGGTTCACCTCGGAGGAAAGAATCGGTTAGACCGGGACCGTGAGACATCAGCCACTTTACCGTCAATAGCCGAGACTACGGACGCTTATTATTGGCTCAGATCACGGCAGCCACAGGCGGCTGTGGCTGATGCGTTGATGTATAGAAGAAAGGCCCCATCGCGGAAAGGAATGGAGCTTCGACCAGTGTCCATGTCGGCTTCTGTTTGGCAGCTCGGAGGCGTCGCAGGTGGAACTATACAATATCTCCGGCCATGATGACACTTTTTTTTTTCGCTTTTTTCTCTCTCCAGGGCCTGGCCTGGATGCCACTCCACGGAGTCCACTCCCCAGTATATTAGTAGACTGTAGAGCCCGGTTTTACTCAGATTCCTCTCTTTTTTCTGTAGATCTATACAATCAATTGAACGCACGGGCAGCTTTAGCCAAGCTCAATCGGCCATCCATCGGCTCACCATGGACCGCTCAACGACCCATGACGTACCGACCTACCACGATGACGATACCCAATACCCGGACAACATGAAAATGTCCAGTGACGACTCCTCCGACACGGCCGATGATCTCGACTCGTTGGAACTCAATCGGATCAACACATACCGACTGCAACAGAAATCTACCGTAGGGTCGACTCGGGGCCCCCTCCCGCGCGAACAATGGCTTCCTATGGGGGCCGGAAAAGAATACCCGCCTCTGCTGCCCGCCCCGGAAAATTATGTCGTGGAATTTGATGGATCGGATGACCCAATGCACCCGTACAACTGGTCGATACTGAGGAGGTGGGTGGACTTGCCGTTATAGAAATGACTGTAGATCCTAACTGTGTGTTCTCATCAGGACATTCCTGGTCTGTGTTTTGTGTTATGGCACTTTCGTTGCGTCGTTCGCGAGTGCCGTCTTCTCGGCTGCTATTGCTGCCGTTAGCCAAGAGTTCAATGTAAGCTCCGAGGTAGGCTCTCTCGGAGTCACCTTGTATGTCTTGGGATTTGCCGCAGGTCCGACTATGTGGGCGCCTGCCTCCGAGTTGATCGGACGACGCTGGCCGCTGTCTATCGGGTTATTCGGATGCGGAATCTTCACTGTCGCCTGCGGAGCGGCGAAGGATATCCAGACAATCATGCTATGCCGTTTCTTCGGGGGTTTCTTTGCAGCTAGTCCGGTGTCCATCGTGCCGGCCGTCTTTGCTGATCTGTTCAACAATGCCCAACGAGGAGCTGTGATGTCCATTTTCTGCATGGCTGTCTTCATCGGACCATTCGCCGCGCCATTTGTCGGTGGGTTCATTGCAACGAGTAATTTGGGATGGCGATGGACGATGTACATCTCTGCCATCATGATCTTCTCGGGTTTTGCCCTCGTCCTGTTCTTCCTGGACGAGTCCTACGCCCCCGTTATCTTGGTTCGCAAGGCCGCCATCATTCGTCGTCAGACACACAACTGGGGCATACACGCCAAGCAGGACGAGGTTGAGGTCGAAATCAAGGAGCTTCTGCACAACAACTTCATGCGCCCCATCAAGATGCTAATCTCCGAACCTATCCTCCTTCTCATCTCTCTTTATATCTCCTTCATCTACGGCCTTATGTATGCTCTTCTCGGCGCTTACCCCGTCGTCTTTCAGGGGGTGTATGGCATGAGTATAGGTGTGGGTGGATTGGCATTCATCGGCCTTATCATTGGGGAGCTCGTGGGAGGTGTCTACATCCTGTTTTTGCAGAGCTCTTACGCCCGCAAGCTAGCGGCAAATGGAGACAAGCCCATTCCCGAATGGCGTCTTCCGCCCGCCATTGTGGGTGCCGTGGCATTTACAGGTGGGATGTTCTGGTAAGTCGTGGCCGACCACGTTCACGCAGGGAAAATACTAATAGTTCGTCAGGTTTGGTTGGGCCGGTTACAAGGCATCTACCCATTGGATGGCTCCGGTTGCCTCCGGTGTCCTGACTGGTTTTGGTATCTTCTGCATCTTCCTTCAATGCTTCAACTACATCGTGGATTGCTACCCTACGTTGTATGTTCGCTTGCCTATTCCCATATATTGACTTTAGCTAATTAACATCACAGGGCCGCATCTACTATTGCTGCAAACACCATCCTTCGGTCCGCCGTGGGATGTGCATTCCCTTTGTTCTCCAGGCAAATGATGGAGAACCTTGGTGTACAATGGGCAGGCACTATGCTTGGATGCATTGCTGCGGTACTGATTCCCATCCCGGTTGTTTTCAAGGCCTATGGCCCTTGGCTTCGAGCGAAAAGCAAACTAGCCTGCTCGCCAGTTTATGATGTCGAGAAAAAGTCTTACGATGTTTGATTTGTTCTGAGCTTTTTGTTCCCTCAGCGAGATACCACTTGTTTTATCAATTTGAGCGTGATGCATTTGCGTGTTAGACACGCATAGATGAGGTACACCAATTTAATGACTGCTTCATGATATACCCCGGTTTTCCCTTGCTTCGAAAAGAAGAGAAACATCGCCCTTCATTCCCAATGTCAAAACAGTAGCACTCCCACTCAAGTCTTCTTTGCCCTTCGGTAGACAGATTCATCGCTCTCGTCTGCTTTTTTCTTCCCCAATGAAGCCTGATACCGACTGAATAGGACCTTGCCCCACGAACCGGTTTATGGATGTTGACGAATGCAAGGCCTGGTGTCGATAGTCCTGTCTTGCCATTGTTTACCGCAAGGAAACTATCGGGGTTGGGTTTATCCCATCGCTGAGGATGGAGTAATGCTGCGTCGGGACTCTATTACTCTTCCGAGTAGTCTAGAGCGCTCGCGTTCAGGTTGATGGTTACTTTTGGCGGCAACGTATAGGTTTCGTCGTGATAAGTGATCGGGATAGGGTTTGAAGCGGTCCCTTTAGGGACCGTTACCATAAAGGCGAAGGGTTTCGAGCTATTAAAACAGTCAGCAAAATACTGGAGCAAAGGTTTATGGGGACTGATACATACCATCACACAAAGTGGTGCGATGAGTCAGGGAAACATCACGCTGTAGTTCCATTTGTCAGGATCAGAGGGTTGGTCTTTAGTTGCTCCAGCCGCACAATCCTGTAACCAATCTTGCACATCTGGATGCATAGCAAGAAGAACGACTGCGAACCGCAAAGTCGTTGTAGTTGTCTCGTGGCCGGCAATAGTGAATATGTGGAGGTTGCCAATAATCTCGGAGTCAGTGAGTCCGTCATGCTTTTGTTGGGACTGTATTATGCCCTGTAGTAGATCATGTGTATCTTTTTTTTTTTCTATCTTTTTTACACTCTCAATCAGTCCCTTAAGGTAACGTTTTAAATCTTCATATGCGACAAAGTCACTCTTGAAGAATGGCATCAGCATCCGCGGTACCCACTTTGGAATTACCATGTTTGCGAGAACTACAGTGTTCAACCGAGAATTCATATACTCAATCACTGCGCGAAATGTAAAAGTAAACCCCTTTGGTGGTACATCAATATCCTTGAACAGGAGATATCATCCGTAGCTGTTTGGCGAGATTCTGGTTGAAAGGGCAACGAGACGCCAAACCCTGCACCACAGATCACTTTGGGAGTGAGCTTTAGGATATCCGAGCTTGCAGTTGGTATGGTCATCTTGCCTTTGTTTGACGGGGTTCTATATTCTTTCTCCCAGTGAGCTATCATCTTCTGAGTCTGCTGAACCGCTATTCGCCAAACAAGATTATTGTTGCTCTCACTGAACGTGGTCGCCGTGTGACGACGATGGTGCGCCCATTGCGTGTCCTCACACTGGTGATTCCAACATTGCATTGGATTACAGTTCCTCAGATGAGTTAGTTCACAGTCAGAAGTTTAGGTCCGTATACTTCCAAGACCTCTAGAGGATCAAGGGCAACACCACTCCGATCATTCCAGGATATTCACTCACCGTATTGCCAGACAGGTTTCGGGAATTTGCGGCGCTCACAGCAGATTTGAGCAACAAATGCCGCATCGGCAACATTGAAACTCAGACTGTTGGCGTAACGACCATACTCACTCACTGGTCCTGGCTCCTTTGCTCGGCGGTATTTTACGGCCCACCGATAATTGACAACGTTGTCATTGATGATATCTGCTACCCATCTGGGAAGCGAATTATTCAGGACAGCCGATGGTCGGCATTCGAGGCAAGGAGTAGGGGCTTTTATTACTTTGACACATTTCAAGGCTTGCTGCAGTAGTGAGTTCTATGTTGCGTTACTCCATGATAAGCCATGCCAAGACGCATTTTGAGGCGTTTATATTGGTGGATGTGTTTGTAGGGTGTGATGTCTCGCCGTGCAGAAACCGCATGTTCAACCGACGAAGCAAACAAACAATACTGTCCGACACACACAGGTCAAGGTCCACATGAATTCAGATGACCGGACGCCTCTGTTTTCCCAGCCACGTCCTCTGCCGAGCTAAGTATAGTGAATGTTTAGAGGCAACATTAGACGCCGTAAAAAATCCACGATTATTGGGTTGCACCGTCTCCTAGTTTTAATAGTGCTGCAAGGCAATCGTCGATTGTGGCCCAGAAGAAATGGTAGAAAGCGTCTAACTAATGGCATAATCGTTTCAACGTACATGACTTCTTTTCCTTGGGTGCCTCGTCTAAGCCCTTGAAATAGGCAACTCAGCTGAATGGAGTTGCATGTTCGGCGAAGGTGCGTTTCCTCGCTCAGTTTTAGCGAAATTGCGCATTGTGATTAGCGTGTCAACATGAAGGGGTGCCTCACTCGCGTGATAAAAGGCCATGCTTTGGAGTCCCAATTATCATAGAAATGCAACTATAAGAAGGTAGCAGATAGGGTTTCGATCTTGTCTTCTGTCTCCCAGCCTTTTGAACAAAGACTGCCACACCAGATATGATCCAAACCACGCAATCCAGTGGACTATCGAAGGACCTCGTGTTCGTTGGTTGTGGGTGACCTCAAGAACTCGGATACCGCTCGAGGATTGTTCATGTCACGAGGATAGTCTCTCCATGGCTTTCTGATGTCGCGGACATTGAGGTTGTCGAGAACACATAGTGGTCTGCCATGAAAGCAAGTGAAATTCACTTCATTGCGGTTGGAAGTGGCGGATGAAGGAGTTCACAGGACGACTGGCAGATAGAATCCACGATCGATCTTGCTTGGAGTTTATAAACTATGGGTTCGACATGAGATCGACCCAGGGCCGAGAGAGCATACCTGCGGGCCGTCGTGGGCCGCCTTACATAGATATAATAACCTCACGAGGTCAGTTGCTGTTGCCTTGATTGACCTAGCGCTGTAAATAGGCAGGTTTGGAACCGCCGGACCAAAGTTGTTTATTTAGCTTAGATAGTTAGGATAAAGGTACAGAAACCTAAAAGATTACACTACATCTGAACCCGAATCTTAGTAGAAGCAAGAAGACCTTTTGACACAGAGCTTACTTACATGCAACTCCTAACTTTCTCTGATCCCACAACAAGCCTAACCAACAGACTCCAACCAGATACACCTCGATCAAAGAGCCGGGTTCTTATACCAAGGCTTCCACAGTACATTAACAGAATCTGAAGTGCTACACAATCATGGCCTCTGTAGGACTTAGTTCCAAACACCCAAGCGCGGCTGATCGTAGGAACACCAGAACTTAACCACGGCTATTTCGCACCGAAAACAACCTTTATTATTGAGATTTTTAGGAGAAAAATTTTCATGGTTGATGAAGAATAAGAAGAAAGTTGATCAATTTGGTTTCTCCTTCTGGTACGATCGCTTCGATTTGCCACGATCATCTCGATCTCGATCCTACGCGTACCTCGTATGAGTGGGTCGATTGACGATATCAAGGCGAATGGCAGTGCCGGGCTGAGCATCTAGCCAGTGGCAATCCGAAATTGATCTCGACCATCTCGATGATCTGATCGAGGGCAGAGCCATGATGCCATGTGGAGTTGGACTGGCACCAGTCCACGAGGTCGCCCCCGGGGTTACTCTGTCCTACAACGGAGTGGGCCTAATCCTAAAGCGCGGGGTTTCTAACGGCTCGCCAGGCCTGCATGGGTGTTTATTTGTGGGGAATCGGCGATGATCGAGATGCGATCGATCGATCTTGATCATTTGAATCAATGACGTCATGGGAATTACTGTTTCTCCAGCCCTTTTGGTGGAAGGCGTTCTCTCAAGTCGTTCTCCCTTCGTGTTTATCCAATCCCAATTTGAAACTAGATAGCTCCGTATAGATTATGTCGGGAGCAAAGGCTGGGTTTGCGATCGTGACGCCCGCGTCCAAGGGTTTGGGGTTCGCGTTTGCGCGTCAGTTGTTGGCGCATACGGATTTGCCGGTTGTTGCCACGGCGCGGAAGGATTGCGATGAAGTGAAAGGCAAATTACTCGATCGGCTGGATCGGCCTGGATCTGGCGATCTGGGGAAACGATTACATGTGTTGCAGGTAGATGTTACAAGTACGCTCAGCCCCCCTGGTTCGCGTCAAGAAGCTTATGATAGCAGATGAATCTACGATTGAGAGCTTGGCGTCCACGATTCGAGACACATACCCAGATACACCTTTACGTCTAGCGATCACTGTTCCTGGTATTCTGAACGTGGAAAAATCGCCGTCCCAGATCGATGCCGCTGCTGCGCTGGAGAGCTTCAGGGTCAACTCCCTCGGCCCGATGTTGCTCATGAAGCACCTCTCCGGGCTCTTGCCGACCAAATCTGCTGCGCCGTTTCTTGAATCAACAACTCATGAAGCGAACTTCAAGTTACCTACGCACGCTATCTACGCTATGATGGCTGCGCGCGTGGGCTCCATCTCTGACAACGGCTTTGGCGGGTGGTATTCCTACCGTGCCAGCAAAGCAGCCGTCTTTCAGCTGGCCAAGACATTCGACTTATTCTTAAGAACACGAAGCAAGGAGCGAGCACTGGCTGTAGCAATGCATCCTGGGACGGTACAGACGGACTTTACGAAGGACTACCAGGATGGAAGAGAGATGATTACGCCGGATGACTCGGCGGCCAGACTATTGGACGTGATCTGCGGTATTAAGCCCGAGACAAACGAGGGACGGGGAAAATGCTGGGACTGGAAAGGAGAAGAGGTTCAGCCTTGATTTCTCGCGCAAGTCTCCCTATAAGCATGCCGACTTCATGGGCTCCTTTGGTTTCCGTCACAACCTGTTAGGAACAATATACATTTTAGTACAATGCGATCCGTCGCCTCAGCGCGTTCAATTCGATTGAGTCTCCGGCTTCCTTCCATATACCACGGTACTGCTTATGTTAGCTGATGCTATCAGTAGATTGGGTCTATACTTACACCTCCTGATAAGGATGGATACTGGGATCATGCAGTCCTTTACGCATGCGGGTAAGGAATGCCTCAACTTCCTCGCGAGTCCACTGATTCCGTTAGTCTGGTTTAATATACGGCGTCAAATTTAGAAAACATACACCCAAATATTTGGTGAACAGCATCATCGTATATCCCTCAATCCCCTCCTGGGTGTGCATGCGATTCAACTTTCCCAGCAACTTCAGATGGGGGTCTTTAGCCCAAGGCCCGAACGGAACCTTGAATCGCTTCTCAACGACGTCCACGAAACCAGCGGCGATCAGCCCGTCGCGAGATTCGTCAACGATGCGCAACGTTTTTCCAAATGCATCACCGGCTGATAGCGACACCTTCCCCCACTCCTCGAAGATGGTGCCATCGGTCGTGCCGTCGTCGGACTTTGGTACCACGGATTGCTCGAGTTGTTCGATATACCCGCCTGGTTTGATATGGTTGTACGCTTCTTTGTAGAAGGCACCCCAGTCCGCCACGCAGCCGTACAGCCCACGAATATGTACGTAGTCGAAGTAGTCCTTTCGGAACAGCCACGGGTCGCAACAGTCGTCGACTTCAAATTGGAGATTGGGTGGGACGAACGAGGGTTGGATCGGGGAGAGATCGGTACCAATGACCCTAGCGGATGGGTGCATGTCGGCGAACTCACTGGATGAAGGTTATTCAACACTTCTTTCGCTTTGTTCATCGCATTTCAGTGGCACATACATGGCCCAATTACCGGTTCCTGTACCAACATCCAAGACGGCCTTCTACTTAGCTTGGCTTCAATGTGGGTGCAGCGAAGATCTCACCTCCAGGTTCTGCGGGATCGGTGCTAAATACAGCTGGCCTCGCAGAATGACATTGTAAACGTAATGCCTGTATATATGCACTTAGTCTCAATAGCCTGCAAATTGCACGAGGCAAGACATACGCTATCTCCATATGATCGATCGCTTGTTGGTCGTTCGGGCCCCTGGAAGGTCAGTATCAGGCTCTAGCCCGCAAGTCCGGTGCCTATCATACCAGTAAGCTCCTGCATGGAATGCATGATAACGGCGCCCGTTCTCAAAATAGTAGTCGGTGATGCTACTTCGAAGGGAAGTCAAGTCGCTGCGAAAATTCTTAGAATGGTTTGCTTGATTCAACGTTGTTTGATGACGTACGACTGCGAATCGTCTGCATTGTAATCTTCCTCCACATTGGGATCAACATCCTGCATAAAAGGGGTCAGTGCGAGACACGGGATCGTTTCATATTACATCCGCTAGCTGAGAAAGACATACCACTGGAAGCTGACTTGAATCTTCATACGCGGTCTGCTGAGGGTCTGGGTTTGCGGACATGGTGATGTGAGATGTTAAAGAGGAATGCTTCGGATCACAAACGGTCAAGAGAAGCGCATCAGGGACGAAGGAAAACCCCTCCCTCGGTTAGTCTGTCAGGATTCATGCTACGTGACGTGATAGGCTACAATGTGTGCAGTCGTGGCCACACGCTACTGACCGTTACTGTCGCCATGCAGGGATTCTGGTGGAGAAGGCTGGGCGTCAGATGAGGCATGATAGGGATTTCGCCAGAAACATTCACTTTCTACCACTAGACAGGCCATTTATACTCAACTTACAAACAATGGTTCTTTCCTTCACACGTTGACTTGTTATTTTTCTTCTTTTTCTTTGCAATGCAAACGATTACGAGGTGGAAGAACACCGACTCGGCCAACGCCACCGACTTACCCCATCCCGTAGTTCGCGTCCGGCCAAGGACACTAATGCAATTAACCCAACGTTGGATCGGATTACTCCGTACTTCGCGAGCTGTATTACGCCCTTGCTCATTTCTGGTGAAGCCATCTTCTTCCCCCAACCTCTAACCCTTCCCGTGCACCGACTCGATAGTCTCCTCGTGAGGACCGGCATCCTTGCGGAAAAGGACCGCCCTGGAATGAAACACTGCGCACCGTTAACCTCATACCTCATACCCAGAATGTGTCTAGAAAAGCGATCTTACCTTCCTCCATCTCTTCGAGCGATTTGCCCGTGGTCTCCTTGATGAACAGCCACGCATACACCACGAGCGCCCAATTGAAGATACAAAACATCAGGAATGTCCGCCATCCCATGTTGTCCACGGCATGCGGCGTTGCCTGCGAGAACACGAAGTTGAACAACCACTGAGTCGCCGTTCCCACCGCAATGCCCATCTCACGGATCCGACTGGGGAAGATCTCGCTCATGTAGAGCCACGGCACGGGTCCCCACGACATGTTATACGTCATGGCTTCGAGGTAGACCATGGCGATCGCAGCGACACTCGGACTGGCGATACTAGTGGCATTCGGGTCTGGCGGAAATGTTTTGGATAGAATGGCCACGATGAGCATGAGCGCGCCCATGAGAAAGGCCCCAAAGATGAGGGACCATTTCCGACCGACTCGTTCGACGAGGAAGACGACGAAGATGAAGCACGCCACTACCTTCACGACTCCGAAGAAACCGCTAATCAAGAGACTGTCTTGTCCGGCACCGACGGCCTTGAAGATTTGCGGTGCATCTGGCGACCACGTCAGTCCTCGTCAGGTTTTGAATGCGAGAGGAACAATACGCACAATACGCAAGGGATGTGTTTCCCGTCAATTGGACACCTGGGAATCGTGAGCATGATTTCCCACCAATAAATAGACATGGTATCCTACCAATCTGAAGGGTGACAGTGATAAGCATGCGATATCGGTTCGCAGGCTGGCGCAGTTCCTTCCACGACACGCCTTCGGTCGCCTGCTCTTCGGCTCTAATGCCGTCCAGAATCTCCGCCATTCTGGCAGGTTTAGTCGCTCTGTCCGTCCTACTGAGCTAGAGATGACTTACTCCGCGCGAACCTCGTCCGTCTCCTCTCCTCCCCGGATCCATACGAGCGACTGCATCGCCTCCTCGTGCCGACCCTTCTTCGCCAGCCATCGCACGCTCTCCTTGAGAAAGAGCATTCCGATGCCCAAAATCCCGCCCGGAACCAACTGCAGTCCCACCGGGATCTGCCACTGTCGGTCGCTGGACGGCACGTGTTTCTCGACGGCGTAGTCGATCCAATACGAGGTCATGACACCCAGAGTGAAGAAGAATTGGAACATACTGCCCAGCTGGCCTCTGATTTCCTTTGGTGCCATCTCGGCGCTGAACATGGGCACCATCACGGTCGCCATGCCAACTCCTATGCCGCTGATGACGCGCGCAACGTAGAAGGCAGCGATTGAGTGCGTGGGGATGACTTGGATTATGGCGCCGATGCAGAAGATCAGGGACGCAAGCGCGATGGACCAGCGACGGCCATAACGCTCGGTAAAGGGCCATACAAAAAAGCAGGAGAAAAAGGCTGCCTGGTTAGTCTGCTTTCTCACGACGTTGAACCAAGTTCAGAAGGGTATGTACAATACCTCCCGCCTGAAGTAAGCTGTTCGAGTTGGAGTTGATGGTCGACTTTTGCGCCTCGCCATATCTAAAGGAGTTCTGGAAAGACTCTAACGTGAGGATTCCCCCAATGATTCCGGTGTCGTAGGCGAACAAGAATGAGCCCACGCAGCAGATCGAGACCATGTAAACGGCCCTGACCAGGCCCAGCGTTTTCCCCATGGTGCCTGCTGAGCGGACGAGCAGAGGTCGCGACTATCGCTTCTTATACTGAGCCTACAATGTAATCACCTGCTGCGGGGGCATATAAATATCGACCGGAGCATGACCCCGGTCGCTCTGAATGACCATATCCCGCCTAAAATAACGCCATCGCTGATAGGACCACCTCCAGCAAGTGTCCGGGGAAGCGTCTGGCAGTCAAGGCGAGCCGTGCATCTGCTAAGTTGGTCGGGCTGTTGCATTCATTCGTGATTGACGCGGTCTGATGCACGCTTCTTCCCGTCCCATGGCGCGTGCCAACACGGACGGCGCATCTTGACTCGTGGATTCCGGGCCAGAGGAATTGCATGGCTTGCGGCAAGCTTCAGTAGGCTGGATGACCAATTCATCGCTGGTTTTTGCGTCGCCATCTCGTCTCTGAGGAGGTGATTGAGTACCTCTTTGTAACCCTTCGCAGTAACTACTGAGTAGATAACAACTCGTCAATTATTCACCACGATGGAAGCAGCAGCTGTTTAGAAAGGCGGATTGATTCCTACCCATGGCATGATGATTCTATTCCCCTTGATTGCCTTTATTCTAGGAGCGACATCATGAGCTTGGTTAGTGATCGAATAAGAATATTAGGAAGATGGAACCTCGCGGATATTTAGTTTGTTAACCGTGCCGGGATCACGGGAACCATAGGACAGACAGTACAAAGCAAGACTAGGCGTGCTTTGGGGCCACAGTTAGTCAACCTGATTCTACTGAGCGGTAGCAATACCTTGCAGTTCATACATAGTCATCACTTCCAGGCCAAGTGCAACATGTATTGATCTTGTTGGATTCACTTTACCCCTCTCTCTTGAGGCGAAATCTCAGAGATGACTCAGCGTACCACGTGACTGCCACGAATCTGCCCCAGGATATCCCAAAGCGGCAGCCCGTCGTCTCCTGTCCTGCGCCTGCACAACAAAAGATTCAACAAGCGGATGTCCACCTCGTCATGTCGAAAAAGAAAAGCCACGCGCCCGGGAAACCCCAGGATTCCGGTGCTGGCCAGGCCGCCAATTTTAAAAAGGATCTGCGCAAGGACATGCGAGTGATGTTCGAGAAATCACAGCGGGTTGACAAGGACGCCATTCTGAACAAGTACCTTGCGCTGTATCCCGACCGAGCGGACTACATTCACACTGTGGTGGACAAGTAAGTTCTTTCCGATACTCATTGACCCTGGCAGAGCAGAATCACGGAGTAACCAGCGCGTAGTTATACGATCTCGCTGGAGACACGGAAAGGACCCGCAAAACCATCGCCCGCCGGCGCCGCGTTACCCCCGAAGGAAACCCCGAAGGCCCCCCAAAGCGGCCGGGATACTGGGGCCTCGTCGGCGGCGTTGTCTACAGAGGCATCGCCGCCGCCCAAACCCAGATGGCACCCCACCTGGAAATCCACTTCGCAACCAAAGCCCGCTTCCACGGCGAAATTCGAGCCCGTCATCGAATCGGAGCCGAAGAAACCAATCAACGCGGTGCTCCAAGGTGCGTCGCACTCCTTGACCTTCAGCGAATAACCACGGCTGATTCAGTAACTACAGACTTCCAAAACGAGTATCTGGATGGCCATCAGAATGGCTCCACTAAACCGACCGGCTTCTCCCCCGGCTTCTCTTTCATGCCGACTCTCGAGAGCCAAATGCAATTCCTGACTCTAGGCGGCCAAGATGAGCATTCAGCGAGCAGCTCGTCCCAGGATCCACAGGAGGCGGTGCTCGTCTCGCCGTCCATGGAGCGCGCCGGACAGAAAATGCCCTCGCAGTTCGCCCTGTTGGGTCAGCTTCGCACGCGACAACCGGTGTCAGACCCTCGCGTGATGCTCAACACCAACATTCCTTTCTCCGCGTTCATCTGTGGACTCCAGGGAAGCGGTAAATCGCATACCACGTCCTGTATGATCGGTGAGTCGACTTTCTCTTGTCGGCAAACCCAAGTTAACTGCTAACGCCCCTACTAGAAAACTGCTCCCTCTCGTTCCCCGCGCTGGGAAACCTGAAGAAACCGCTGTCCACCCTGGTGTTGCAGTACAACGAGTACAGCTCCAATCTAAGCTCGCAGCCTAGTGAAACCGCATTCCTGTCCTCCATCATCCCTCAGTACATGTCGTTTCAGAAGCCCATTCCCGTCAGGGTCCTCGTTTCGCCCTCAAACTTCCACAACCTGCAGCGCATGTATTCCCAGATTCCCAATGTCGAGGTTCGGCCCTTCCGCCTGAAGCCACACCACCTGAGCACCAGCATGATGCTGTCCTTGATGTCTATGGGAAAGAACGACTCGATGCCCCTGTACATGGGCCAGCTGACCAAGATCCTGCGTGAAATGGCCATGGAGAACAAGGGAAGTTTCGATTATCTCGACTTTCGCAAACGTTTGTCTGCGCTGCGTCTGGACCGCACTCAGACACCTTTCTTGGAACAGAGGTTGGGATTGCTGGACTCGTATCTCGACCTCGAAGGGAAATCGACTGAGGACTACTTCGTCGAAGGGGGCGTCACCATCCTGGATCTGTCCTGCCCGTTCATGGATCAGAGCACCACTTGCATCTTGTTCCGCATCGCCATCGACCTCTTCCTTCACGCGCACCATTCCCGCGGCAAGATGGTTGTTGCCGATGAAGCACACAAGGTATACCACGCTCCCATCTGCTCAGAATCATGAATGAGTGCTAAGAAAACTAGTATATGACGGAAACTCCCGCAGCCAAAGAACTGACCGAAACCTTTCTCAACATCATCCGGCAGCAGCGCCATCTCGGCGTGCGCATCATCATCTCCACCCAAGAACCCACCATCTCGCCTCGTCTCATCGACCTCTGCTCCATCACCATCATCCACCGGTTCTCTAGCCCGCAATGGTTCAAGACCATCAAGAACCACGTGACCTTTGACAATGCGGACGGCACCGCCTCCGACGACCGCGACGGTCTGCACCAGATCTCGAGCCTGCACACCGGCGAGGCATTGGTCTTCGCGCCGTCTGCGTACCTATTGTATGATAACCAGTCGCCGATCAATACCCGCCATACGACGTTCAAGATGATGGTCCGGAAGCGGGTCACCTGGGATGGAGGCCGGACGATTGTGTGCGTTCGCTAGATTTGTGCTCTGTGAAGTGATAGGGGACATGGAAAATGAGTATGAGCTATGATATCATTGGGCTATTGGGCTATTGGGGTTGTTAGATGGAATTGAACCCTAATGATTTACGGAAAATGGATACTACAGAATCTTAGACTGTTACGAGACAAATACTAGAAAGAAATCTTATCATCGCTACATGTTTCGGTTGTTCGATGGTTGGAACTCGGCAGAGACCGGGAATCCAGGCTCATCTTCCTTGAAACGAATTCAGTTGACATAAAGCTCCTTCAGGCCGAGTGTTTCTTCCTCGGACTTCTCAAGATAACCCCTTTGCATGAAGTGGCTCAAAAAGGGAGTGTAATCGAAGATCAGATCACGAACCTTGGCCAGTGGCCAGGGGAGGGAATGGAATATCCTGGCAATGAATCGCGCAAATTCCATATTGTGATTCACGTAGTCCAGCCGCTGCTTCTCATAGAGCTCGAAACCGGCGGCGACTGCCCGTGGGTCATGTAGATCGACACCGTCCAGTGATTTCGCCAAGTAGTAACCATCCTCAATCGCCATGCCCATGCCATATGCTGCATATGGCGACACCGGATGAACCGCATCGCCAACGCCCACAATCCGACCGGAAGACCATGTCTTCATCGACGGACGATTGTAGATCTCCCAGCGATAGACTTGCGTTTCAAGGTTCGTAGCTTCGAGAAGACGAGGCAGAGGCTGGGACCAATCCTCCAGGATCGTGGAGAGATGCACCTTGGGGTCCTCCGGGAGCGGTTTACCTTCCCACGAAGGCTCTACCACCCACCATTCAAACCCAGGCTTGCCGTCGTGAAGCATCGGGAAGAAACTAGCCTGGTATTGCCAGTCGTGGGATATGACGGCGTGGTTTTCTGGGACTCCAGGTATATGATCACACCAGGCCAACCAGAGCCGAATCCCTGTGTGGAAGAGTCCAGGATCTCCGAATGCCTGTTGAGATACCACGGATCGAATTCCATCTGCCGCGATGAGAATATCTGCCGTGATTTTGTTGGCTTTTTTGAATTCAATCTCAACGCCGTCTTCAAGTTCTGTATACGCCGTAACCTCATGACGAGGATAGAGGACGGACTCGGGGACGAGCTCGAGCATCGCCTTGAAGGCAGAAGAGCGCAGCACTCCGTAATGCCAGCCCTTAATACCCATGCGTTTCTCTACTTCTGGATTAAAGGGGAGCTCGACGCGCTCCATTCCCCACTTGTTCTGGAAATGAGTGACCGTGTAGGAACCGAAGTTTTCCATGTTTATGCCGTAGGAGCGAAGGATAGCCAGGACTGGCGTAGACAAAAGAACCGCGCCACCGATGGCCTTGCAGCTATCCTGGCGTTCAAAGATACGCACATCATAGCCACGTTGGAGAAAGGCAATGCCGGTGGATATAGCTCCCGGTCCTCCTCCGGCGATGGCAACGCGCCTCCCAGGGCGCCATTGCTGTGAAGACATGGTTTGGCAATAAGAGAAAAATCAAAAGACAGCCCTGAAAAACAGAAAACAAGACGAAAGGAGAGAACGTCCTACTTTAAATCGACATGTCGGCAATTGCCCTCCACATTCCCGAACTATGTAGACCCGCAGATCTACAGAGGCTTGGTGTATCAAGATCACTCAATGGTTACTGTTGAAAGGGCACCCAAGCGTCGCAGTGAATTTTGGAGTTCCAACACTAGGGGGATCTTCTTTATTTCGAAGGAAATACAACCGAGTGGACATGCCTATTGACCCACTAGTTCGGGCGTTAGTTCGCTCCGCGAAGTTCCGCTGACACAGTAGATCGTAGAACGATTGGTGCGATTTTGGATCCGAGACCATTCTGAAAAGATTCGGAGCCGATCAAATTAGGAACTGGGTCAACTCGTTGTGCTCTATTTTGACATGTCGCGGTCATAAAGGGGTCTATATGTATTCTCCACACATAAGAATTACAGGGTCAAGGCAAAATGTTCCCCGTTCCCACCTCATCTATACAATTGGAGTTAACCCGCTTGTTTATTGTGAAGAGGAAGATATCATACGTAGGCTTTGAATAGGAGCGCTCTTCTAATAACCTTTCAACTTCGATAATATTCAACTAACCAAACAAGAAGCAGGATAAAGGTCTGTTGTTAATTAAGGCTTGCCTAACTTCAAGGAAGATAACCTATCATGACTCTTCCCACTCAGACCCAAGCATATCATAGGAAACCACAGCTTCTGGTGTTCGCACTGCACAAACCAAATAGTTGCCTAGGATCCTGCTTCGGAACCCAGCCTCGCAGTACAGAAAGTAATACTGCACTCATTAACAAGCTGCTTGCTGGAAGGAGAACAGAAATACTACATACCAGCCACTTTCGCCGATAAACTTCAACCTCGACCTCCGATGCGCCCGGATGCCTCGCACAGAAGTCCGATCGGATCCCCCGCCAGTTCGCTAGGAAATTATCACGCCAGGCAAGTAACGTCTTTCCGTAATGGGGGCCCGTGTTGGTGACAGATGATACTTCTAGACTACCTTTGCTTGCCCGATGCATTGATGTCAGCAGGATGTCGATGGTGGGAAGATAGCCACCGGGGAAGACGTAGTGGTTGATATAGTCGCCAATCTGAGGGCTGATTTCATGGAACTACCCGGGCATTAGTGGTCGCATACTGGAGGGTGCGGCGATCATCAAACCGGATGAATCTTGGTAATTCCATCTATTACGACCACTCCATTCGACGGTTTGAGCAGGCGGGTTATCGTCTCAAAATATACGTCTAGTAACTCGGATCCGACATGCTCGAACATGCCGACGGAAATAATCCGATCGTATCCACCTTCCGGGCAAGGTGCATTGCGATAATCGCAAAGCAAGACTCGGACCTGATCCTGTAGTCCGGCATGTTGAATCCGTTTGTCGGCAAGGGTCTTTTGCTCCTCAGATAGCGTAAGCCCGGTGGCCTGGCAGCCAGCCTGGCGGGCTGCTTCAATTATCAGATCTCCCCAGCCACAGCCGATATCGAGCAAGTGGTGGGTGGATGATACTTGGGCTTTCTTCAGGACACATTGCACCTTCCTTCGCTGGGCTGACTCGAGAGACTCTGTTGGATCCGTTGACCAGTGGGCGCAGGAATAATTCATGTCTGGTGATAGAAACCCCGAGAACAGATCGTTAGACGTGTCATAGTGAGACGAGATGTTCGATCGTGCATTGGCGAGGTTGTTCTGGGGCCTCCACCACCGGAGGAGACGTGGAATCAAGCCAAAAAGAAAATTGCCAGATCCAAGAGTACGAGGGTGCTGAATATATAGCTGATAACGGTATTAGTAGCACGCCTCAGCGTAGGGAGGGCCGGTTACATCGAAGATTTTGCCCAAATTCTCGCAGTCGATTTCTTGGAGCATGTAGGATTCGGCGAAGCCCTTTAGATCGTTAGAAGACGAAGATAACAGCGGATCTTGCATACCAGGTCAAAGTCTGAAAGAATTCTGTTCCAGAAATTCGGGTCGTTGACGCAAATCACGCCAACCTCATCCGATTGTCGAGGTTTGTCTTCGTACAACACTCGCTCCGTGCCATCAGCTCGTGAGATAATCTTAAGCGGGGCTGATATTCTTCCAAGAGCCCGCTGCGCAAACACAACGGCATATGTTTGGATTGACTGAGGAATACTAAAGCTCATTGTGTGGCACAAGGTTGACTGATAGACGATACGCCGTGATTCAGGAGGGAGCGAAAACTCAATGCGGTGTGACATTGGCAGATGGGGGGATTAAATTGTTTGCTGCTGTTGTGATGTGTTCGGTCAGGCTCGCCACGACTTACTTGGCACTGCATGATGACGCCGCTATGATAGAAAGCGACGAGTCCATATTACATGTTCGGATTATTACTGACCTCGCTTTGGCGCCTGCCGTCGTATTATCTAACAGCAAGACAAAGTCAGCAAATTCTGAGCCCGGAAAGATGATAGGATTGCGGCGCGAGAAAACAATGGATGGTGTAGGAGTAACTGGAAATCAAATTGTGGTGAGAAAGGATAATAACCCAAACATGGCTTTAACCAAACAGTGGACGGAAAATCCATATTTGTCTAATTACGTAGCTCTCTTTGGTTTCTGTCCGGTATTAGCTCTCCGGTTGTAGCTCCTTGTCGGGGTATACTGTCTCCTGCTAGTCTTCGAGCCAGAATAGTCGCAGGAACGACTAGGAGAGCAACCAGGTGAAATGCACTTCTATCGGAGTTTAAATGGCTTCCCATCATATTGCTGACTTCAGGCAGCTTCGACAGTGGGGTCTCGGCGTGCTTTAGCGTTGACAAAAAGTCCGCAGCGACATCCGTTGGTGCCACGCCTGGGATGTGTTGCTCTGATATGCGATTGCTGACTCGGAAGGGAATGAACAGATACTCGCTGCTGTTCCTTTGGTGCAATGATACATGTGCTTGGGGTATAGAAAAGCTAGGCTTGCAAACGATGAACGATACTTTCGGGTTATTGCGATTCCAATGAGCGGCGATAAATATCAATTCAGGAACTTTCAGCTCATCAACTGTGTCTGTACAACTAGCAGCGAGAACTTCCACATAATATTCTTCCGCACTGACGGGAGGACTTTCCAATGGTGGGACTCGATATTCTGTACAGGTTGGAGTGCTCAAAGCCAGACTCAGTTTGTAGTCATGACAAGCGGCAGAGCTGCAGTATGACACTGAGTTGACGACAGACGTCACTTGACACTTGAGGCCGGACGAAAACAGATCCAACTGCACCCGCAACTATACCGCCAGTTTCTGGAGTGCGGAGTCAGACAGAGATATGGAAAAAGGTGAAGAGAGGTTCAAACCTCGGCTTTTGACAGCAGCACTGAAAGGTTGGAATGCATGCTCACTAGTCGTGCCAGGAGGGCAGGGTCGATCAAGACCGTGTCCGTCTGTAGTCAACGCTGGATTTGCATCGACATCTTTACTATTGTATACGGCTCGCGAGAAATCGGAGCGAGCTACTAGAGTTATTGGCTTTCTGTCAAGCTTAACACGCTGCACCTCGAGCAGCCGGAACGACGGGCCTATTGTCATGGCGATAAGAAATCTGCCGAGAGTTGCAACTGCGGTCACTGCATGAGAAACTTTCTTTTAATGACAAACCGTTACCTCTCTAATATGATCTGCAAGGTGGTTACATAATACGGATACTATTGTAAATACTTCTCACGAGATTAGCCACGCTTCCAAGGGCTCTTGGGGCTTTCCAGTACCGACAACCGGGCCAAATTGCCATGCAAAATTGTATGACGATAGACTCCGTCCTAATCCATTGTTCTGCTTTGATGAACGGTATATAATCTCAATCCCAGCCAGTGAAGGCGTGGAAAATAGAACAAAGTTGAATAAGCTCCTAGTTAGGAAAATGGAGTCCGTCAAGGCGTGATGCTTGGTATCTTGTTCACCAAGATCAGTAGCCAAATTCTCGGTCTCGCTCCTATGTGCCGGTCCCTGCGTCGACATCCTGCTTGATGGATTATTCTGTTCGATACTTCATTCGAGTTGAAAGTAAGAAGTAGTGCCTCATAAGTTGCGATTGAGGAGGCGCTTCAAGAGATTTGACCCCGTGGAGTTAACAAGCCATGACAATACCTACCGTAACTGTAAACAGCCGAGGCTGACAATGTCAAATGAGTTGTATAGCCTTGACTTTCCTGTCCAACGTGTCTCCATAAAGCCCTGCAGTTCTTTTTCCCGAAATGGCAGAGACTCGCGCCTGCCTCGTAGTTTCGCCGACGGGACTAGGTGGCGCGCGGCCTGAAAAGTCCAGTCTAGCCGCTTAGTGAATCTGTAGTACCGAATCATTGAATCTACTAAATCTACCGCAATTTGTAGCTCACGGAGTCGCAAGACGCTCGGGCTGTTGAGTTGAAATGCTATCATACATAGGGGCTCGGGGACAATACTTTCAGGTGAGGATGTATAATGGCTACTTTTCATAATAACTGAGTGTCTAAGCTTAGTAACCGATTAATTGGACCCTTCCTGCGAGTTCCCCATTCTGCGAACAAGTCACGACTATCTACTGCGTGTTAGGCAAAGGCTGGCCAGCCAAGAATCGTGGAAATCCTTGGTGGCCGAGCCCGAGCTCACCAGTTCCCGGCGGGCCACCGACAATCTCCTTCTCGCGAGCCTTGAGTTCGTCAACATCCCAGGAAGCGAAAACGATCTTGTTTTTGAGAAATGCTGCCTCGGGGGAGGCAACCCAGACAAGGAAGTCTGCAGGAAGAGAGACTGCGGAAGAATGGGAAAAGAGAAACAATCGTTAGCAAATGGATAAAAAGACCATATGATCATTTCGGACGTACTGTCGTCATATGCATATGGCAATTGGATTGACTCCGCCAGCTTGGCTGCCATGGCCGTTTCGAGGAGTCCCGGATGTACATTGTGAAGGCGCACTTGCGGATTTTCGGCGGCAAATGCCTGGAGAAGCTTCACGGCAGCCATTTTGCTGCTCACGTAGGCACCCATACCGGGGAACGGGGGGAACAGAATGCCGGCTGTGGTCAGATTGATGAAGGTGATCGGCTTGTCTTCGTTGGCAACGGCCTTGTTTGCGAGGACCACAGCCTGCGCCGCCACCAGCGTACCGACGACCGTGGTCTTGTAGCCGTCCAGGAAGGTGGCTGGATCCGCCTCCAGAAGGGGAACAACCGGAGCCAGTACGCCTGCACAGTGCACGAGAATGTCGATGCTGCCAAAATCCGCAGCCGCCTTGTCCATGGCATTGCGGACACTAGAAGCATCGCCAAGGTCGGCTTGATGGGCCTGAACTGTCACCTCTGCATGGTTCGTGCCGATGATCTTGACGGTTTCCGTCAGGGCTTCGGCACGACGACCCAGGAGGATGAGGGCTCGGGGTCCCGAGGCAGAAAAGGATAAGGCAGTGGCCTGGCCGATGCCGCCAGACGCTCCGGTAATCAACACAACCTTGCCTCCTGTAGAGAGGCCGGGCTGAGTTGGATTGATGCCGGGATAGGTGGCGGAGTGAGTGACTTTGGTATAAGAGGGTGGTGTTGTCACCATCGTGTCACACTGCTGGATAGTTCCGCCTCTGTAACCGTTTTAGTACTGGATATGTTGGATAAGCAGGCAGAACAGCTCAAAAACTAGGAATCAGGGGATGAAGAATAGAATTGCCAGGTAAAGAGGCCGCGTCTGGCCCAGGAAGGAGATGCGAATATTAATGTAAATTGTCGGCAAGATCGAGGCAGACCCTGATAGCTAGGCTGCACTGACATTGGAGTAGAGCTAACAAGGATTAGGTTGTAGCCTTAGACATATCCACAATTACAATATCCACTCAATCCAAGAATGTCGGCCTAGGTCGGATTTAGAACAAAGGAATCCTTCAAAAGATACGAGATTAATAGGCATTAGCTAGGATTGGCTTGGCGCGACAATGTTGGCCAGCAGCTAGTTTGAGACGGCCTTGCTAGTGTCATTGCTTCCACGCCCACCAACGCTGACGCTGTCGGTAAGAGCGACTAAGCAGCGCCCCCACTGCAATCCGATGATAGCCCGCTATCAGGTGCTACTCATGTGAACGAGCAGCGCATCGAAATCTCACTGCACTCACACGTGTGGTTCGGTTTGATCTGCATTGTCATGCTCAACAGCGTGCTTAAACTGAGGCGGGCACAAAAGTAGGTACTGTACAGACGTATATAAAGATCGATATAGTCAAATCTGTAGAACGCAAAAATATAGCACATCTATCTGGCCCCCAAATACGAACATGCATTGGGCTATTCTGCCCCCCAAACAGCAGCACTACTAATGACCGCTGCTTCTGATACGTAAGATAGATGAAATATCCTCGAGTCCACCCGGTACCTTGGTATAGCATACAATATACAATTCGTCCATCTGTGTCACCGGAGGCCTCTGGAACAGCGATGCCGAAGCCTGTACCACGTAGGCCGTCCCGCACCCGACCTGCACTTCCCTTTCCCCCCTCCTGATTCGTCCTCTGTGCATCGTCCCGTCTCCCAGGATGCGTGCCTCCATCACTCCCTCGCCCGCCCAAACTAAAAGAAACAGATCATATCTTGAAACTTGAAACCCCCCTACACGCATGTGTTTAACGCGTAGAGACGCGATGAAGCAAATCCATCAACAACAATTACCTTCTCCCCTCCTGTACGCCCTCCTCTCTCCCTCTATTTCTACCCATCAACTGGCCAGCCTCTCTACAAACCAATTTATTCACCGATCTACCTTCCATGAATCTCTTCATCTATTATGATGTCTATCGACTGTGGATTTGCACCCCCTGTGGATTTGCCGTGTTGCCAGTCTATATCCCAGTTCATCTGGCTTCCCGTCATTTCAAACATCCCTCCACTGTTATCAGGGTCCTCTGTCAGAATACTGATGCCCAAATGTTCAAGCGACCATTCTGAGACCCTGTCTCCGGCAAGCTCTGTCCTATTCCATCTCTCGACAGTATGTCGATTCCAAGACTCTCTGTTCATCAGGGCTATCGCTGCCCTCATTGCCTCTACGTGATCCAATCACGAAAGACATTTTTTAAACATCAAAATAAAACGCATGATTTTCAATGACAACTTCTGAAAAAAAAGCATTATACAACTCGAGATCTTCTTACTTCTTCTCTGCCGGTCAACTGTCAACACTTCTTTCTTTTTCAAACAGGCAACAACTTTTTTACTATTATTTTACCCGCAGAGTCTCATCAGATTCCTCTATTCCGCGAGACAAAATTCACCTACATCCAGATGATATCTGACATCCAGGCCCGTCAAACAATAATACAAAATATATATAACATTATTTTTATCCGTTAAAGCATCATCAAGATTTATTCTTGGTTAGATCTAACCCAATGAACGCGTTATATCTAAAAACAGAGTTTTTCTGCAATTGTTTAGCTGAATGCTTTTCCAGACTCTATTATTAAACCGCTGTTAGATTATCTTGCAAATAGTATATCTTGTCTGATCCGCCAGGCCTGTCAATGCATCCGAAAAAAAAAGATCAATAAATTTGATCTAATGCAGATTAATAACATTCTTACCCGCATCCGCGTCTAAGATTGCTCATTACTAATGGATCTTCAGAACATCATCTACCAGCGTTATATCCGGATCTGACAGCGGCTGATTTGCTTCATGTATCGATTCATTATATTCGGTCAGCCTATTCGTCTGATCCATTGTTTAATCCAATTCCAATCCGCATAACTCAATCACATAATGAGCCGCGTCCAGGTTCTGCAGAGATTAGAAAAAGAGAAAGAAAAAAAAATTGAAAAAAAAGAAAAATAAAAAGAAAGAAGATAAAAAAAACAAGATACAGATTGGATTGAATCAAACATATCTTTAGTTCTCTATCGCCCTCCTGGATCATCAGCTTACTGAAGATTTCTTTGACAACATTTTAATGAGATTCCTAACTGTTTTAAAGATAAATACAGAAAAGCAAATCTTTCAAAATGTTTGCTTTTACATCAGCTTTTTCTCTATCTTGATTAAAATTGTCCAGCTACTAGTAATTCAATAAACAATACAGATAGCCATCCAGAAAAAGATTTTTCACGTATCTAAGGCTCTAAATAAGATGCGCGAACGATTTATACTCTATAATATCTGCTTTCTCTTCGTCTGGATCACACGACTGCGCGTCTTTGGCAAGAAGATGCAAAACATGATCATCAATTTAGACCAGATCTACTAAAGTGATAACCAACAGATCCTCTACTATCAAAAACTAGAACTGGACATGGACGCCTTCCGCAATTTTGTTCAATTTCAGATCCAGCTGACCGGGCAGACTCTAGACGCCTTTCTTCTGCTGAAAAAAGAAAAAAAAAAAGAAAACCAATCCTAAAAAATCACAATTCTTTTTCTTTATCTGAACCAGCTCCGCGATAATATAACTAAAAGCCAAACAGAATTTAATTTCTTCCAGAATCCATATAATCAAACATTGCTTGCTCCCGGAAAACAGTGATTCCTCCGACAAATCATTTATACTAATCAACTTCGATCCCAGTTCCTTCACATGCACCAGATCCGAGACCAGATAAAGTGAAAACATCTCCCTGTGCATGAATATCTTTAACAAATAGAACTCTTCCTTCAGCGCCTACTTTTACTCTGCCATCTTACCTCCGGCCAGCCTAGCCGGGAAAACAAACTCCTCAGCCTCCGACATAATAATAATATCCATGAACGCCACCGCAGTATCTTTCTAGAACAGGACCTATAGAATTATCAGATTAGAAGATTTGTTGGAAGGATTCAGTATTAAATAGTTTTAGAAATATAAATGGAATCAATTAGGACAGAAAAGAAGAAAAGTAGAGAATTGAATATTAGATATATTATTGTAAATAAGAAAGGATTAGAAATTATAAAAGATGAGACAGGATTCTTTAAAAATCAATTAGAGAGATACAATTTCCGGTCATATATAGCAAGAGATTCAGATTAAAAATAGAGATTTTAGATTATATTAGAAATTGAAATTTGATATTATATTCGAGATCAAGGTTCACATGACATTAGGGCTTGAGAGTTCACGTCACATTAGGGCTTGAGAGTATTCCATTATATTAGGGCTCAATAGTTTGTTTTTTGTGGGCAGCAACGATTTTCACAGTCACACAAACATGGAGTTTGGGGGGTGGGCCCTAGATACACCATTCGTCGCCCCCCCGCGGCGCCCGGCCCGCCGACTACGGTTGCCCATACGGATCCCGTTGCGCACTTTCTGACATAAGCATGACCCTGCGCGGCATTTGTATGTGTCTCTGCATCCCCCGTACCGTCCCGATTCTGCCCCGGCTTCCTCCGACTGACCCTGCGCGGCATTACTATGCGATCCGACTGACCCTGCGCGGTATTACTATGCGATCCGACTGACCCTGCGCGGTATTACTATGCGATCGAACTGATCCTGCCCGGCATTATTATGGTTCCCGCCCGGGATCACTCTTGGGTTATCCAATCTTGCCCGGGAATATTACGAGTCTATCTAGATCTCTCTTCCCGCCCGCTATTATACCCTATCTACTACTATTTTTTATCTATAACTAACTCCCCACCATAGTTATTCTTATCACCACCACCACCACCACCACCACCACCACCATCACCACAACAACCAACCATTCTCCCACCCACGATATTATCTTCATCATCCCTCGTGCAATAGCGCTCAGAGACATAGAGAGATAGATATTAATCTAATATATCTTAGTATCGAGACAATAATATCCGCTAAATGAAAAAGAATAACAAGTCCCGTCGGTCAAGGAAAAAATATATAATTGACTATTTCTAGGTCAATCTGCTATCATCTTCCCTTTTTCTCCTTTATTTTCCCGTACGGACTCCATTGGTACTACCTTACACCTTATATGAAATTCAATTCAAATCGCATTGAAGTATCTACATCTAACAGTCCAGATAAAAAAAGTAATATCACCTCCAAGAGAAGTGTAGCCATTCCGCGCCAAATCCTTCATTTCTAACTTCAGAAAAACATAAAATCCAATCCGATCTCGCGTCGTCATAAACAAAAACCACCCCCCTGGATTGGCTCGACGGAGGTTTTTTTTTGTTTGTTTGTTTGTTTGTTTGTTTTTTTTTTTTTTTTTTTTTTTTTTTTTTTTTTGATTTCTCAGTCTCACCTACGAATAACAATCATAGACATAGAGGTTAGACGTGATTGATATTCTTTTTTCAATGCAATCTCTTCTTATTTATCGAATCCGCATATCGACGAGATTTTCTTTTTGTCAAAGTAGTCGATCGATATAATACAATCGGCCAGGTCCATGATCTAATCACGGTTTCTTTCGCGGGAGCGCAACTGGCGTTCTTCCCTGTCATCATCTGAAAGATCTGAACCGGTCGATCGATTAATTCGTTGCATGTTCCTGCACATTTAGTCCACGAGCGAAAACTTACTCACGGGGGTTTCCGGCTTAATTGCCGATTCGGCCGTCGGCGGTTTCGATTGGCTTAACTTAAGTTTTTTAATTTTCAGTTCCTGCAACTGAGATTCTTCCGACTTCGCGACCGCTTCTTCCCGCTGCTTTTCAATCGATTAGTTCTCGCGATTTTCGCCCAGGGGCGAAAAGGTCCTTACCACTTTTAGGCGTTTAGGTTCGCGCGTGTCCGACCTGGGCGGGTTTTTGCGCTTTTCGGGCTCGAATGAGAGAGCGGTCTGAACGGTTGCTGCCTTCGCTTTGCCTTGTTGGAGGCCTGGCTGCTGCATGGTCTCGACCCAATCGTCGAGCGATGTATGGGTTAATTGACGCTGGCGGCGGCCGAGCATAGCGCAGAGCTTGGCTACCGCGATCTCCCGCACGCGCTCTTTCTCCTCGGCCCTGGCAGTCTGGTGGTGGTGGTGGTGGTGGTGGTCGTCATCGTCGTCGTGGTCGTGATCGTCGTCGTCCTCGACCGCGACAGTCTGAGAGTCATTATCCTTGTCCTGATCTTCTACTGTTTTTGAACCGAATCCGGCCGTTCGAAGCATCGGGTTTAGATCGGCGGCCACTTGTGACAAAGTCTTGATAATGTTTATGTTTTTCATGTAGTTATCAAATGTCTCCTCGTAAATCAGAATTCACATTTTTTAAGCGAAAAGCTGGCCGAGACAATGCAAACGATCTATGATCTGTAAATTGTTGTTCACGTTATTCGGTTGCTCGAGAAACACGACACGGCAACATTTATCGTGAAGATTAATGCCGACGGCTCCCGTGTGAAAGCTTGTCACCAACACGGACACGTTACTGTCCTAGAAATTAAACGCGTTAACTGTCTGTGCTCGCTTCTCGTTCGTCATTTTAGCGACAATAGTTACAAATTCCACGTTGAGAGCGTGCAAAAACATCAGCATCATCCAGCGGATGGTGAATCATTGGATAAAAACGAGAAAATGCGGCGGACGACTGCCTCTGAGACTGGATCGATCGAACAGGCCTTTTCTTTGAAATATCTAGTAAAGATATCGGAATTTCGCGCATTGCTGCGTCAAATAATAAGTCATCGCTATGCGTGTGCTGGGAACGAGGCAGATTGTATTCGTGCGGATATTCTAAAAAAAATAATCGAAGTCTTAATCTGAAGTGAGAGTTTTTTCGACAATCACTTTTGTTTTGATCTTCTTTCGATTCAATTGGCGATAAAGTATCTCCAAACGCGAGTAAAAGATTATATGTGTCAATCGATGTCGTATGTCCGCCGTGAGTGCAGATTGGTCGGTCGTCTATAATCTCATCATAGTGACATCTTTTAATGACTTTGAACCTTCTTTTCTCAGTTTCATCTTCGCCAACATGATGATGCGCATGCATGTCTGTCGATGAAACATCCAATTTTCGACCGTGTGCGTTAATTCGATTGTGTTGATTGCCAGCAATAAGATTTCTTTATCAATATGCATTCATTTGACGGCATTTTTGCTCAAGAGCGAAATGTCCATTCTATCCTTAATATCTTTCACCAAACAAATCATTTTGAGAATAACCGACAGAACAATCAATTTCTATCATGCAATCATGTCTCCGCGCTCGGTGAGGACTGCCAGACAACGAGACGCAAGCAAGTGATAAAACGGATCGATTTCTTCAATCACGTTTTCCTTTTTTTGTTCAACACACGTCAGAAACTCCGCCTCAACAATTTTCTAATCCAGCCTCCTCATGTCGTCTTCCGCGTCGGAAGCGTCCTTGTAGAGCTGGACAAGATAGCCGCAGAGATCGATCGACCGATTCTATATGAGAATGACTGTCAGCCCCCAAAAATCGCTCGTTTGCAGCAAGACCACCGTCTAATGATTGCGCGTCCGAATCGTTTTGATGTTATATGTCTCGTCTGCTATGACTCGGGCAAACACCTTCTCGAACATCGTGCGAAAGGTCTTGGCTGGTTGATGTCGACCCCACTTGTCTTTTTTCATGATGCCGAGAGCCTCTTCTAAATCCGTTTGTAATGATCCCAGATAACGTATCGCATCACGGCGGGTTTGGATCTTAATTAACGCTTGATCCATCACATCGTCGTTCACATCGTCGAAAGATTCCCATTTATATTCGTTTTTTTCAAACAATTCATTTTTCTCTTTCTTTGTCTTGTCTTGACCCAGCTTGCGCGCAGCATTCTCGAGATCGTTTTTCTCACTGCTGTCCACATTGTCAGCCCCGTCACCCGCACGAGAAATCGGCACTGTGATCCTGATCGCCTAAATGATGTAGAAAAACAACACCACGATGCGCGCCGTCTGATTCTGATTTTTAAAAAAGCTCTCTAGCCGGCCCCGCAGGGTGTCGATCGTATCCACGACGAGTCTCTTCAGACCTATATCAACCGTCATTTTCGATTGACCGTAAAAAATAATCAAGATCAAGGCATTTTCCAACCGCCATACAATCTTCTTCGCTCACATGATTAATACCCCCGAAAGACAGACCACCAAGATGGATTTCCAGATTTGGCCCACGAGCAAAAAGACAGCAGACAAATAAATGTGTTCTAGAACGGTAAACGTTTTTTCTAACCCGCATCCGTCAGCAAAGATGCCGCTGTAAATGACACACGCTTTCTGTTGTCACATTCAAGCGATCGTCACCATCTGCCACGATTTCAACTGCACGGGCTCGATTCCTTGAGCGCTTGGGATCGACGGATTTTTCAGATTGAGTCTCAGCTCGACGCAGCCTTCCATATAACTAGAAACTACGGCAGACGCGCGGCACGTTAACTCCCGTACCACCTTCACTAGGCTCGACTCGACGGTTGCCGCGAGCAAATCATCTAACTTGTTGGATCCTTGACTTTTCGTCGCGCCAACAACATCGTTCGCGTCAACCGCCGCCTTCTGCGCCAGAACTAACTGTATCAATGTCGCTATCAGGTCTGTATCGGACAGTCCATTCGTTGTGATGGACGCCGCCGATTCGCGTTTTCATATCATATACTTGTCCATATCGACCGTCAAGGCCTGCAACAATTGAATACGCTGTTCCTTGATTATAACCAGGCGGTCTCGAAACCGATGGATCTTCAACATCCCGGACATAAATATCATTATTTGCTTCTCAATTTGCCGGGTCTGCCGAATCTCGTTGATAGTCAAAATGCCAATCATGAACGAATCGCTGTTCCCATCGCTCTCGCAATCCTTATCGTAATTGTTCTTTGCAACCAGCGCGACGGCGGCCGAATCATCAATCATACCAATTGTATCTTGCGTTCCGATAGCTTCGGCGACAATGTCCTTTGATGGTAGCCCGCCTTTTTCGCCCGTGAACGAAACCATAATGCCTGCAACTCCCGCCCACCGACCGGTGAATGATGTTCGGACAAAGATCAATTGAATCATCTTATTCCTCTGAGACTTGCGCTTTCGAGACACGCGATCTTTCTTTTCGGCCCGGTAGAAGAAGCCCAGCATCTTCCAGACATGAATCAGATCGTAGGATTCGAAAGACGGCAAAAATGCCCAAAACCGCGTTAAAGAATCAAAGAAACCGAACTTCACCATAATCAACTCCGTCGCGTATCACAGCGTCACGATGACAAAAAAGATGACATTCGTGATACCGCCGGTGCTGAGAATGAAACAATCAAACCGGATCTAAATCGCCCTTGCATTTGGATCTAGAATCAACTGATTCATAATCATATCCAATATGCGATAGTCATTCTAGCCAAGAGCACCCTCCTCAACTCCAAATCGTTTCTTGCAATAATCGATATATACTTTCAAAACGGATTTCGTTTCATCATCGATAAGATAGAGATTCCACAACTCTACTGTATCTTTAAGACCCAACGCCCCAGCCAAGTTCTGCGCGTTATCGTCCAGAATTTTGAAGAACTGAGAATCGTAATCGATACCAAAGAAAATCACATCGCGTCATCCCAAGCGGACGAATGCAATCATTGTCGCGAATTCTTGAGCTTATCACGCAAGACGGTGTAAAAATATCTGAACCTCACATTAGCTGTTATATTTTCTGACATTGTTGGCCCAAGAAATGGAAAGAAGAAGCGGGACATAATCTCTAAATGAGACGAGATTGATTATTTTAACTCATGGGCAATCCCAACCGATCTCGCTCCTGGGCCAAAACCTCCGTCACATGACAAGACTGATTTACAATCTGCATTCGGAACGCTCAAGGGCGAATGAACGATGTGCAAACAACGTCGTGGCTTAGACAGCCGGACATGTACGTGAGCCAAAAGATTCCGTCCATGGACAAGACGAACTCTAGACCACAATCCACATTCAAACTCCTAGACCCATACTCCGATTATCTCCTCACCATTCAATCCGTATCGTTTTAAATGAGGCTCACTTCTCCGGACAAAATATACGCGCTTACCGATTGAAATATGATTATAATAGCGGTGTTTGTCGAAAAAAATGTAAAAGAAACCAGATCACAATGTCCGGAGAATATCCTGAAAATGAGGCCACGATGAGCGATCAGTAAAGCACAACAAATCAGATAACGCGATAACGCGACAGCATGTAGAGATAAAAAAAAAGAAAAAGCTGGAATTGAGAAACTCACGAAATCTGAAAATGTAAAATAAGATTGGCGATCAACAATCGGCAAAAAAAAGAAAGATTATAATGTGATTGTCGGCGCGTCCTGTACAGAAAAAAAAAGACAAGAGTAAAAGACCTATCTAACTATGTTTGAAAAAATCAAGATGGGAATCGCAGTATGAAAAAGAGAGAACGAGGATTCGAGAAAAAAAAAAAGAAAAAGTAATAATGTTGAAGAAGAGAAAAAGAAAGACAAAGAGATGGTGAAAAAAAACGAATAATTAAACGAGAATTTCCTCAGACGAGTGATAGTAACAGAAAAGAAAGAGGAGGATTGGTCAGGATGAAGAAGATAAATAGACAAACAGAAGTGAATTCATACAACAAAATATCGAGACTGTACGCTATGATTGGCCCATCCGAAATAACGTTAAACACGTGATATCAAATTGCTCTCATGATGATAAGCTTTTTGATCTCTCACGGTAAATGACTCATCTCTGGGCTAAAAGTCGAGTACCACTATCACAGCGCAACTACCCTTGGCTAGCACCTTCTACTGCCGTCAATATCCATTCCATTTCTTAACTCTATCCAAGGCTGATCGGACCCTTTTTATTTCTTACTATGCTTGACAAAAGATTCAATTAAATATTATCATGAATTCCCGAAACCTAACTATTATATGGCGATACTACATTCTTAACTATCATCCCCCACTAACTTTCGACTATAGAAGTATCCGACCCGAACAAACAAGAGAGAAGATCTTCAAGAATAAAAAAGGAATAGATCCAAGACTCACAATTATTAAAATCAGGTCCATGATGACAGCATATGGTGCACATAAAAAAACAGTAAGAGATTTGATCCAGAAACAAAATGTTTTCGCCCATGGACCAAATGTACCGGCCTTCTTTACATGCCTCAATCAATCACGATCACCGGCGAATCTTCGACTTTAAACTGATACGTCAAGAATTATAGGATCTGTACCGACACCTGAGCCCCAAGATACGATTTCCAAGAACGATATTGCGCCGCGTGTTTCCGATATTGTGCCGAGATATGCTTGTGCATACGTCTCAGGGATATGGCCAAGTGATGGCATCTCTCAGCCCCGCATCGCCATGTCTGATATACCTGCAATTCCGAAAAAGACGCCACCGAAAAACCTTTGTGCAGCCTATCCCAAATTCTCTGCAACTCCTCTACCGATAAAGCCTCAAGAAGGAATTGATCCTCGACAAAGAACGTTTTTCCTTTCAGAAAATGACTCTGTACATGTGCTGCTCGAGCCTTGGAGCCAACGTTCGTATGGTAAAGTTGACATATCAGCAGCCTCCACTCTCGGTAATGGCGCATGAATGGCCACAACAGGATATATCGTGAGTGATAACAGGGAATGTCTGGCAGCAGACGTGAAGAGATTTCGGGCTGTTTTGCAAAACTCAATTGATCGGTCTGTATCACCCACTGCACGGCCAAAGATTCAGTAGGTTGCAAAACGAAGGAGTGTCACAGGGCCGAGGCATGCTGAAATAGCTCCAGGCGCTCTGGATGAAGCCCTGTCATGGTGGAATCCTCAACTGCATAGATCTGCTGATTGATATACGTGTGATGCCCCGTCTAAACCGCGAAAATGCTGATAATCAAATTTCCAATGTCCGGCACGTGCTTCGCCGACAATGCGTTACATAAATATTTTTTCGCGATTGCGATGACTAGATGACGATAAATCTGCGTTATCAAACTGTCAGATCCGAAAAAAAGCCGGCTAGTTGCCCGCAATCAAGAAATGAGAAAGCGCCGTGGCAGATGAGACATCGATCGTGGCAGACAGAAAAGATAATGATCAAATGCTGTTTGTCGCGCGCCTTTCGCTCTACTCGCATGAGAATGCTGGCTGAGAAATGCCACAAATAGTGATCGAACACGAGCGAGATACAAAACAATCAGGCGACCAACTGCGAGAAAAAAAAAACAGGCTACCCGCTGCTACCGCCCTACTCGGCGTCGATTCTTGTGATACTCGATGACGATCATCATCTGTCCATGATAAACAAAGATATTCCGAAAAAAGATCGCTATATTCTGCCATTTGATCGATACCAGCTCCGACTCCCGGCTAGACTGCCCCCAGATGATCTAGATTAACAGAGCGAAATCAAACAAAAACTCCTGAACGGTTTTCCGATACTTCTGCATCGCCGCTAGATCCCACAACTCTCCGTCTCTGCGCAAAGGCGCCACGCCCGCCGGGGGATACTTGCACAAAGGCAGAAAAGACAGGCAGGATGGACAAATGTACTGAGGACTGATGTCGAGGAATGAAAAGCCTAACTGACGCTCGGCGGGTGCATCACGCAGTTTGTCTAGAATAAAGTTTTCAACATAGCCTAATAGAAGCTCACAATTAAAAGTCGCCGTAACTCGCGCGAAGATATGCTGCACCCAGCGGCGGAAATTATTCATCGAAATCCCATTCGGATTCCCTTTGAAGTATACAGTCTGCTGATCAAACGATCACGTGATCGTCAAAAGCTGTTTCTGTCAAGTAATAATACACATTCCCACAGAGACTAATCGGAATACCTCGTTAAGAAAATAAAAGGTGTTTCGGACCCCAAATGTATACTGAACTGTTATCGCGCGCCGCGCCTGATTCCAATATCAATCCCGCACCTGGATGTCGATAATAAAGCAGTAAGGTCGCTTTGGTAATGTATACTCTAACAGAAGAACTCGCGCGATTCAAAGCACGCCCGTCGCATATGACAAATATAAATACGCATCGTATAATTTCCGCCTTTCAGACCGAATGCCGTGCACAGCCAGGAAAGCATCCAAAGTATTGTTGAACTTATTCCCGTCGCACTCAATGGCCCGTGACGTGAAACAGCTAATGCAAAAGAAGAAAACGATCTCATTCAGCCACTCTTGCCCAGCAATTGACAGCTCACACGCCTGGGTTGAAAGCTTTAAAAATAGGAATTCGTCTGGAACGTCTTCCGCCTCCATTTCAGAGAAATGATCCAACAATTTTTCATCAATATCAACCCCTGATAATATCCCGTTCCAATTATTATCTTTCTCGCTATCAATCGTGTCCGTTTCTTCTGTACAATCTGCGGTTCCTCTCTTGCTTTTACCCAAGTCTCGTCCGAGTAAACGAGCTTTGAAATTCTTTGCAGATGATGTCTATTCAACATCGTTATCCTCCGACTCATTTAGAATAACCGAAGATTCAATTCTACCTCGTCGACTCAACCTCGTTTATAATACCGTAGGTCTGATTATATCGCAAATATTGTCAGACCGAGCGTTTTCGCCCATGAGCAACAAATCCTCGACGAAAATGAAGCTAGCTTCCTGCGCAGGCGGTCCCGCTGGTGATGACGATAAAAATGGGATTAATAATGGAATCCGCATCTTCTGCATCACCTATACGCGCCTAGTAGGATACGGCTCGCTTTGGAAGATAATAGATGCCCGATTCTGCGTGACTAAAATCATATCGGTCCGCGGCTGTTGCCGAGATTGGACTGGGGTTTCTAAGTCGACATCTCGAATGCGTTTGGGGATCCTTGACGTAGATTCCAGTGGGGTTTGATTGTAAATGAAGAGCAATCCCGTGTTCTAAAGATCGATCTATTTATACTGTCGATTCATCAAACATTTACATGCGCTGGGCTTGATCATTGTGTTAAAACAGTCGTCCGCCAAAGCTGCGTCCGGATCTTCCAGATACCGATAGAGAGTATTTCAGATATCGATTAAATGTTGAGCCTGTTGCTGATCCAAAAAAAGTCTTAAAAGTTCTTATTTTTCCTTCGAGAACAATAGAACTCTTCTAATCACCTATGCCAGCAACCGCCGCCAGCAGCGCCGAT